CCATTCGGCGGGGGAAGTAAACTCGATCTGACTTATAATAGCACTTTTCTTGTTCCATATTTCCTGCAGCGATCTCCTCAAAAATTCAATGTCTATGTCTAACCCATCTATAGCTTTGAACATAACCTGTCTTCAGAAAGGCAGCATATTCAGTAATGATTCTCTCACACAGCAAATATCACTGACTTAATAAACATGCAGACTAATACACATAATCATCCAGATGCGATCTTGCTATTCAACCAACTTTCTCCTCATAGATGAAAACTACAGACTACTCGGCTTCACAAAACGTATGCAACCAAAAATGCGTGTGGTTGAGTCGGTTCTCCATAGATGGACGCTCATAACCTAGTGAGCAAACGTGGACTGACTGGTTGCACCCTAAAAACTATCTACTCTCCAAGGTGATATTTTATAGGTCTTTTTTGACTTTTAATAGGTTTTTTACATATTACCCGTGCCGCACACATCCATCCCCTTAATTTTTAGTAACTAATTAGAATTACCCTGATAGTGCTGTAATTGTGGGTAACTTTTTCAGATATCATCAAATACTTATATTAAAATATAAACCTTGAATAGAAAACTCAGAAAAATACATTTTGTATAAACACTTCGAAAAACAAAGACGTCATTTGAATTCGCTGTGTACTCGCAATATGAAACCATATAGTTTTGAACAGGCACTTTAATAAACCTCGAATCATTATTTATACGTGGGCTTAATCTCGACCCTTAATGTTGATGATTACCGTTACTGTTGCGTCTTTGAGAAAAAATGGTATTTCGGCCCCGAAAGCACCTTATATGGTCAAATTATGACCTTTTCATCAACTCTTTAGTGGTTAACGTCCTAATTACGACTGTTAAAAAACAAAGGATTTATTCTAATTGCTTATAAGGTAAAAATAGATGTACTCTTGGCGTCGCTTTTTTACATGATTTGTAATGAGATGTGAGGCCATTTGGTTAATCCAAAGTCGCCTAAGAGGGCCATTTTTTTGAAAAAGTGTGTAACAATTAGAAAATTGCTTAAACAGTTAAGAATTTTGGATTGAATTTTCATCTGAATGTTGAGCACCACAAAGGCTTCAATTTTTTCAATGATTATCACTTCAGATTTACCTCTATTCATTTTCTAGTGAAAAATAAATGGAAAAACTGGCTATTTCCGGCTTTTTTGTAATAACCAATTAACCGTTTCGGCATATTGGTCATGTGAGGTGTTACTTTGAAGGTATTTTCATCCCCAACAACTTTTTTGGAACATTAACACCGATATCTCAACTTCAACTATTTGAAGGTACGCGAAGAAGTGGATTTCCCAACTCTGTCCTTTAATGAAGAAATGTTTTGTATCTCTCAGCGAAGGGTCTTTATGTATATGCTCAAGAATGAAATTTCGTTGTAAAACAGCTTATAACATTTTTTCTCTCAAATTCTAGGTATTCTGGTCAACAAAAGCTTTACGAGTATGCTTAGAATGTGGAAATAACCCGTTGAAAACGAATACCTAGATAAATCTGAATGCACATTGTAAGACTCAAGTTCTCCTTTCGAACTAAGCCCCTCACCAAATATACGTGAACGTTTTGGTCTATTTTCAGCGCGCTTCCACATGCAAATGAGAGCATGCCATGCTGGCGATTTGCATGTTTTACACACACTCAATAGTGTCGCATATAGAATGGGAGTTAAGTGGATCTTTGTCTGGTGATGCAGGTGCGATTTACGGCGAGCTAACTCCAACTGAATCTGCTCCGAGTGAATATATGGAATTTAAATTGTTGGAATTGAAGCTCGATATTAAGGCTGCGATTTCATTAGATTGAGATTTGTTTTTATCTTCCTTTTCCTTCTGGACTCATAAACTCAATGGATCTTGATGATTATCCGGCCCACAAGAAGAATCATGTCCTGAAATCGTCTAATACCACAATTATCTGTAAACACTCGCACTTTTAAAAAGCAACGCTAAAAATACGACTTTAGTGACAGACCTGTCGAACAATTGACTACAGACAGATTTTAGAGACAAGCAAATCCTAGGACATCTTTCTTCTTTTAATTCTCTCGAGAATCTCCTTATCTTCAGACACCCATTGCACGCTATTCCTAACATGCGTCGGTGGCACCCCAGTTCAAAATATTGAAGCCGCTTTGTGGTGTTGTCTGTTAATGTCCATGCTTCAGCACCATGATAAGTATAGTCAGAGTTGTAAACTAAAAGATTAACGAGTTTTTTTCCATTCTGTAGAACGAACTCTGTGCTTTCTCAATTCGTATTTTAACGTTCCATTTCTCGTTCAGGTGACGTAATTCTAGCTTTATTAGTTTTTTATAGCAATTCTTTTATATAGTAAAAAAACTATTTTTTATCATACCTACGGTCTGTGGCAATTTCAAAGTTGGCCCTGTTTTGTTGAAAGGACGTATGGAAAGCAGTGGTGTACGAGGGTGGTCCCACAAGTACCGGGCCTGACCTAGAGATGGCGATAGTTGTTTGAAAAATATCATTTCATTAGAAAGTATGCAACCTATAAAGCATATGTGTCAAGTTTGAATACGCCACGTTGTTTAGTATTTGTTTGGCAGCCATCAATACTGAACGTTTTCAGTGAATTTGTGATAATGGAGAAAATTGGTCATCGTTATGTGGTACAATACTTTTATTTCAAAGCCTCAGCCCAACCAGTATAAAAGCTGAACTGGATTCTACTCTGGGTGAGCCTGCTTCTTCGTTTACAACAGTATAATATTGGGTAGCAGAGTTTAAACGAGGCCGTATGAGCTGCCAAGACGAGCATCGCAGTGGTCGACCAAATGAGGTGACGACTCCAGAAATGGTGAAGAAACTTCACAAAGGGGTACCGAATGATCGTGCGAGAGCTAGCAGACATAGTAGGCATTTCAAAAAATGCGGTTCATTACATATTATGAGAAAGCTGTGTGCAAGATGGGTGCCGCGATTGCTCACAATCGAGCAAAAACAGTCTCGTGAAGATTGTTGAGTGTTTAGCGAATTTTTGCGTCGTTTCATAACCATGGATGAAACATGGGTCCATCACTTCACACCCGAGACAAAAGAACAATCAAAATAATGGACTCAAAAGGGACAAGCGGCTCCAAAGAAGGCGAAGACCGTTTCATCTGCAGGCAAGGTTATGGCGTCGGTTTTTTGAGATGCGCGTGGGATAATTTTCATTGACTGTCTTGAAAAAGGTAAAACTATCAACGGCGAGTATTTTGCGAACTTATTGCAACATTTGAGCGATAAAATCAAGCAAAAACGGCCGCATTTGGTTAAGAAGAAAGTGTTGTTTCATCAAGACAATGCACCATCTCACAAACCCGTTATTGCAATGGCCAAAATTAACGAATTAAAGTTTGAATTGCTACCTCATGCACCCTATTCACCAGATTTAGCCCCCTTGGATTATTCTCTGTTTCCAAACTTGTAAAAATGGCTCAGTGGTCAAAGATTTTCCAACGATGAAGAAGTGATCTCGGCAGTTAATGGCTACTTTGAGGAGCAAGACAGTTCTTATTATAAAAAAGGTATCGAACTTATTGAACATCGCTGGGAAAAGTGTATAGAGCTCAAAGGAGATTATGTTGAAAAATAAATACATTTTTTTTTAATTTGATTTTTCTTCGTTGGGTCGGGTATTTTTGGGACCACCCTCGTACAGCCCACTCATTCAAACTTCCATCTTATGTCCTGCCAGAGAAGCTTTGCAGATGGGTAGCTGACTTCTTTTCCGGCTGCGAGAAATCAGTAATAATTGACAACGACATCGCGGGTGTTCCCTAGGGATCGGTCTTGGTTGCAACACTGTTTCTGTTACATATTGTAACGAACTAACGAAAACACTATTTTTACTATTTAAAGTATAATTTATTACTCTTACACATGTTATAAACAAGAGGAAACGGTGGTGTGATTCCTCTTTACTGTTTTTAATTTAATTAATCAATAAAGCACTATAAATGAAATCTAAGGGTCAGTCAATGCAAAACATTTGTCTACTGGCGTGCAAATTTAGGCCTTAGCTCAATAAAGCGGAGAGTAAGGCGGGGTTAAGAGCGCCAATGACTCAAGAGGGATTAAGCCACAAATCCCCGAGCTGTCAGTCGGAACTTGTACCAATGGTTATGTCACTTGTTAATAGAGCTTATTAGTAATCAACGCAAAAAATCTTAAATTCATTTTTTTGTGAAAAATCTCTTCCATTCCTCAACTTTGCAAGGCGGTAGAAAGATTGAGGTTGTATTTTATTATTCATTCTATTATAAGAACTATTTCAATCCATGTACTCGTAGAATAATCCCTCAAAATTTCAGTTTGCTACGATGAGTTTATCATGTCGCATTCGTGGTTGTGATGCGATAAACGTAAGAAATGCAATAGAATCCTTACCACCTACAAGTACAGAACCTATTATGTTTAGCCGCTCTTTATGGCGATTTACCGACAAATTTTGAAGATAATTCAATTTAACTAACTTTTAAGGAACATGTTCGAAATGACCTCCATTATTCGCTCTCGTATGTGTCCACCTCTACCTATCCAACGCCCAAGAAAGGCACTGTCTAAGTAATGCCGTGCAAAGTGACATGGGGCACCATCGCATTGAAAATACATGCGGCTTCAAACGTCCAAAGGTACATCCTCTAGCAGCTCATGCAAACTGCTTTGTAGAAAAAGATATGACTGACCATTCAACTTGGCGGGCAATTCATATGATCCAATTAATTTTTTGTTGAGTACTCCAGCCCATAAGTTAACGTTGAAAGCTATGTCGGCTCCTAACAACATTAATCTTACAGTCTCGCTGCAAATCTTCGTCGTCACTTTAACCTCTAAGGATACCATATTTCTTAACGTCCCGTCCTAAATTAGGTATCGTATGCTTTTTAACACCCTGTATTTACGACAAAGCAACGCCAACATCATCCTGGATGCAGATCCCGTCCGTGGGTCCAACCTTTTGCATGTTTCACGTACACCGAAAGGTGTATCCGATGTCAGATAGAGGAGGATTAAAGGGTGCATATCTCTTTGTTTCAGGTGCGAATAATGGAACAAAAATTGGCATGGTCGGTGGCGAGTGACGCGAACAGCGCCCAAATTCACCGGCTGGAGGGGGAAGTAGAGGAACAGAGACAGTTAAGGTTACACGATGCTAAACAGGTAAGTACGGTCATTTAGAAAATGGCCATGCTTCATTTTTTATGATAATTTCTACTTCCAAATTTCACGTTTTTCGGACTAATTCTAAGACGACCATCAACGAATTTATTATTGCTTCGTACAATTAAAAAAAGTTTCCTAGTTTTCGTTTTCGAACCGATTTTTGTCTAAACATTTAGTTGTTTGTATTGAGTAGTTTTTGATATAATAAGAATTTTTCGCAGAGCTGGCATATTGGAAAAATTGCATCCAAAGCAGGTTTTCGCAATAGTCATGTTCCGACGCCTTGAACTGAAAAAATACTTACTTGGCTAAAGGAATCTTCTACATTTTATGTTTAGTTTTGACGCGCATGCGTGATCAAGCTTACTCTAACACGAATATGTGAAAAATCGTCCATGGTTCAATAAATTGTTACTTGCACCTAGAATGCTTTGAGAAATAACTACCATTGAACGTGCTTCGCAGAGTTTTTGCTTTGCTACCTTGTATATTTTACGCAAGGTTGCCATTGGAAAAAAACCTTAAAAAGACACAATTATCCAAAACCGTACTTACACTATCTCCATTCCGGCTCATAAATACGGTGAAAATAGATGTATAATTAACTAAACCCAAGAATATTTCCTACAGTCTACATATCTAACATTTTTTATATGGTTATGTTATTCAACTTGCAGGTAGAGGCAAAAGCAGCAAGAATCAAAGAGTGGGTGACGAATAAGCTGAAGGAGTTGGAGATTCAGAATCAAACGCTGCGAGAGCAGAATATCAAATGCAATCAGCAGTTGGAGCTGTTAAGGAACCACCTCGCTTTGGCAGATAGAAGGAGATCTGAAAGCAGTTCCCCAGAAGGAAGACAGGTCCGGACAGTATATTGAAAAATTTTTACATTGGAGGTTTTATCATAACATCTGTCCGAATCAAACCACATAAATGTTTTAATTTATATGTTTATTGTACGACGGTGCCGTTTTCAAGTACAGTGATTAAAATATGCTGCCAATAAGTATTATTGTACTTAAAAAAGGCTACGCGGGTGACTAAAATGTCGTACAATAAACAGAAATTAAAATATATTTGTGGTTGGATTCGGCCAAGTAATGGAGTCCTAGCAACATGAATACTACGGATAAGTTTCAGGAGTTAAATTAAAAAATAATATGATTATGTTTTGTGTTCTTTTCTTTTAGAATTACGAGAAGTATGCTTTGATTTGACTTTAACATAATCAAAAAAAAATTAGATTCAGGCTTCATACATTAGACCTATCATGTAAGAAGTTTAGTTTGACTACAGAAAGTCTATAATTGGAAAATAATCCAATAAATTTTGAATTACACGCCCGATGGATTGGGCCTAGTTAATTAATTTAAGTGGCATCGTTAAATATAACAGTTACATCCTATTAATTATAGTTACATGGTTTGACCACAGTTTTAAGCTATAAATTTACATTAGCGGTGATCGGGATCAATAAAAATAAATGCTGCTCGTTCCTGAAAGTTGCAATAAGGTTTATTTCCCGAAACACATGGTACGCCATTACATAAGGCGTGCAGAAGAAAAAGAAAATTCAAAAGATGGATGAATCTTTTGGATGACTTGCAGTATTATTGCCTTGTTACCCATTCTTTTTGTTACTCAAAATCTCAAAGACAGAATTTGTCTTCCTTATATCTGTTAATATTTTTTTTTCAGCATACAAAGACATCAACTGCCCGTAGCCAGAAACACCGCCGTCATCAGTCCGTCTGCCTATCTACAAACACCAATTTTGAACCAGTTATACCTAGCACCTTAGTTACTAGTGTCAATTTTGGCACCAGCACCTCAAGTATGGATCCGCTAACGGACGAACTTAGAGCAGCCGTAGACAATTTAAGCTTGGGTAAGTGTTGACCTCTTAATCCTTAATCGTTTGGCCACAGAAAGGTTCTTTCTTCTAAATTCCTCAACAAGGCCCAAACAAATGCACTGATAAAAATATCAATGTTCAATTCTGATAAAGATTTTAAATACATGGTTGTAAAGGATATAGAGAATGATCTTTTAATAAGCTTCTGGTAGTTTTGGTACACAAATACATCATCCACTAAAAATGACTATAGCCTTTGAAAGCTTAATCAGTCTAGCAATGATCTTCAGGCAGTAGTAACAACTTCATGTCACCAAAATGAAACAAATAATAAAGTTGATATTTTTCAGCGAGGATACCTAGTAGTAGTGCGAGTGATCCAGATCTAGCGCATGACTATGCTGAAATATACACACCCAGCAGGGAAAAAGTTCCATGGCCCCGAGCACCAACACCTCCTATGCATAGGTTTCCAAGTTGGGAAGATAGAATATACCAGGTAAGCACTACTCCTAATGTTTAGGGTGGCGAGCTCGATCCAAGAGAATTCAAAACTAAATTAGTATGTTGTTAAAAATACGAGTATATTCATCCACATGAGAATTCCTAAATTTTACACATTTTCGGCAATGTACAAATTTAGTTTTGATTTCTCTTCGTGGGTGCTGACTACCCTTAGTGTTTCTCAGCTATAAAAGTTTAAAATAATTTTTAACGCGATCTTTACTTACGCCACCTAGTCATCTCCCTGTACACTTCTTAAGGTAAGTACTCACTTGGAGACCACGTTGCGCGATTTTCTTTAGGTGGTCTAGAGACCGTCTAGACTTGAGACATAGACATGGTGTAGAGACACCGATCTTTGCCTCGTCTAACGTCCACACTGTGATGTGAATTTTTCTAGTCTCATCTTCGCCAACCACCATGGCGGACCACACTGTATAGGTAGCATTGATGGTAAGCACGTTCAGATGGTGGCCCCACAACACAGCGGAAGCTTGTTTTACAACTACAAGGGTACATTCAGCATTGTGTTCCTTGGCGTTGCAGACGCCAACTACAACTTATTGTACGCCGATGTTGGATGCCAAGGACGTATTTCTGTTGGGGGTGTTTTTAAGTGTACTTCACTATACAAGGATCTAGAAAACAATACCGCACACGTACCTAGAAGTGACGCATTACCAGGAAAAGCGGAACCTGTACCATACGTTCTTGTGGGAGATGATGCTTTTGCAATGTCTAGTTATTTGATGAAACCGTACCCTGGTCGTACACTGGAAATTCCAAAAAGAATATACAACTATAGGCTAAGCAGAGCTCGAAGAATAATAGAAAATGTTTTCGGTATCATGTCTTCCAAATTTCGGGTGTTGCTTAAGCCGATAGCTCTACAGCCAAATAAAGTGGAGTCCGTCGTGTCGGCTTGCGCCTACCTGCACAATTTTTTACGTAGGAATTCAGAGTCCAGATATGCCTACACCCCACCAGGAAGCTTGGACTCGTACGATGGTGATGGAAATGTAATTGAAGGATTTTGGAGAAGGGAAATTAATCATCAAGAGAATCGTTTGATGGATCTCCGCAACGCTCCTCGAAGATGTTCAGCAAACTTGCATAAAATTCATGATGAATTTTGTGAATACTTTGTTCCTCAAGAGGGAGAGGTAGCTTGGCAATACGATTCAATATCGTAAAGCTATTCAGTTTTTGGTTTGCTTTACATATAGAAATATTAACTGTGGTCAAAAATTAGTTATGATTATTTTAAAAAATAGAATCGAGAATAATATGTTGATTTAATTCAAAGTAATAACGAAAAACAATGGAAAAAATCGTAGGTAAAGAATAAATGGAATTTAATAAAGCATTTAATAAAGTAATTTTTACTTACATCTTCCTTGTTTTGACTCTGTGTATCATCCAAGTCCGTGTTGCGGCTGCCCTTTGACTCATTCGCTGGCAGTAGGAATAGCAAATAATCGTGGGCAAACCATGAGGACCTTTTGGGAGAGGACCCACTCGTCGGAAGAATCTTCTTTCGCTCCCGGTTGAACGATGTTTTTAAATTATGTATTTTTTTTCTATTTCTTCGATTGAAACCATGTACTTTGCAGCCAGTGATTCCAGGGCCGCTCTTCTTTTCACCCGGTTCTTGTAAGCGGGACTCGTTACATCCCACAAACAAAACGAGGTATGATAGTCTTCAATAAATTTTAAAACCTTGTCGTTTGACCACATGGTAAACAAAAACAGCAGAGACCGCATGCACTTGTTTACAAAGCGAGAGAGGGACTGGGAAATGTCTCGTCTACGTATATAGAGGCGAGGTACTCACTACCACCTTGTTGCGCAACGTATCCCAACGTTGCATCAAGTCTCCCATTTCAATCGGGAGACTTGAGACCTGCGATTTTTAGTTTCGCAACCGCCCCGTAGACCGGATTTGGTCTATAGACATGTCTACCGAGACATACTGAGACAACTTTAGACATGTCTCTGAGACCAAAATCGCGAGACATGTCTACTAGTGAGTACTAGGCTTTACTGAGACAATACATTTATTTCTCTAAGGCCAGACTGATGGCCATCAAGAATGAAACGCCGCCGTATACAGTTGGACACAAGGAGAGAAGATCAACACATTTAAACCATACATACAGGGTGTTCGAAAAACAGAAATTTTAGAGGGTGATTCCTTGTTAAAAGATATAAAAAAAGTTTCTATAAACATGGGTCCGAAAATGCAGAGTTTTCAAGGTACAGGGTGAAATTTAAAAAATATGTTTTTTATTAATATCTTAGAGAATATTTACTCGATTCTGTTGTAAATTTTAAGTGACGCTCAAAAGTCAAGCCTCCGTGCAGGAATGTTTTTTTTTTGTTTTCCAAGGCACTTATGATTTTTTTTAACAAAAATTAATAAACCAATTTTGTCAGGAACATACAATAAAACGGTTTATATTTTTTTCTCTCGAAATCGCAGTAGGATACGAAAAAAATACAAGAGGCAAAAAAGTTGTATTTTTAGATGCTTAATCAAACAACAAATATTAAAGTTACAAAAACTGGACCTAATAATTTTAATCTATTTAGAGCTAAATTAGTATCTTAATACAGCAAAGAATACTGCCAAATTTCAACAGAATCGAGTAAATATTTGTTAAGATATCAATAAACAAATAATTCCTTTTTTTAAATTTGTCACCCTGTATCCTGAAAACTCAGCATTCCCGGACCCATTTTTACAAAAACTTTTTTTCATATTTTTTAACAAGAAATCACTACAATATCTCCGTCTATTTTTCCAAAACCCTGTATATCCAGTTTGGTATTTTACTGTTTGATTTGTTTGTTGTTTGTCTTTTAGGTAGCTGCTGATGGTTTAACGTTAACAGGAACCACGCCTAGTGATCTTGGTCCAGAGCAAGCTGGGTACCAAGATATACCAGTGCCTGTATATGCCACCGTCAAAGGCAGAGCTAGTCAAATTAGATCAATGCCATTTACTGGCGATTCTTCAGACGATTCCAGTGATGGGGAAGGCAACAACACAACGGTATGTGAAATATTTTTGTCAATATTTACAGACACGTTTATGGGAAAACGACAGAAGCGTAACTCGATGATTTTATTTGAAGCAAAAATACGTTGCTTGTTGTAGTCGTCTGATGCAATAGCGATGCACCTTACTCATAAAGCAGACGTTTCGACATTTATTTGATGTCTTCCTCAGAGTGGGAACAAATGTCGACAAAATACAGTAACTCACTCGTAACTGGGACCTTGACTAGCGAACAGAAACAAAAGTAGGCAGCCAGAGCTACACCGTCATGTATCGTAGCTTGCTGCTGCACGTGAGCGATTGCGGCCTCATGAAGGACTTTCGAGCGACGCGACGTTTGGAAGCATGGAGATGAACCTGCTCCAACCTATACCCCATTCAAAGTCCATTTACGCCCAGACAAAACACAACATGACCAAAAGAGAGATTGTACAGGTCCGTATGTTCCTCAATGGTATTGGAATAATCTAACAAAATAAATGATTATTTTTATAGAAAGAAGTGCACATACTTTGTAGTACTTGAATCATCGTCCGAATGGTTAATATTAATTATTACAGGTTCAATTTGGATATCGATCATTTTGTCCACGTCTCAAATCTTTGTTTCGATTGTCTCTTGAACGTGACAGATGCAATCTTTCCAATGGTTTGCCGTCACTCGTTGACAGCTTCATAAAACAAATTTTTCTGAAAATTTGAATATCCTATTGTTTGAAGCCATATAATTTTTTATATTTTCCCAAATCATTTCAGTGGGATATAATGACCAATAGCTATTGCAACGCTTTGACGGCTGCCGCTTTGCCGCGCTGCATCTTTGTTGTGCCGAGGCGTAAATGGACTACGCATAGGGTATAGATCGCTTCCATAGAAGTTCGTGATTCGTCCTGGAAAACGATGGATCACTTCTCGACACGCCGATATAGAAATAAATAGCCGACCATACGGCGGAAGCAGTCAGTCATACGAACAGCGACCGATGCGCCAACATAGTCGACATGCTTATAAATATGTCAAATCAGTTTCAAGTGTTATAAATTAGTGTACCTATAGTAATAAGGTCGACTTTGGACAGTAAAAACGGTGTTTTCGTTGCAATACGAAAGGCCAAATGATGATGTTGAAAAATGTATCAAAAACAGATTTTTGTGAGTAAATTGCATCATTGAACATCTTAAGTCCGAATATTAAGACATATAACATGTTACGCCTACTGGGGTAAGAAATAACTTTTGTTGTATCATGAAGCAAAAATGACTAACAAATATTCCATACCGATATAATGGATTTTTTTCTGGTTCTAGCATGCAGCAGATGGCACGAATACACATAGTAGAAGTTCAGGGGATACGTCAGGATCGAGTCCTGGTAAAAGGACTGCCTCCAGTAGTAGTGGGTCTCCTAGTAAAAGTAAAACGAGAGGTACTTTTTCTTTGCTTTCTTTGCTATGCTTCTTTTTTAACAGTACAATTGCATCACCATGTTTTTTGTTGCATTTATCGAGCTTATATTTATTGCGATCTGTTATCACTAGAACGAAAAACAAATAATTGTTTTGCACTAAAAAGCCATTTTGCAATTTGCCTTAACACCCGTGCTTTTTTTTGTTGCTCCCCATTGATTAACACTGACTGAAAGGTGTTTCAGATACGTCGTTCGAATCGGGAATGTCTGACGACTACGCCATACCTCCAGATGCCTTAAGTTGTGATACTACCAGTTTAGAATCGTCGATGCTCCTAAGAGCCTCCTCCTACTTAGACAGTCCGAAAAGGATAGAGAGCTTAGAGAAAAGCGGAACACTGGCTAAATTGGGTAAGTAGTGGACATAACCGACCAAAAAAAAAAAAACAATTTGGTTGCAAAGTTTTCACCGACTTAACTAAACATTGATCACTCAATAGTGAAAAAATTATGAACCATTCTCTCTCTCTCTATGATATTAAGCGTGATCCAAATGTCCCGGAACCGCAAGATATTTGGGGATATTCATGCGGTATAGCAAAACTGAGTTTATTGGTTTATCGGCTTTCCCTGGTTGTTCAGTGGTGACCTTGAATTTGTCTTTGAGCATGACTGTGACGATCAAATCAAGGTCGAGATTTTTTAATAGGATTCTGAGTTCCGGTAATGGATAGGTGGACATTATTTTGACGTTAAACGTTCTGTCAAGGTGAAAAAACACTCGGTCGGAAAGATTTCGGGGATCTTTCTGAAAATAAAGGAAAAATAATGATCCAAAGGCAGTAGTGGCTTAGAATTTTTCCCTAGCCAAGGGCGTATTCAGAGGGCAGCCTTGGGAAAGAAGCTCCCCCCTTCCTCGAGTTGCACTGCCTATTACGTTTTTGAGGCAAGTCTTTGTGTTCTGGTTGTCATTATGTTGTTATCCCGAATAATCTGTGTGCTCAGTTGGTAGCTATGAGCCCCCTCAGGGTGAGGTTCTTTGTACTTTGGTTCTTGGATGCAATGGTTATTTGGGCGCCACCTAGTTTCCAAAAAAAACTAGGAAATGAAATTAAAAACAAGCATCCCTGCTGGGATTCTGGCGTTAAAAGAGATACCAACTTACATGGTACACAGACATTTATTGAACACAAATAAAAAAATAAAAATGAAAGAAATTAAGTCCTGGAGGACAGGCTAACAAGAATGAATATATATGTATGTACTACCCCCTAGCTAAATGGTTATCCAAAAAACTAAAATTAAAAAAACTTGGCTATCTCTGAACGGCTACCGTTGGTATGAAGTCCCAGATGTTACCCTTAAACCGGAGGGTAGAACCCTAAGTAGAAAAAAAACTCGAAATCACGAATTGACTACTAATCGCCCCTTTTAATGTGTTTCCAAGAATTAAAGATTTAACTTTGACATGGAACCATTTAGTCTTAGGTTACATCCATTCAAAAATTTAAAATTAAAACAAAGTTGTTGTTCAATCACGGCGTAGAAGGATACTCGTGATTGCACTAGCAATACCCAAATTTTTAAATAAACCTGAACTAAATTAAAACAATCTGATTCCATAAAAAGAAAACACAAGGATCCGGAGGTAAAATATTTCATGTCCTCTTCAGCTCATAAGTAAAGCAATTAAAATGTTACTTGAGAACCACAGGTTCTCGTTAGCATGTCTCACTCAAATTTCAGTAAATATACAACCAATATCAGAAGCTACAGTACAAAATATAAACGTTGCCAATGAGAAATTCAAAACATTAATCTCTTTTTACTACTAAGTAGGTTGATGAATTAATTTTTGACGAATTCCATATTGACCTAAACAATGGATAATTAAGGGGTTAAGGTATAACCCTAATGTTACATAAGAATGCCTAAACTGACACAAATAAAACTACGAACAGACTCATGCTTAATTTTTGAACGAAGTGGTGGTGTTTTCAGTTTGTACCTCTAACAATGAGGGTTCTCCAAAATTGGGGACACTGCTCCTCTCCTCCCAGGCGTGAGCCCACTCAAACTCGCCTTGGACTAACCCTGTAGGCGGTTCCCTCTATAGAATTAGAAATTATGTTGAGGAAATGAACATGTGGCTTGGAGAAAATGGTCACTTACCCGCTCGATGGTTGAGTGTAATTATCTGCACGGTTAAATCCCCAAAAGGGTAATAAAAAGGCTCCGACACTAAGAACCACCAACGAGGCCGATTTCTAACAAACACCACCCCACCAACTCAGCGTGTGAACTATTCACAGCATCGGACAGTGGGCCGTAGACAAATTTTTACACCAGAGCGCAGGAAATAGCCCAAAGTCAGCTTCAGCTCTCGTATTTACGGTCGACAGAAATTATAAAAATGACCTCCAACGAGATGGAGGGAGATTTTCTACCACAAAATTATTAGACTGAGAGAAATGTTTTATTACTAAAAATAAAATCCGATATTTTTAAGAACGGCTATAAAATTATTATTCTAAATAAGAAAAACATTGTTATAATTTACATTATCAAGATGTAGTTAATTTTTAGTCGACAATAAAAAGAAACTGCAACAATGTGCAAACCATCAAACTTATAGAGCTTTTCTATGATGGCATTATACTTTTTGGGGAATCTGTGCCTCCTCGGAACTTTTTTCTGAATACGCCAGTCTCTCTGGCAGTGGTGACCTGGAAACCGACCTTGACTATGACCCTAAGGTTAAGGAATTTTTTGTTTGGTACACTGTACTTTTGATCGCGGAAAAATGCACGTTCAGGCATATAACCTTACGTGAGAATTGGTTTGATATTGAACATCCTGACCAAGCTCAATGCAAAAGAAACATCGTTTGAAGAATTCCAGGAACCCTTCTGAGGATGAGGAATAAGGACTCGAAAAACAACAAGATTCAAATTTCCCTGGCCATTTACTGTTGACTGTGAAATTGACGTTTACCGTAACATTGATAGCGAAGTCAAGATCTTACGTAATACCCCATATCCGTGAATGGATATAAAGCACAAACCTTGAATTCCAGGCATGACGTTAACCAGAAACGCTCAAGGTCAAAATAATGTTCGCCCAAGGTCATATCTGAACGTAAAATGTTCCGCTCTATCCGTTTCCAGGGTCACAGGCTTCCATTAAAAAAAATCGGATTGTCCTTGTTTTGACCTTCAGATTGTTCTCGATACCCTAGCGACAAAGGAGCGGTCGTATCGGCGAGTTCTCGATGTACGAAATTCGACACGGTTATGATGGGGGGCAGAAGTCAGGCGATTCCTTCCGTCAAGCACATCGAGGACAGTTCGGAGAAGCAAAGCTCATGGCGCAGACGACCCGCCAGTGCGAAAGGGTTCCGAGACTGTCCATTAAAGAAGAGACATCGATCAGTCGAACAGCCCTCCTCTGAACTGCATCGAGCATGGATAATGTTGTCGGGCGGCAGAACCCTAAACGTGTGCATTACTCGAGGCTTACGTCTTATATGGGTCTTGAACAGAGTGACGGAGTCATGAGGATAAAAGTACTTTTAACCCTTAAAGAAATAGCCTAATTTTTTCCCAGCATCTGCCGCTATTGACGAGATGTGTTCATGTCAGATCAAGCCCTTGGTGATCTGGACTCCGACCAGCCGAAATGAACGGCAATTGTGTACAACCCAGCCATCCATCGAAACCGGGTGAGCGCTAGGACGCTTCTTATTCATCAAGTGTTTTGGAAGCATTAACCTATACCAGATTGTTGCGTCCCCAAGCAGTGATGTTCAAAGTCAAACTCAAGAACACCACTGAATAGCTAGCGAAAAATCCTAAAACTTTACAATTTCACTATTACCATACCCCTTCAACGCCCCCAAATATCTTGCCTTTTCGGAAGGTTTGCATCATCCTGTAGATAGAGAACAAATAACATATGACAAATTAATAAAAAAAATGTCTATATGAACTCTTCTGCGGGGATACACAGCCCTGATGGACTTTTGATCCTTTTTATCGGCTTGTTTGTACTTCTTCAGGTGGAAAATTGAAAACGTGGAGGAAAAAATGGTTCGTCTTGAAAAATGGCATCCTCACATACTACAAAAGCCAAAACGATATAAACCGAAAACCACAAGGCCAAATAGTATTAGATGAATTTTGTAAGATAACCAGAGCGGAAGGCTCAAACACCTTTGAGATAGACACGGGGAAGAAAACATATTATTTGACAGCTGACAATATGACCGCAATGGAAGATTGGGTGCGGATACTGCAAAATGTGCAACGAAGAAATGCAACAAAATTGTTGTTAAGTAGAGACGAGAATAAACCGGTTTTACAAGGCCTACTGAAAAAAGTCAAGAACGGAATTCCTAGGGAATGTTGGTGTGTTCTCATAGGGAAGATGTTCTTGTACTATAAGAAACAGACTGATTCTGTAAGTATTTTAGCATATAGTAACCTTGAAGTGTGATCAGTTTAGTAGATCTTTGTCTTGATTGAAACAGCGAAAAAAAAACACAGACGTAAAAGTGTCAAATTCTGTATCGTTAAGTGGTATAAATACATGTAGTGCCCAAGTGTACTGAACCGTCGAAATACTCGTTTTTAATGTTTCAAGTTTCAGTCGCTGTTGCGATACAGTTGGCCCACAGGAACATTTTTTTTTTTTTTTTGTCAAACCATCATAAGTGATTTCTGCAGTTCTTATGCTCTGCTGTATTGCTTATCTGCGAATATAGGATTTCACTCTTTTTAAAGGCTCCGATTTTTTCGCTGTTTCAATTAGGATTAGATGTACTATAATCTGTCTGATATTCAACAAATAGCATCTATGGTACAACTGAAAAGACATACTTTAGCTATATTTATTTTGTTCATTAGTAAACATATTTCGATCTATTTAACCTTTCGTTATTTTAGACACCACATGGACAGATCAATATGCGAGATGCCAAAGTTGAAGAAATTGAGCATTTATCAGATTCTGATTCTGAAGAACAAGATTCTGAACAGCCAAAGTATACGATAGGGATATTCCCTTCAAACCAAGCTCCTACGTATCTACATTTCACAGGAAAACAGGTAATATTTGCCAATATTTATTGTGTCAGTGCCTGTTTTCATTGGATTACGATCAACCATAACCTAAAACGAATATTTGTACGCAGACATTTATTCATTCTGACATTTGTACATCGCTATCATTGTGTTTTACATGACATGAATACCACTCTTTTGTCGGTCTTTACCTGTCTGTCCGCTAATCCTTGACCCCTCTATAACTTGATAAACACAAGATATCTGCTATCTCAAGGATAAAGAAGCTTTTAGTTTCTGAAAACCGAATCAGTGGCGGCGGGGCTACATGCATTTTTGTGGGGATTAAAAATTGAGGGTTGGAGAGTGGTGGGCAGTAAATGTGGCATTTATTGTACAGGGTCCGTCAGAAAGAACGCATGTTTTTCGAATGGATACTACATTGAAATAAGAAGAGAAGTAACCCAAATTCCTGCACGGATGCTGGCCGCCGCAATGGGCTCATTTCGGGAAGGCTTGATTCCTGCATTTCGGCTCAAGGGCACCATAAGGCCGACATAGTTTTCAGAGCGTAAATTTTGTTTTACTCAAAAATGGCATTATTTTGACTGAACTACTCATGCGCTCTTTCTGACGGACCCTGTGTCAGTGAAAGACATTTTATTACTAAAAAGCTTTTGCTCCTGGTAATAACTGGAAATTCAGGTACCACAACTCCGACGAATAATCTGCTCACGATTCGAAATAATAATCGACCCATCCTTCTACGCGAGATCGACGGCACAGCGGCAGGCTGTGGAAAAGAATATACCTTGTATAATCGGATGTTACTTAAGTTAGGAATTGGTATCATTTCAGCGTTCTCTAAATCAGTGGCATTGAGCGTGGAACTCTAAATTCGTCGATAGGTCTCTGTGGAACTATCTTCTTGTGGGTGATTATTTGACTCGAATGAAACATATTTTCAACACAAGTGTCGCGTATCGGTTGCACGCCAAGGCAGCGAATGTATGCATCCGTACACGAAACGCTAATCAAATTTAAGCGAATAACCAAATGAAAATGGTATTTACCATTTTGGATTGGTATTTACCGATCCGTTCAAGAGAGTGAGGTTATCATTTTGGTTATAAGATCCGTGACGTCATGAGTCAGCTGTTATATGTCATAGTTATCACCGTAAAATTGTGGTGTTTACCCAACTCCGGACTATTTTTATATTTCTGGTTATTATTTGAATTGTGTTGAAATGTGTGTAAAAGTTAGAATTTTGGCGGGTGTTGGATATTTTTACTGTACTTTAGCTTCATTTTTGAGAAACTTGATACAGGCTGACTTAAGTTGTAGCATAAAGTAGAGCACCTTATAGACACTTTAAATCTAGTTCCTATGCTTAACAAAGTATCATGTGTAGCCATATACCACAAGAATATTAAAATATGGCCTTATAAACTCACTGGATAATGTCCACCTGTATACGGTTTTGCTAATATCTTTTTTCATCTCTTTTTGTATCATTTCTGCTAAATCAATAAATGTTTTCTTTAACATGCGGAAAAGTTTAGAGAATTGAAGATTATCATAGCTACGAGTACAAAGCCATGGTACCATCATTAAAAAAAAATTTCTGAAAAAAAAACTTTCTCCCATTAATATTATGAAAAGTTTCTTTTTTAAACTGTCCATCACTGTTCTAGATGAAAAAGTACCGATTATTAAGTGATAATAAAAATAGACAGAAATTATATACGCGCATTTCTAAAATAAACAACTTGCAACAAAACCGCGGTTAAAACAAAAGCGTTCAAGCGATTCGAGTAACTGACGAAATTTTGGTTATTCGCTTGGATTTTTCCCTTTGATTGCTGTGTGGCGGTCTCGCGTCTAATCCCTTACCGCTCACCGCTGGCGCTGGCTTATGGCTGACTAGCATTATTCAGCAACGTTTCCGATGATCGATACTGTCGGTAAGGCAGAGGAGAAACTCCTAGATTGCAGCTCTATCAAATGGGTGCGACTATGGACTAATTGTATGGGCCTGCTTGTCTGACGTGATCCATTTAATTTTTTTGTCATACAATACAGAGGGGACAACTTATGACGAATATAATGCTTTAGGATCCGATAACAGTTTGGGGTAGAAAATACAGGATGAGCCTACTTGATGCCATTTTTTGTTTAGGAAAAAGACGCTTGGTTGTACCATCTGACTGTAGCCAGTGGTGGAGGACCCAGTACAGGTACGCAATATGAGCAGTTGGTCCACAAATTGATGGAGGTTGACGGAGATCCAAATTGTGTTCTGTGGAGACATCCTGTGCTTTTACATGTGCCTTGCACTAAAGATGGTGCCGTGCCATCTTACTTCCCGCTTACCAGCTTACCAAATGATAGTCTACAGGTAAGTCATAAACAGCATGTTTGATACCAAGTTTAGCTAATTACTGATTCATATTGAAGCAAAATAAAATATTTCTAACTATAACTACTAACTGGGATATTCTTAAAATGAAAATAGCTATTAATCGCATGATTTTTTTCAGTCTGAAGCAATAAAACTGTTCAAATGCCTGCAACTGTTCACTTCGGCCGCTGTTGACCAAGCTGGAATCGATTACCATGTAGTGTTGGCTCAGAACGCCCTACAGCAATGTCTTGACCTTCCTGATCTACAAGCTGAGCTGCTTTGCGCCCTCATGAAGCAGACTAGCAAAGCCCATCCACTGCCCAAGCTCGGAGTCCAGGTATCCACACAAAAATTGCTTAAGAAAAGCGTAAGTGTCGGCTTTTTATTTTTATTTTCGAATGTAAGACGTATGGTAATTTTTTGATGTCATCAAGGTTCATTCTCAATCAAAATATATTTTTGTTTTTGTCACTGCAACTTTACTTTTCTGTTAAAAACTCGTTTCAACGAAAGCAACTTAATGAATATTAAATGTTTTCACTTTATGATATTTTCTCACTATCAATTTACGATATTTTGAGTTTCTAACAGGGACATCAAAAAGTCATCATCAAGTAAAGACCTTTCCAAGACGTTTCATTTTATGTCACAAATTCAAAGTCAGGAATGTATGTTTAGTAGACAACATCTTGGGAGAAAAAAAAATGGCACTGGCAGGATTCGAACCCGCAGCTCCTCCATTCCGTGTAGGCGACCTAACCAATTAGTCTACAGCATCAACTGTCGGAATCGATACAACTATTCGTCATTTGTTTGTCTGGGGCATCCGTAGAACCTTTGCCCATTAGTCACTGTCTAAAATGTACTTTAGTCGAATCTGTCAGTAGTGGTTCCCCAGAAACCAGACAATGTCAAGGAAAGGGGAAAGGGAAACAGAAGAAAAAAGGAGAAGCGTAAAGAAAAACAGAAGTTTTTAGTTTAAGAGGGAACACCTAGGCTTTTTTACTTGGTACACGGCTTAATTAATTTGCATTCAACACTCGATTCCGAAATCCTCAGCACTTGTCGCCCAGTCGCGTACTGGTGATCTGGTTCACGATGGGTTGCAGAGTGCGGTGGACGAAGTACTAGAGTGGGCGGAACGGTTGCTGATTAAAATGAATCATTCGAAAACGCAGGCTATTTATTGTACCAAAAAACGTCGCGTTCCCCCAGCAAAGGTTTCTGCAGACGGCAATCGTGTACCATGAACAAATTCTGCCAAGTACCTCGATGTCACCCTTGATAAAGGCATGACAGAAACGTACACCAGCCTTGAAAACAAAATTCTAAATTGCGTTTCGGCAAAATAAATAATAAAAAAAAATAGCGCGAACTTTTAGTCAAGGCAAAATTACACTATAACAAAACTTGAATCAAAATTTGTTTAGTTCACCTCAAAATTAATCCATGAACCAGGTCAAAAAGCCTATGTGTTTCCTCTCAAACACTTCTGTTTTTCTTTGCTCTTCTCCTTTTTTCTTTTCATTCCCTTTCCCTTTTCCTTGATATTGTCTGGTTTCTGGGCAACCAGGACTGACAGATTCGACTAATGTACATTTTAGACAGCGACTAATGGGAAAAGGTCCTACGGACCGCCTAGACAAACAAATGACGAATAGTACTATCGATTCCGAAAGTTGATTGGCAGCTGATGCTGTAGACTAATTGGTTAGGTCGGTTCCACGGATTGGAGGAGATGCGGCTTCGAATCCTGCCGGCGCTCATTTCTTCTTTCTATCAAGTTGTTGTTGGCTAAACATATTCGCTGTTGCGGATGCACTCATCCAAAAAATCGCATACAGATCAAGAATATATGCTAATATTTCTGATGATACATATTTTTTCATCTCAATATTCACTTATATGGACGATATGCTTGTAATGGTCTTCATCATTAAGTTCTATTTAAACTATGCAAAATGCTTAATACGCACTATCATGCATCATAATAACCATTAGTGTAATCAACCTTGCTTCTAAATATTCACCTTACCCTAATTTACCATTATCTATTTAGAATTAATTTAGTGATGACATGGAATATAAGAATTCTTTTTCTATTTTTTAGCATCGATATATGTTGCATATAGCTTCATTTTACTCGCTTAATGATCTATGTATTATTTTGCAATCTATACCTATATGTGCTTATTATCTCAATACATTTATCACTGGATCTATCTTGTTTTGTTTGATTCGTCACAAGATTACTGATAAAATGTTTGAATAATATAACTTTGAGATAGATTCATGTCGAGTATATCAGAGGAATACAAAGGAAACATTAAAATAAATTGTTAGGCCTTTATACTTCTCTGAACATTTTATTATATCTATTAGATTTAGTTTTACGTTTTTTTTCACAATTTTGCTACTGAAGAATGTTGGTGTTTCATCATTATGTTACGTTCTTTCTATTTTTTATTTGGTATGGATGTACCTTCTTCTTAGTAACTAGAATTAGACAAGGCCTGTGTATTTTATTTCTCCTAAAAGAGTTCCTTCTTACCTGCGTGAGTATCATAATGTTTATTACTCCTACAAAACATATTTAGCGAGGACTAAATTATATGTTACACATTGAAATACTGCAACAATTTTCCAAAGGTTCAAACAACCTAAAAGACATGCATACTTTAGATTGGAGTAGTTTGCGAAATAGTTCTATGCTAGATAGTATTTTGCTATGAACATTATTTACTACTTTTTTATTTATTGAACTCACAGTACCACTGTCACAGACATGAATGTATGTTTCATTTGACAGAGATATATCTCTAGTACTTTTAACTTCTATTATTTACCTAAACCTTAAAATCATATGTAGTTATACAACCTGTTTGCAAGAAAAATAGTTTAGACCTACTAGTGATCCATATCACCATACACTCTTAGACAATCCATCTAAAGCAAATTTTATATCACATACCACAAATCACACAAAGTTAACCCACGAATCAATTCCAATAAGAAAACTGGGTTCCACTGGCTACACATTTTTTCTGGATATCAGTCAGATTTCGTTCAGTTATTCTATTCGAACACCAATAAATGTATGATGCTTCAGGTATTTCCAAAGTGAAATTGAAGGTACTCCACAGGATGTTGTTGCTATGACTAAATAAAGACTGCTGCGGTTGCAAAAAAATCATAAATACAATTTGGAATTTCCAAACAAAAAAAAAATATATTCTGTCGGAATATCGATATGGTTATACCAAAAGGTACATCCGGGTATGTACACCTTTTTCCATGAACGGAGAATGGAAGAACTTGCTCTTCAAAGTTCAAACGTACCTGTCAAAACTGTGACGTAATAAGTTCTGGGATGACGAAACGGGTCTTTCCATGTCATCTCATTAGAATGTGACCTAACTTCTTCGATGGAGGTTAGACTTTCGTCAGAAAGGAAAAAATAACCTTTGTACCCTTCGTTTATATAGTCTAATCATATTAACAAATTTCCCCGAAATACTTGTAAAGTCTGGTTTTATTGGTGCAAGTTGTTCAATGGGGTATTTAAAACATGGACGCATAAAATGGGTACACCAATTTTTGTGGGAAAGCTTTTTATTCGACGACAAAGAATGAGAAAACGTGTTTTTTGGGATTCAATCGAAAGTGTTGACAGGAACGAAAAAACTTTTTAAATAAGATCTTTAGGTATTTATGACACCTACAAAATGAGACCACAGGTGAAACAATCCGATTAATGGCAAAAATATTATGGCCGAAAAACGAGGCGAAATGCTGGTTTTGGCACTTGTTGGTAATGCGACGATAATTTCAGGCAACTAATTGAAATTCTTGAAATCCGTAGGATTCATAATTCTAAATAACAACAACAAAATTGGATTATATTGGTCAAGTAGCTTATGACAATTTCTAGTTGTTCATCCCAAAACACCTGTTTTCCGGCCATTACTACTAGTTTATTGAGCAATATACGGGGTTCGTTCAAAGAGCATTTAATAGTAAAATTCATAAATGCCTAAAAACCTTATATGGAGAGTTTTTTCGTTTCTGCCAACACTTTCGGTTGAATCCCAAAAAACACGTTTTCCCATTCTTTGTTGTGGAACAAAAAGTTTTCCCTCAAAAATTATATGCGTCCATGTTTTAAATACCTCCTTGAACAACTTGCAGCAATACAACCTGACTTTACAATTATTTCAAATCCTAAATATTCCATATGAATAATCTATTTCATTAATCCAAATAAAATATTGTCTAGTTAAAGAATACCTCACTTGATCACAGATGCGACCCATTCAAACCGGTGGTGCTTGATCAAAGTTAATCATCCAAAAATGCAAGCCATTTATTATACTAAAACATGTACCCGGCCCCGTTTGCCAAGTATCTTATTGTCACACTTCGCGATGGGATCACCTGGCAGAAGTACACTGAAGCGTTGAAAACCAAATTCCGAATTAGGTTTCGGCAACTCTATTATATAGGACAACGATCAAGCTTGATCAAAATTCAAATACAAGATGGCTATTAGACCAGCGGCTTGGTGCTTCCTAGACAAAACGCACTATGAACAAAATTGAATCGTGCAATTTTAGGTCCAACAAGATTTAAATGTTTCCATAACATAAAACCTTCTAGTTCAATTTTTAAATCTTCGGAGTTCTAGTTAACAATGCCAATGCACTCCTCCAACCGACACAATTCTTCATTTTTGCTCTCCCTCTTCCTTGCCTATCTTTCTTCTTTCCTTCGTCCTCTCTGACTTTGCCTGGTATCTGGGCAATCAGACCTGACAGACTGATTTATAAGATTCAAACCAAGACAAAGGCCATACAAACAGAATTTCTTATCCTCAGACATTAACGATACTTTTCAGCTACACGCTCTTAATGAACAAATAGTCTGAATCTTGTATTTTCTCATCACTTTCAGAATCATACTACCACAATTTCCATCTCTGGATTATATCAGAAATCCTAATACACATTGCCCCTGCATATAATATATAGAGCTGTGGAGCTATCAAACCTCGAGGTTGATTTTCCAGATCAAATTTTCAAATCCCCGAGTTCTATTTAACAATGCCAATGCACTCCTCCAACCGACACACGTCTTTCTCTTTGCTATTCCCATTCCTTCCTTTTTTTCTACCTTTTTCCGTGACTGGGCAACCACACCTGACAGACTTATTAAATTACAAGACTAACCAGAAGCAAAAGTCCTACGAACTGCTTTGACAGACAGAGTCGGATAGTAAAGCATTCTCAAACGTCCTCGGGCGGTAACTTAATACTTTTCGGATGTGAATAATGATCGCAATCAATCTTTTATTTTTCAATCACTACCAACACACTTACCATCACACGTATAGTGATATAGAGCCCGGTGGCGAAGTGGTATGTACTAACCTATTCGCCATGAGCTGCGTGGATTCGAATCCTGTCTCAAGAGGTGTGTTATCTTGGCTATGGAAGTTGTGATTATCCGTAAACAGTCTCCGGCCCTAAGGAGGGTCAGAATCTGTACATGTGACATGCACAAGTGTTTCTCGCTAGCCCATACTCCCCCTCCTGTCCCCCGTAACCTTCTAAAACTCCACGGTATTCACGGGTATTCAGATTCAGCCCCGTGTGTCAGCTCAAGTATAAAAGAATAACTGTGGATCTTTCAAGCCAAGCAGTAAGGTTAAGATAAAATCGACTGATCTCCATGAAAATGAAATCACTGTGAGCCACTTATTGCCACAAAAACAAACTTGTGTACCCATGGAGGCGCGGAAAAGAAACACCAATACTCTTTTCAGCAACTGCTGCTGTGCGCCACGCAAAGCCTGTTCACTTGCGAATCGGCCACGCCCACGATAAACAGCACCGCATCTGATCAACAAATCGCCTTGTCCGACACGCAGGGCGCAGGGGGAGGCGGAACCAGTGGGAGCGGTCACCACCACACGCAAGAGGAGAAGTGTTGCTACGCTAAGGACGGCAAGGGACCGCCTTTGTTTTCATTGGTGCAAGGATGGCAACTGTTGGCGCTGGCTGTCAGTTTATTCGTACCCAAGTCATCAATGTTGTTGTGGTTCCTGAGGCTGCATCTGCAGAGGAATGCGGATAATAGGACAGAATGTGGGAAGTACGCTGCTTACTGCGAGAGGGCGCTGGAGAGGACTATCGTGGCAGGTTTGTAGATAATCATATATCATATGAAAGAGGGGGAGAACTGCTCCGAATACCGATGTCTGTAGAATCAACAATCAAATTGCTGTGACATACATTAGACAAGTATCCTAATTTCAAAACTGGATAGTTAACAATAGGTAATACAAAAAGGTCGTTTTTCATTAGCTTTACAGAGGAGAGCTCGATATATCCTCAGTTATATTACGCGTGGTTATTTGAAGGTCAAACAGTGCAAAAATGGATGGTAAAAAGACTGATAGATAAACTATATTTCACGATTTCATCGCGTTTTCACATCTATTAACGTGATTAGCTAATCAGTAATTGACATCTTTGTTTATAACCTTAGATCTGACCGGCAACCTAACTAGCGCCATCTCTCTAGCTTTAAGGAAAAAGAGGGTTATGATTTGATTTTAGAACTGACTAAGATTGGTACAATCGAGGTTTCTCTTAATGTTCGCACAATTTGACATGCTAGGAAGAAAGTATTTCCGAACTATAAACAGATAACCCAGCTCTTTTTCACTGTAATTTACGCGTTAGTTCCAAGGAATGTTCTTGGTGATTATAGATTTGTTCCGGCTCTACAGAGTACTATTCTAGAACCATTCCAACTCTTCGCAGTTGGTCCTTGTGATATCAGAACTGCTTTATGATTAGCTTCTGGCAGAATCAGATCAGATCTAGGATAGTTCTAAGGTAAAACACGAATAGGGCTTATAACTTACACAAGTTTTCTCTCACAGCATTAGGATGTCATGATAAGAAAGTTGATAGGTAATTTGCCATGAAAAATTTGTACGTTAACTGGCAACCTGAAAATATAAGTGAACAGAGTTTTTCAGGATCTACATTGGCATGCCGCAAACTGACACTTGTCGTATGTGAACATTTTTTCAGGTAGCCACACTTCCCGTTCAAATTGTTCATATTTTTCATATCAAATTCTGCATCGTGTCACGCCGCCCAAGAGGCATTGAACTCACTTTCCGGGTTACAACTTCTTGGAAACTAAGGAATAGATAACCAGTGGGATGTCTTATATTACCTTTGCTGACAGATTTTGACGTCTGCTTAACGTTTATCAAATAAGTTTGTGGATGCATTAATTTCCGACAAAATAAATATTCTAAGATTTTTCATTTCATTAAATGTTCTATGACAAAGTTCGTTTTTAAAGAACACCAAGGACTGCCGCACTTTTTATCTCGTTATTTATCAAGAGAATGTCACGGGGAGCGACTCTTCCATTAATGATTAAAAGTACAGTTCCTTGAAAAATATCGCATTCACTTTCTTTTAATTATAATCTTCCAGTTAAATTACCCAACCAAATAATATTGATTCAGTAGTTTTGGTCTAAATGAATTTCTCTTTCTATTCAGGTGGTAGGGAATTGAAGCCGTCAAGAATGGAAGTACTGAGCATCCTATTGAAAAATCCTCAACATCACTCTCTACCTCATTCGATGCCAGTGCATCTTTTGAATGGCACATACCACATAACTAGTTTTGATGGTTCGACCACCATCAAAGAGTTTCAGGACTCGCTAGCTCAAGAAATAGGCTGTAGAACCAACAACGGGTGAGAATTTCTTTTATTCCGTTTAGCAAAAAATATATCACAGTAGCATAAACAGATTCATTTCAAACTAGATTGGACCCGTGGTTCCGCTCGTGTGGAAATAGTGTAAAATATAGGTCATTCGCGTTATATTAGTGTGTGTGTGTGTTTTTTATCCAACATTTTAATGCAACGTTAAATAATTTCAATGTTTCGCTTTTTTATGTCCTCGACAAAAAGTAAGGCGGTTACTTGAACATTTATAAAATATGTTCTTAAAATGACCTTGAAGGTCATGGTCAAGTTCATTGGTAAGCATGTACTTTCAGGGATTAGAAACAGAATTCTTGATAGTCATAGTCGAGGTCATGGATGTACTTGAACATAAAATTTCTTGCTCTTTTTATTTGTTATCCTGTTATTTATAACTGCTTATCTAATTCTAAGTACTAGATATACAGGGTGTTCATTTGAAAACTTCCCACCACTGATTAAAAAGAAAAACGCCGAGAAACTTTTGTCAAGGGGGACAACTTCTTAACCAAAAACTACTTCACCCCTTTCACCTTCTGCTCCCCAGGATCATCCCTGAACAGCCTGTATGTTATTACATTATTTTTCTTTCTAGGTTTGCAATGTTTAGTGATGACCCGATCGAAAAGGACTTGGAACACACCTTAGACCCTAGTGCTAAATTATGTGATCTTATTTCTAAGTGGGAAATTGCTCTAAGGGAGAAGGGCTTAGGTAAATTCGAGAACAGTAGAGTAATTCGGTTAACGTATAAGAACAGGATATGGTGGAAGAATTGTGCGAAATTAGAGACGGAAAAGGAAAGACTGCTTTTATGTTATCAGGTAATTATTTACTCATCCATAACCATAAAGTAGTTGGAACATTATTCAAATAAAAAATAGTGTTCTGCCCAGAATTGCAGCAAATATAAAATTTGTTAGTCTTGGATTATTCAAAACTATACAGAACGGATCGTTGTCAAAGACTGAAACATTTACTCAGACGAGCTTGGAACCTCATCAATCTGTATAACACTCCATCCTCTCTGTGACCTATTTAAAACATATCCAAAGCCAGAAATACTGACGCCAGAACCTACTCAATTTTTTAGACAAAACTGCTCATTGTAACATGCTTCTTTTTAGGTAAATAAACAAATAGTGGGCGGTAGATTTCCAGTTACAAGAGAAGCAGCATTAGAATTCTCATCGCTTATGGCTCAACTTGATGTGGGTGATTGTTCCTTGAATTCCAGTAAATCTAATGTTAGTCATACCTTCCCCAGCCACCAAGGTAAGTAAGAAATATAATATTTATCATTTCCACATTCAATTGACCATTTGTAATCGAGAAAAAATTCGAAAAGGGGTATTTTTTTAAATCTACTTGCCTTGTTCATTACGAAAAAACTGTCACTCATTTCCGACGATCTATGTGCTCGTTAATCCTTAATCTAACTAGGAAAATACGATTGCATTTTGATGAAATTTTGACACAGGAATACTGTCATGCCAAGGACGAATAAGCTTTATGGTTTTGAAAATCGATCAAGTGGCTTCGAGGCTGGAACTTTTCAATAACCATTTCAGACACACGTGCTCAATCCCCCATCTTTGCTATCAGTGAAAGAAGTTTTATTATTGAGAAGCTTTCTGTCTGCCAATATCTTCGCATCGGATGGAAAAAATCTTCTAATTGTTTGCATAGTCTTATTCAAAAAGTGCCTCTTTTAATGAATCTGCATGTTGTTAGGACCAAATTTGCCTTAAAAACTAAAAACAAACTTCAGATTCCAAAAATTGTTTTTGTTTTCGCTCCGCTCAAAGTGCCTTTAGGTTTTTTGGGGCATTCTGAATAAAAAACCACGCTTTAGAACTTTTCTCTATATTTGAGAGTTTTCGAGTTATAAACGATACAATATTAAAAAAATTGCGATGTCATTTTCGACCCGGAAAAAAATATGAAGAAATGAAAATTTTAATGTTGCCAATATTACTAAATGTTCTCTTCAAACATCCATTACCAAAATTCAAAAGTATTTTAATACATTTATTGTTGTGGTAAACCTTTGTTTTCCAATTGTTAATCGAGCACGCGCTGAATGATTCTCCGCCGCTGCTGGCGGCCGCCCCTGCATGTTGCATCTCTCTCGCACTGATGCAGAGCATACGCTGAGCGCTCACTCGATTAACAACTCAAAAACACAGGTTTACAATAAAAATAGGTACTGAAATGCCTTGGGATTTGGTTAATATATATTTGAGGAATATTTAGGAACATCGGCAATATTGATTTTTTTCATTTTTACATGATGTTTTGCTTTGTCAAAAAGTGCCTCTTTTGTTCAGACTGTCCCAAAAAACCTGAAAGCACTTTGAGCGGAGTGCAAACATTTTTTCTTAGAATTTGAAAAAATTATTTTAAAAATTGTTGACGTACGTTTGGCCCTGGTACATGCAGATTCGTTGAAAGGGGAATACCATGTCTGAATCTCCCAAAAAGTGTAAGTCCACGAGCATTTACTGCATAGAAGTCAGGGATTGGTGAGAAAAGCAAAAAATCAGGTTAGAATGTCAACAAGGATCGTCAATATAGATCATGCATCATGCCATTACTCAAGAGATACCCAAAACTTAAGACTGCGAATTTACGAAAAACAGATAAATTGATTTGAATTCCGTCCGGGACATCATGAAACAGATTCGAGGAAAGTTGCGTCTGGCAGGGCAGAATGGGCCACTCCACATAATTCGATAGTATAGTTTAGTTAAATATCGAGTTGTTATTTAGTGTTCAAATAAATTTCTTCATTAAAAAAAAATCCGAAAAATAGTTTATGCCAATACTTTTAGGACATACGTTACTACGCATCTGTTAGACATGATAGTCACACATATTTTCCATACATTGGAATATTACACTTTTTAATCGAGGTATTTTCTTAACATTTCAGGAACTTCAAACATCCACTCGAGCCCAAAATCCACAGCAAACGGCACCTTAAGCCCCCAGTCCACCTTGCAAAACTCGAACACCCTGAACGCGCTGAACAACGTACACGGTATCCTGACAGCGCACTCCAATCAAGCACTTACCGCCATCGACAAGTTCTATCCGTACCGTTATAGGGACCAGCTGAGTCAGGAGGGACTGCAAGAACTACAGGCCAAATTGCTGGCCAAATGGAGGGCTCTGAAGGGCAGGACGCAGGCTGACTGTGTTAGGGCTTACTTGAATTCTACGAGGAAATGGCCGTTCTTTGGGCATACGCTGTTTCAGGTGAGAGCGTACTACTAGAAGTTGTTATGTATGGTCAAAAATGTGCGCAAAACCTCGAGAGGTTCACTTGAAGCCGCCTTAAGTTGCACGCCCACTGAAGAGAAGCGACACGAAGGGAACCGCTTCGAGACTTGTCATTTTCGTTCTGATTCTGTGTAAAGGAACTTAATGGCCATATACCTTTATTCTGAGGACGTCTTAGGCCAGCCGCGCACATGCAATTTTCGGTCGCACGGCAAAGCATTTTGTAACTTTTTGCCTAATTTAACTTTAGATCGGCTATGTGGTGAAAATCGATAGTTTTTCTTGTATCCTGTGCATACTTCTATGGAAAGTGTATTACTGCTCGTATTTACAGTGAATTTACCCGCGCAATAATGACATTTGAAACTATTTTTCAGGCTCGACTCCGTCAACAAGATTCCCCAATGACCTGGCTAGCTGTAGGCGAGGACGCAATCACAATTTTAGATCTGGCAACAATGCAGCAACGTGTCCGCTACCCCTACACCAACGTGCTCACTTTCGGCGGCTGTCAAGAAGACTTTATGCTGGTGGTTACTCAGAACGATCAGCAACCATCTCAGAAGCTGATCTTCTCGCTCAGCAAACCGAAGATTTTGGAACTGACGTTGCTGATTGCCGACTACATGAATATGCTGATGAACCCAGGGACACCATTATTGGGGACGCTCAGTAGGGGAACCATGGTATGTTTTTCAGATTCGGAAAATAGTGGTCAGAATGAGATAAATGATGCCCCCAAATAGTTATTTATCAACGAATTCAGACTAGGTAGAAGGAGGCAGTCCAGTGTACTATTGGTCTTGTGTTTGTCTTGGCGGTCCGTAGTCATTAGTCACTGTCTAAAATGTACATTAGTCGAATCTGTCAGTCCTGGTTGCCCAGAAACCAGACAATATCAAGGAAAACGAGAAAGGGAAAGAGAAGAAAAAAGGAGAAGAGCAAAGAAAAACAGAGGAGTTTAGCTTAAGAGAAAACATCTAGGCTTTTTGACTTGGTACACGGATTAATTTTGAGGTAAACTAAACAAATTGTGATTCAAGTTTTGTTAGAATGTAATTTTGAGATTTTTGATCACTTGCTGCACTGTGTAGTCCACTGAGTCACGCAACAAAGTGTTGCTGTGCGATTCCGCTCGACTATAACGTCGCAGCGTCTGAAGCTTGACATAATCCCTCAAGTAAGAATGTCAACGTCTCTGTGTAGTGTGTCATTGGAGACATACCATTGAGCGTTGCAAATTGTTCGCAAAGTTCTGCTTTGCAGTACTTGAAGACTTTGCATGTGTGTTTTGGCAATAAAACACCAAGCCGCTCATCCATAAGTAATGCCTGGGCTAATAATCATTTTATATAGTCGAAGTTTGTTTATCACACTCAATTTGGGGAGGATCTACATAACAAAGGTTATAGTTATCGAAACGCAATTTGGAATTTTGTTTTCAGGCTGCTGAAAGTTTTATTTCAGGTAATGCCTTTATCAAGGGTGACATCGAGATACTTGGCAGTATTTGTCCGTGGTACACGATTTCCGTCTACATAAACCTCTGCTGGGAGGCCGCGACGTTTTTTGGTACAATAAATAGCCAGCGTTTTCGAATTATTAATTTTAATCAGCCACCGTTCCGCCCACTCTAGAACTTCGTCCACCGCACTCTGCGACCTATCGTGAACCAGATCACCAGTGCACGACTGGGCGACAAGTGCAGTGTCGTCAGGATAGAGGTAGACTAAACCGTTGCTGGGGCAAGGGACATCATGGATAAAAAGCGAATACAGGACTGGTCCTAGGACCGAGCCCTGAGGAACACCGGCCCGTACTGGCTGTATTGTTGACAAAACATTGTTAATTTTGATCCGAAGCTTCCTTCCTTCAAGAAAGGATTCCAGTAATTTTAGAAGCCAAAAAGGAAAACCCTTTTAGATTAGTTTGTAGAGGAGGCTCGCGTGCCACACCTTGTCAAAGGCTTTTGAGACATCCAAAAGCAAGATCCCATTACTTATGCTGAGGGTGAACCCTCTGGTTACGGACCGAGAACCGAATTGAACGTCAGGAATCACATGGTGATTTGAAGAAAAATTCTCAAGGTGGCGAGGTTAGGAGTTGACAGCAGAGTAATGAGACGGTAATTCTGAGGAAATATCAGACCCACCTTCTTTGGAATCATGATGACATCAGCAGTCTTCCATCCAGCACAGAAGTACTGGATTCTGAGCATCGCATTGATTATTGTCAAAAAATATATCAGAGCTTTCGGCGAGAGCAGCTTCAACGCCTTGTTGGTGATTTGATCCTCCCCAGGTGCTTTACGCACCTTGAGGTCTTTAAGGAGCTCCGCTAGTGTGCAATGTGGAACCTCGGAGGGTTAAGCTAATGTGGTATGTGGAGCATCAGACGAATCTTCTGAAGAAGAGTCATCTGAAGACGATTCAGTGCCTCCGCTAACGCTGTTGGCCCTAAAATATCTCCTCACGGATCGTATTGTGTTGTTCCTCGTCGAGGTCATTATCAAGATCATAGTTGGGAGAGAAATGTTTTACCATGGCATGAGCAAAAACCTCGACCTTGTCCTCCGTTCTGAAGACTATGCCTCCAGGTCAGTGGATGTGCGGGAGAGAGGAATACTTGAATTAAGCAATCCCGCCAGAAAGCCGCTCCATTGTTCGTTGCAGAATTCGTGCAGTGCGTTTCTGTTTCTCACTTCATTGACAAGATTTGTAGCCCTACGAATGTCATCAAGATGAACAGGCATGTGTTTTTGTTGGTCTCTTAATTCTCATACAGTGTAGTAGGATCAAAGTACTTCACATACGTTAATTTTGAGTTGTGTCACTACATTACTATATTTAGTATTATTGTGCGAGTTTGCAGATAATTGTGGTGTTCACAATACATGGTGGTTCTTACGTATTTTGCAAAGAGCAGCACAAGCATAATGAAGCTAGATGTTTCCACCGGTAAGTATTATACGTTGATACAACGCTGTCAACTTGGTAGGCACTAATAGCCAAATGGGTCAAAAGTATGCACTAAACTGCGCAATTTTAACGACAAACAATAACATATAGAAAACATATACACTTGGCTCCTTCTAATCTATTCGAATTCGTTGGTATTTACGGACTTAATCATGCGCTAATTTTGAACGAGTTGACTAGACATTTTATTTTCTGTTTTTGTTATCTAGGCCCGATTTTACTAATCCGGGGCGCAAACTTGATCAATCGGAAGGCGTTTTTGAAGTAATGGATCTCATGAATATAGCGGATTTCTTGTAAAATAGATGTAGAGCAAAATTATACGATTTGTGCAAGCTGGACCCTAATTCTCATAATAGATCGAGAAATTCTTCATATATCACCCGGTAAAAGCTAAAAAAAGCATATTCTTTCATTTGACCCCGTGCACAAAATTTGTGTCTAGGACACAATTTCCACCAATCCAAAAGATGGATTTACGACCTGGTTCCGAAATTCCGTTCTCTCTTCGATTCTCCGTCGCTTTTTAATCCCCTAGTAGAAGCAGGTAACGGGGGCATTTAGAGAATATTCAACACTGCTTTTGCGATATCTGCCTAGCGGCGGGACCTATGCCTCGACAATCGTCCCCTGCTTTGCAATGGCAGCGATATCGAATTTCTCTTTCACTAGACGGCGTTAGTGTGACTGGAGGTCAAACTATCAAAAGTAGATAGGACAAAAAGGCAAATTTAAAAGTATCTACCAGATGTGTTCAGAAAATAACGTAAATAAATTTCGCAGGTTTTGAGAGTGTGATTGTCATTTTCTTTTTATTATGTTGGTATACATGCCTCTGAAGTATGATAAAATTTTCTGCTATATTCATTACCTACTTTGTGGAAGCCGCTAAGGTTAGACGTGCTTATACGAGCTCAGTGATTTTCGTTTGTTAAAAGAAATGGATCAAAGAATTTCTATTAAATTTTGCGTGAAAAATGAAATAAAGTGTATAAAACGTTAACAGAGGCTTCGTGATGAGTAAATCAATAGTCCAAAACTGGCGTTTCCAATATGGTCATAAAGGCCTATTAGATAACGAACGTCCCGCACGCCTCAGCACATCAACTACCGATGAAAAAGTGGAAGAAATCGCGAACGAAGTTGCTCAGGAGTCACTAAATGAAGTTAACGCCGATGCAGAATTACTGAAACGTGTTATATGAGGTGACGAAACGTGGGTTTACAGATATGACGTAGAAACTAAGACGCTCAATCGTCCAAGTTGATGCATCCTGGCTCACCAAGACCGAAAAGAGTCGGCACCTGCACACACTTCAATACTAGTTCGTTGTTACGATGTTTCAGCCTCAATATTCGGCCGATATAGCTCCGGGTGACTTTTTCCTATTTCTAAAAATAAAGAGAACATTTAAGGGCCGTCGTTTTACAAGCATAGATGACATCAAAAGCGCATCGCTGAAAGATCTAAACGCTATGCCAAATATCAAGTTTGAAAAGTGTTTCGAGGATTGGAGGAAGCGCTGACACACGTGATTTTAAACATTAATGTAGACGTTAATGTTATTTTCTGAACACACCTCGTATAACCTTAGACATGGCCGCCATCCTCACTAGCTGTATTTATCTGTAGCTTTCCAGATTACCCTCTACAACAATGCAGCGTCGCCATTTATAGCTGGCCAAAGGTTGAAAATAGCTTCTCTGTTCCAGGTCTCAGTGAATCAATCAGTGGTAAATCAGTCGATAATCAGTCAGACATTAGCCAGTCAGACTCAGCCAGACATCCTAAAATCAACCCCTGATCATGCGATGGTCCAACGATCCGACTCGAAAAGAAGGACTCATATTGATTCTGGTTTGGCGTGATGAAAGATGTGAGAATGAAGTTTACGGATGTGTTAGGTGTGCCAGGTGGATTTGTTCATGATTTTTTGCCTAGGTTGGCATTAATGAAGTATGGAGATATAATTCACAAGGTGGATCAAAATTTCACCAAAGAGTAGTTATATCAAGAGAAGACACGTGGTGCAATGCCGTTATAATTCGCCGATCGGCCCAATTGACCTTGAGAGTCATCTGCATTATAGTAGAGAAGCCAATCATAATTTTTTTTTGTTACATCATTGCATTCTGATGAGATAGGATAAAAACTAGTCACATATTACGTATTTTGTTGCTGTTTGCTATTTATCATCAGAATTTAGCATTTCAATCAATCCCCGATTCAACCATAACTTTGCGGTCGGCCCTTTAACTATTACTGGTTCACAAATAAAAACGGCGATGTATGTGTGGACCAACCTTGGCTTGGCGATTCGCTTATAGGTGTTTTGCCGAGCTGGCATAACATTTTTATAAAACGCTACAATTATAAATACCAAGGAGAAGCTCTAATTTATCTCTAATCTTATCCGCCTTGTCTGTTTTCTCTTTATATAACTATTCTTTGATCTCACTATGGATCATGTTCAAGACAACTAAAGGTGCACGCTCATAGAGGGGAAGAGAATTGATTGGTGTCGCGCGACAATGTCGCTGACAATGCTTGTTATACAGCTGCTTCTATCGGACTTGATCGTTGAACATGTTTACTCGACACGAATGGATTCTGTTCTTCTCAATGTGCGTGTAAAAAAAACTAACCTGAAAAGCGCGCAAAAAAATCTTTGTTAGTCATGATCACTTGTAGTACATGGATTTTCGTTCAAGAATAGTATGATCAGATCGAGTATATAACAATTTTTTATTTGATTTAACTTGCAAACTATGCAAACATACAGTGAAGTAGTTAAAACTGTAATTTAACCATTCTACCGTTGAATTTTAATCATCCTAAAAGCAAGAAATGGTTTGAAACTCTCCAAACTTCATTAGCTTTTAGGCGCATTAAATTGAATTTGTTTTATTGCATAAAGCGACTCATTTTATCCTCATCATTCTCAATTTTAGAGAGACATCTTGTAATTACGACTGTAAACGCAATAATATATTGGTTGTAATTGGTATAGAAATATCTGCTTGATAGCCACTAATCTGTTTTACGTAGGGTGCTTCATTATGATGAGTCCAAATAAAATGCCGAAACAACGTCACCAGTCTTACCTTATAAGAGTAACCGTGGCAAGTCAGGTATTATTAGCTTATAATCCAACATCTGGAACTTGACATGTTTTCATGTTGATAAAATTGCATATTTTTCGTGTAGCTAAATGAAACTACATATGCAGGTCTCACTCTTTACGAATAACTCTTTAAAAACGTTTCAGCCACTCAGCATATATTAAAGTTTAAATAATTAACCAGAAAATTTTTATAGATTTACCTTGGGGAGCTACATCATTTTGAGGTAAAACCATAATGACCCACCCTTTAACTAATTGTGGTATTTTCGAATATTTTTCTCATATTGGAGGTGTATGAATCTGTAAATAAACAAGACGAATATTTTTGTGTAAATAAGTGTTTTTAGTTTATTATGTTATGTTGATAGATTTTTTATTTGCATTTAGCTTCAAAGGCTTCACGAAGTTCCGATGCTGTTAGTTCTGCATTACATTGAAATACATAGTATTTTTTAAAACAGTTGATATTATACAAAATTTATATTTCGTCGCTGATTTAAATCAGTGCCATATATACTGCTGTATGTAGTTTAAACTATGTTTGTGTAAATGGTATTATTAGTTTTTAGCAGTGACACAATCATATAACTAATAGAGCGATTTAGATTCACCTCAAAGAATTTCTGAGTTCAATACTTCTTGAATTCCTAAAGAAAATCGTATCTAAACAATGGATACAATTCTGGTGTCATAGGTTTAAATCTGCATTTTTAGCTGCTATACACGGTGTTTCACTTCAATCTCCCCACCTATTTCAAAAACCGCGCATTCCAGAGAAAATGTATCAAACAAAAGACCTCGACTTCGATTTTCAGTATTAGTCTAATCATATTAGCAAATTTCCCCGAAATAATTGTAAAGTCTCGTTTTATTGGCGCAAGTTGTTCTAGGGGTATTTAAAACAGGCGCATAAAATGGGTACACCATTTTTGTGGGAAAACTTTTTATTTGACAACAAAGAATTAGAAAACATGTTTTTTGGGATTCAATCGAAAGTGTAGACAGGAACCTTTCATATAAGATTTTTAGGTATCTATGAGACCCTCAAAATGAGACCACACGTAAAAAGATCCGACTAATAGCAAAAATATTATGGCCGAAAAACGAGGTCAAATGCAGGTTTTGGCACACAACTACTTGAAATTCTTCAAATCGGTGGGATTCATACTTCTAAATAACAACAAAATTGGATTATATTGTTCAAGTAGTTTTTTGAGAATTTCTAATTGTTTATCCCAAAACACCTGTTTTCACGCCATCACTACTAGTTTATTGAGCAATATACAGGGTTCGTTCAAAGAGCATTTAATAGCAAAATACACGGGTTTACCTTGTCGGTATGAATCACAAACCAATCCGAAAGATAAATGTTATTTTTATGCGAAAAACAAAGGTTACGTTTTTTCTTCTAAACAAATTCAAACATTTCGTATTTGTGAGTAATTGAACAAATGAGCTTTGATATTCGAAAAACATACGTTACTATACACATTTTAAAGCAATGCGGATGTGTCTATCATCTTTTGTTGAGAATTACTCACAAATACCAAATGTTTGAATTTGTTTAGACGAAAAAACGTAACCCATCCTTTTTTGCATAAAAATAACATTTGTTATCTTTCGGAATGGTTTGCGATTTATATCGGCAATGTAAACTAGTGTATTTTGCTATGAAATGCCCTTTGAACTAACCCTGTACATTGCTCAATAAACTAGTAGTGATGGCCGGAAAACAGGTGTTTTGGGATAAATTAGAAATTCTCAAAAACTACTTGACCAATCTACTCCAATTTTGTAGTGGTTATTCAGAAGTACGAATCCTACGAATTTGGAAAATTTCAAATATCTGCGAAAAACCATCGTCGCATTACCAGCAAGTGCTAAAATCTGCAGTTTGCTTCGGTTTTCGGTCATAACTTTTTTGCTATTAGTCGGATCTTTTTACGTATGGTATCATTTTGTAGGTCTCATAAATACCTAAAAATCTTATATAAAGAGTTTTTTCGTTCCTGCCAACACTTTCGATTGAATCCCAAAAACACGCTTTGTATTCTTTGTTGTCGAATAACAAGTTTTCTCACAAACATTGGTGTACCCATTTCATGCGTCCATGACTTTACAATTATTTCGCAAACCAGGGGTATTTTCGGCTAATATGATTAGACTTATAAAGATGAAAGGTTTTCATTGAGCATATTGACTTGACCTTTGAAGGCCATGGTTAAGATCACCTTTGGGTAATCCTCAAACCTCGCACCTGTGCTGTCATTTTGACTTTGAAGGCAATGCTCAGGGTCATGATCACGGTTATGTTAAGATGTAACATATGCTCCTCTTTTTAACCCCGATGTGAAAAGGGAGGTTCCATTTGAAAATATTCATTTAACCTTGAAATGACTGTCATACTCAAGGTCAATGTTGACATCATTTTGCCTCATCGGAACCTTAAAAATTTCGTTTGAAACTTTAGTTTCTAGAATGCGCAGTTTTAGGTGAGGAGATTCAAATTGGACACCGTTCGGATAGCCGATACAAACCGTTTTTAAGGGTGCTATAGATACTATCACCTCACATCAGGCCATATATACCTATCTATAAATTCGTTCGAAAAACCACGAGGCGCTGCAAATCGAATCATTCAGAAAACCAAAATAATTTTTTATAAAGTGTACGTGTATGATAAATGAACAAAATAACAGAACTAAGCGACGGTTTATCACATAATTTTAGTTTTTTTCTGGGATTTCGTAAAATTGCGCGTAACTCAAAAACGATTCGACTTTGTACTCAGGTGTACTTGGTTTAATGTGTTCCAAATGGAGCGTAAAATGTTGGTGTCGATCGAGGGAGAGCTCGAATAAACCATCCACACACACACGCTACTCTCTCTATCCCTCTGAAACACATTAAGTACTTACTGTTTGTTTGTTGTTTGTCTGGAAGAGTTATTAGAAAAGTAGAGGTATATGTGGTGACTATGCAAAGCTTTGTTCTCTATAAAGTGATGTTAGGTGATATGAGTCTTTGATTATCTTGACAACCGTGATCGTTACGTTATTAAATCGAATTTAGTGTGACAATGATAAAAATCAACAATCTCATTTGATTGGCCTGTAATGTTTTCAGAAACACCTGGAATATAGATTTTCGAACTGGAGATACAGCCGCTTTATGCAACTCATGTAAACAGTTCACGAGATGATCAATCTCCTCTACTGGTGATTCAAAATAAATTGTTTGTAAATTGATATGGCGAGACGTAAATCTATATCGCTACCGCTTGCAGGAATCTAGCAGAAAGATTTCACGCAATGACAGTATGTATTTATTTTCTCGTAATCACATTGTTAACAAGGCACAACTTTTTCATTTATACTTGCATATTACTGTTTATGTGCTGTTTACATAGATGTTTTGTAGTTATTTTTCCCCTTTAGCTGTCCATAATTACTTCTTGTTTGGAGGCATATTCATTTAAAAATTATTTAATTGAAGGATTTTTTTATATTATAATCTGACTGAAATTTTCAAGACTTGTTTCAAATATGACTAGATACTATTTTTATCAACATCTTCAATTATCATACTCCTAATATTCTCCAATCGAATTTTTTATTCATGTATCGAAACATGCCTTCAAATAATTTTGCTCCTTGTAGAGTTTGTAGCTTTTTCTAGTCTTTTTTGTAACAGAGTTGTATGCATGTTCGACAATAGTTACCATTACGAGATTTTCTTTTCAGAATAAGAGAATGTATTTATTTGATAAAAATTACCGGAAATATTTTTCGGTTAAAGATGGTATTTCCGTATTTTTTAACTAATCAATAAGTGATAATTTTTTGGTATATATACAATTCATATATTAATACCATTATTTATTATTTACATAAAATAAATATTTATAAGAAAAATCCGTTTTTCATTCCCTAGACTTCCAAATAAACATGAGTTTATTTCACTAGACTATCAAATATGAAGATATGAAAATTTTCAAGAAAATTTTGAAAAATTCAGATTTATAATAATGATGATAAAACGTCTTTATTGGACGAATATTTAGTACCTGTAAGCTATTCTACAACTTAACCCGTGAACTGTCAATACAAAAAATAAACAATATATACCACAAAAATGTTTCAACATACGTGTATGAGCAGAAGTGAGGAGGGATAAATTTATGTTAATGATTGCTCGAAAATGATTTTTTTTATAAATAAGACATTCCGTAAAAAATGAAGGCAGTGTTATGTTAACAAAGCGAACATCTCGTTAGTGAATAGAACCACGACATGTCAACCTATATTTTAAAAATGGTGGAACAGAGCTAAGTAAAAGCTTATGAATGTAACTCAGTAAATGAAATCTAATAGATCAGAAATATTAACAATAGAAAGACAAACTTAGTATACACCTATATTGCCCCAAAGCAGTCAAAATGATTGCATTGTGAAAAATAACTACTGCGTAAAGAAATTTGTTTAAAAATGATTTTTAATATTTTTATATTATTTACAGTCATACGGCAAGTTATTAGTAAGTATTCACAATAAAAAAAATTACTTCACTTGGAAAACAAAATTATGCTCGCGGTTCTCCGACTCTATCAAAGCGTATATTACAGTATGTGATCCTACAGTCAGTGATCAGGCCTGGCATAAAGATTCGAATAAGTACTACTTTAGTTATTGAACAACTGCAACTGGTCATATAAGAAATTTACTCAATTCAATAATAAAAGTCATTTGCTTACTAAAATTTTACAATTAGTCAAAATGACTGCTTTTGGGCAATACAGGTATAACACAAGTATATATATATATATATATCGGAAATAAAGGAGGGCGAGGCAACTACAGTGATTAATAAACGCAACTATATGTTGTACAAAAAGTCAAAAAAATTATAAGAAGCTGAGTCATTATATATAGAAAATGATGGCTTTTTCTAATTACTGAAAAAAAATTTTTGTAACATTGTTTACATAAGGAATAAAATTTAGACATTCATTTTAATGATAAAGCTGCATATTTCTTCATTTGATTTCTAATTTTTTTAGAAGAGAATATAATAACCGGATTTAATATAAGATTATTACTTTTTGCTTACTTGTCTTCATTAATTTGAGCCTCAGCAATTATTACATTGTCAGTATTAAAATTGTTATCGGAGATATATAAAATATATTGTTAAATATAAAGTATGTCGAACATCGAAGCTCGGGATTATAAGTACTTTTGTCGTCGTTTTGAGACTAAAAATTCAGAAAATAAATGTTAGTTGACAAAAAGAAACACGCTTTAATAGCAAATTATTATAATTGCACCCGACACTTTTTTAATATAATTGATTTTTTGCTAATGCCGTAATTTTTATATTAATCTTACTCCAAATAAATTAGTCATACTTGATTGTTGAACTTTCTATTGCAGTAACATAAACTCTCCTAAACTTGAAAATTGTTTTCAACTTTTTAGTTCTATTTGCTATCAAAGTTGCCATTCGACTTGTTTGTCAAATAAACTTGTGAAAATAATTTCACCACACTCTTTTCGTTAATTCCTTCGACAACACCGACTGTCAAATGCACTTGCGGAGTTAATTTCAACAGACCATTTTCGTTAGTATTTTCTACAACGACAACTCTCGATCCACGGCGCGGCGAATTGAACAACTCTGACTTATTTTTACCCTGAAATTATTTCCTCAGAACTATAAGATTTTTAAAAGCAAGATGCAAGATACCACCCTGTATTGTCGACCCACTAGCATGATTCAAATTTGACATAATGATAAATTTTATAGTCCATACCGAGAAATGATTTCGACGGTTATTTTTTCCATCAAAAAATCATGAGCGATAGTAATTGGCCTTCGATCTCCTCCCAGGAAGGCCTATGCGAAGATAAGGGTGTCGGATCCTTCAAGGGCTCATTATTAGAGGTGTTGGATAATAAAAATAAGACCATAGACGCCCTCAAAAAGCAACTTTACAACCAGAAGCTCCAGCTGATGTACTATTTCCAAAAAGGATTGGGCACTTCCAAGTTACTGAAACTATCAAAATCATGCAGCACCCACAATTTCGATCAGAGTATGCCCCTAGTTTTAGCATTGAATAAGTTCAAAAAGGAGAATGGTCTGAAGAGCAGTTTGTATCAAGTTTATGAACGGATGGGATTTCTTGATAGAAGAATCGAGGTACTGCTGAATATCCAAGAATTAGCTTTAAAAGAACTGGTGAGTAGATTACAGGAATTCATCTTACAAGCTGGAAAATATACTTTATATGACTTTTTGAGGGACCCGTCTCACATAGATTTATTAAACAATCTGCTAAAGGCAACTAGCGATCTGAAAAGGCAACTGGAGATATTAAAAATTTCTTGTAATCGTCTTTTGGCCATTGAAGATGAACGCAACATCATAGTGGAACAAGTTTATTCATTGCCTGTTGAACAAAGGGTCGACAACAACTGTTTGATGACTGTTCAAATGGAAAATATAGAGTTGGAGAGACAGGTCAAGCAAATTTTAAAAGAAAACGGTATAATGAACGATAAGCTAAAGGAGCTGAACAACTTGGAAGAAAAAGTTTTTTGTTTACAAGACCAAATCGACAACTACAACAAATCCGGCGGAAGTTGCATTGTTGCTGCTTTGGAAGAAGTTAATAAGGAAGCTAATAATCTATTACGACTTACTGACGAACAGAAAAATAAAAATAAAGCACAGAAATCATCGTCTTTGAGCAGATTTACTCGTTTGCTAAAATCTGCTATCGAATGTGACTGCCCCTCAAAAACCATAAATTTATGCAAGTTTTCTGCTTCTGATTTAAAACTTATCGAAATAATAAAGCAAGATATCCAAATGGCAAATAAAAACAAGAAAAGTGCCTTAGAGAAAGAGTGTGAGGAATTGAAGAAAAAACTCACAGAGGCATATGCAGAAAGAGATAAATGCAAATCTACAGTTATTCAGCTACAAAAAAATCATAACACCAATAGTTATAATCAACAAACGAAATTAGTACAGATGCAACAAGAGCGGGATATTTACAAACAACAAGTTGAAGACTTGCAGGTTATACGAGAGGCATATGCTCAGTTAGTCGATAGGCAACCAAACCTAGCAAGAAAATCTCAGGAGAAGCAAAGTGAATTAGATCATTTGGAGAAGGTAAATTTAAAACTGCAGAATAAAATTAGTTTATTAAAGAATATCATAAATAAGCAAGATAAAGAGATAGCACTGCAAAATCAATTCATTCAAGACTTGAGGAGTTATAGAGAGGAACACATTAGACTAGAAAGGAATTCTTGTATAAAATCGTTGATGAGTTCTGTGAGTTTTTCCGGCTCATCTAACTATGCCTCGTGTACCGATCGAGATTCCTACAAATATTCCAGAGAAATCATTGTTGAGGAAAAGTGGAAAGGGAACGGTAAAGATCAATTCGCTATGATGACCCAAATCAACTCTTATGCTCTTGTACGCAAATCAGACAACTATTTGTTAAAAGCTCCCAAATGCAAACTACACACACACAGTGTGAGAAAGTTATCAAACACTTCTCAACCCGGTATCCAGAATATTTGCGTAGAAAATGAAGAAATGAGAAATAACTATATTGCTGCCTTGAATGAGCTGGTGGATCAAAGTAAAATAGGGACCAAACGTATTGATTTAGGAATTATTGACGAGTACGAACTAATGAAAGACGCTCCGAATGATATTGAAGCCATGGTTTGTCAACCAGTCAGGAAGCGGAGGCAAGATGAACATCTTCAAATATCTGCTATATGAAAACATATGGAAATGGGAAGATAATTTAAAGTGTATTTAATGAGATAAATGACGTAATAAAAAATGTGTCTTATGAAATTTTGAAAATAACGTTTATTCAATAACGTTGATATATGGAAAAGCACTGATTAAAAGAAAAAACGCCGAGACACGTCAAAAGTTTTGTCAATAGGGACCACTTTTTAAGCAAAAGCTACTTCACCCCCTTCCACCCTCTGCCTCATAGGGTCATCCCCTTAAAAAATTTAAATGACAAGGGGTATCGAGTAATAGCTTGTTTGGAAGGTCTTTCGAAATCGTTTATTTTGACGTTTGATTTTTTAAATCGGTCGATTCGTTTTCAAGAAAATTAGAGAAACCTTTATCTTAATTTCTTCAGATAGAAAACAAAAACTCACGAAAATATCACTTTTTATTTCAATAAGTGTTCAAAATGTTGCCCGTTAGGGTTTTCAAAATCTACAACTCGTTTATAATTTAAAACGGAAACCATCAACATAAACAGCAATTCAGAAGATCGGACGTGGCAACAAGCAAATAACAACCTGTTTTTTTTCGCATTTTTTTCATCAACACAGATATCCTGGCTAAACTGTATTTATTGTTATACCTGTTTAGTTATTTGTTGCTAAGGGAAAAAAGAATTTAATTTGCTATCATTTACCTCTGTGACAATCTTGGGATAGTAACAATTAATTTCTTGATTCAGATCTTACTTCCAAAATGGTTTACACACTAGCCGAAAGAGTGGAAATGATTCTAATAATTTATGGTGCCCAAAATCAATGTTCTAGGCAAACTGCCGTCACGTTTAACGCCCGACATCCGGGGAAGATAACTTCGCATAAGTATGTTTTGGACCTCAAGTTGAAGTTTTGGGTCATTTTGGAATAAATCCGAATACTTCATTACGCAAAATTGATGCTGCGACTGGTATTTCCTTAATCTCTGTACACACAGTTACTAAACTCCATAAATTTCATTTCATTCAAAATGAAAATATTGCAAGAGTTAACCGAAGATATATATATATATATATATACTCTCCAATGAGTCGACACCGACACGTGTTAGAATTTTTCATCAGAAGGCCTACCAAATGAGGCACGAGTGACTGATGAAATTGTAGGCGTCGCGGCGGCACACATCCGATAGTTTTAGCAACCAAAAATAGTAAATACATAAACGTTGACGTCGTCATAAGTAGTTAATAGATTATAAGTTTTCGTTAAAGTTTAGTTAGTAGTAGTTAGTTAAAGTATATGGTATTTGTGAAATCGATCTATTACTTACATTAAGTCAGTTAGATATTTCGTCAAAATAGGTCGAAAATGTCAAACATCTGTGGCAATATAGCCACGCCGTACTACAAATATTACCGCATGTTGGTGATCACACTAAAGCAGCTAGATAATGTAAAAGAATTGTCCATTTAGAAGGACTATAATAAATTCGTGCAGAAGTTTCTGCTTTTTATCAAGAAAATGAAGTTGAAACGTTTTACCTTCAACTACGACCTTTCCTTGATTTCAAGCGCATCCTATTTATCTTGAGATAATATGTCTTTAGTGGATCGTTTATTCTGAAATCGGTTTTGGAGTCTCGCAATAAAGAAAATGCTTATGATTCCATTTGAATCGTTCAGACTTACCTTCAAAGGGCCGCTAACAACAAAAATGTGTTCAAGATAACTTGACAAAGAACTACTGAATTGACAATGTCATCAATTTTCAATGACATCCTTTAGGAACCTATATATTCACAGAGGACACTTTTCATAATTTACCCGATTATTTTTCATTCTAGTGAGCAAGAATGTTCTAGGACATCCTATATAACATATTTCATCTGTAAAATCATCGACTTCAAAATTAAACTTTCTTTCGATTTCAGATCAACGATATATTGAACTTATTTATGTACAAATACAATGGCACAATTAAAAAGCGCCAACTTCTTATCATCTCTCAAATAGCAGCTCTGATGATTTTCTCAACAGTCCTCGTACACAACCCCAAATCGTGCAGCCGTATGAACAACTCTAACGTTTCACTGCTATCAGTTCCTACATTATATGGCATATCGTGAAAGACGACGTAGGTCGCCATTTTTTTTAGTAATACTGTACTCGTAATGTTATCACAGAAAGACTTTCCTGTCAAGTACTTGCACAGCAACTGCTTGAGTTCGTCATCCCATGTGTTCAGAACACGCGCAATCTCCTGCTGAAGTGTCAAGATCATTTCCTTTGAGATCAGGTTTGCGAATTTATTCATTGAGATTTGACTGTCGATTATTTTGTACTGCCAGATTGCCAGGCTATCCGGGGAGGTAGGCAATTTTTCGACAAACTGAAAACAAAAAAATAGTCAAGTGGATAGGCTTAGTACTTTTCATGAATCGTACATCTGATGACCAGTTGTTGAATTAGAACCGAATCAGTATACAAGATAGTTAGATTTAGTAATAGCTTCGAAATGATGTATCAAATGACCCACATTTCATTAAAAAATTCAAACTTGCAAATGTCACTTTTATGTTAGCTAAACTATAGATTAGGTCATTTTACGGTTTTTCGCACATCCATCACTCTCACATACATATGCAATCTGCGTTTGTTTGTGTGAGCTCTTAAATATACGTTTTTCACTTTTGTTTCGAAATTCACCCGTCAACGTATGAGGTTTGCATATGTATTTTTCGCTGACATTATGACAACTTGCTTATCATAGGCGTGTGATTTGTGTTCACCTTTTGTTAATCTTCGATATAAAATACAACAATGAGTATACCACTACAGTGTATGTATGAACAAAGCCTCAACCAGAATATACTTGCGGCTAGAAAGTATTATCACAGCCGACGTCAACTACGGTTGACGTCGGCTGCGGGATGATGCTCCAGCGGCGGCCATGAATCTGACGTTCACATATATCCAGAACTTTGTCTGGAGTTTGACAACGTTGGGTCCCTTCCTTGCTATACCTAGCCTGACTTTCGACTGATTTAACGAGAAAGTTTTATTTTATTATTTAACGAAGTGGTTATTAGGAACTCGAGTGGCGTGGGACCCGATGGCTTTACGATTTTGTTCAAAATTGGCATTTTAATGTGAATTTTACATTTAAAGCACTCCCATCATTCTTTTAGGATGTCTACTGAACCTACAACATGATCTATAATATGGGTATCTTCTTTGAGGTTGGAGACAGACCACCAGTTATAGTATTCCCATTATGCTAAGTCATTGGTTGGAATGTCAACCGTCATTTTGTTCTCCCCGCCAGCCGTCTCTGCCTCCTAGCCAATCAAGCAAAGTTGGAAAATAAATGTATATTGAACGGCAGCGTATATCCTCTATATATCGTTGGTGGTATTACCGACTGCCTCAGAAGGAGGGTTATGTTCTTTGCGCGTGAGTATGTATGTGGACAAAAAAAAATATTTCACGAACTACAAGCCAAACGGCTTGATGGATTTTGACATATTGAGGTGTTAATGTAACATCTGAAACACATCCTGTGGTTTTCATGTCGATAATCCCCCGTTTGTTTGACCAATGAAACCACATGTATTTAAAAATCTTCTTTTAAATATATTGGCCAGATAAACATGGATGATATGAAATGTTGATGGATATATAAAGTTTCATAAAATAAAATGAGGGATTTTAACGAAAATTTAAAATTCCTATTTCACGGGATACAGCTCAAAAGGCTTAATTGATTTTGAAATTTGAGGCGTCCGGCGTGGAAGTGTTCAGCGTCCGACCAAAAATGAATACGGTCTGACGCGCAATTTACATCGTAGATTCACTCGACGTTCGTTTTCTTGGCGAAAGCGTCACTAAAATTTTATAAAATCAAAATGACTGGTTTTCAACATTTTCTACTTCGAAATTTCTATTTCACGGGCTGCAGATTAAACGGCCGAATTTTGACCTTTGACCTGCACGACTAAAGCTTCATTCTTTTCAGTCACTACAGTTCTTGTATATTTTGAAAATGGACCTGTTTCCAAATCAAATTTAACAAAAGTTCAATCTCACCTTAGCCAACCACATATAAACAGGGATGACAACCAACTTGTCCTTGACGACGGCATCGTATGTGATCTTGGTAAGCACCCGCTTAAGTCGTTGCTCGTTCTCGCACAGTATTTCCCCAGCGTGGTCTAACAGCAGGTGCTTGCAGAAGAGTTTAATGGACTTGTCCGAGGTGAAGTAAATGATGGAGTTGGGGCTTGGATTCCACGGCACCACCTCGGAATGAGTCAGTGTCCTGGCCAACTGGCTGTGATAACCAAACTTGTCTGAAATGTAGCTGAGACAGCCGGCGCGTTGCTTGACCTCGATGTACCCGGTAGATGACAGGATGTTTCTACGGATGGCAATAATCGTAAACTACATATTTTAGTTAAAAAGCAAGCTTTAATGGTCGGTTTATAGAGATGGTATTTTGGTTATTTCATTTGATAACTGGTTATATTCATTTTTTTGCTGACTGTACATAGTACCGAGATATGATATGCAAGATCAATAATGGCCTTCTCAAACAAGGCATGTATAGATTGTTCCATTTATAACATTATATTACTACCATCGATTTTTACTTCCTGCGCAACTATGTGAGGAAGTATTGTAATCGCGAAAAATTTCGAAAATGAGAAATTGTGTTTTCTTGAATGTTATATGATACGCACATCACGAAAAACAATACCCCTCATTTCCGTCCGTCTCTGTCTGTCGGTCTGTCTGTGTATCCGCCAATATTTGGTCGGTCTATAGCTTAAAAGTACCGCTCGGATTTTGAAGAAATTTTCATAAAAGGTTGCGACCATACCAAGGGCATAAAAGCATTATAGTTTTTCGGTCCAGTGGCCGCGGAGAAAAAAGCTTAAATCGAAAAAAATAAAAATCGTCAAGCTTTGTTTTTTGACGTTTCAGAGTGTCCTGATCATTTCCAGAAAAAAACTGTAGGGGTTGAAATTCGAGATAAGTATAATAAGTTAAATGACATGGATAAGTATGAATGGTCATTGTCAGGACTTCGCCATTTGTAACTGTACTGTTGTTATCATGAAGGCGATTGAATTAAATATTTATATTTTATAGCGTCTTGTACCTTAACCTATACGTAAATTTACGATCATGACGCATCATATTCATTTTACAAATACTTTGAAATATCTAGTGACCTGTCGTCAAACTGAATAACTTCAAGGAATGCAATAGAGAGCAGATTTGGCTTGCGTTTTAGTGGGGTGTAAGGTGTTGACGTTTATTGACTGTGTAGTTATTCTGCTAGCATTAAAAGCTATTTCCCAATACATCGCTGGTTAATAAAATATTCAAGGATAGCTACATGAGGTGCTATACCTAATATCAGTTATCTGTCTCTTCAAATATTACAATGTAATATTAAATGACTTAGGTGCTTTTTGTTAAAATTATTTACATCCGGGAAACAACGCTACTTCCCAATAAGGCATTCCGGCCCAGAATGGTGAGTATTCCGGTTGGTAGGGGGAAAAATATGCATTCCGTGAGAAGAAAATGTCAAAATTTAACTTACTGTAAAAGATCCCAGTTTTTCCCCCTCTCAAACACAACCGGCCAATACCGCTCGTCATCGACCGCAACTTTAGCTAATGTTTTGAGATCGGGAATGATATTAGGCACTTTTGTGTTCATTGCAGTCCCATCAAGCTTAACAATCCTAAGATTTGCGTAACATATCTCATCAGACTCGACTTCCTTTGGTATTATAAGCCTTGCTTCTACGGCTAAAACATATAAATGACGGAAGGCCTGAAGGTGGTACCTAAAAAAATAAAGAACAGAAAGTAAACATTAGAGACCAGCAAAAATGTAGATGTTCGGTCATTTGTGATGATATAAGTGTGGCATTATTCCGTAGGAATATGTAAGTTATGCATATTCTCACCTTACTGACTCGTCACTTGAGACAAATAGGAGACTTGTTTTTCAAACTCAGACATCTTTATTACCTTGGATACTGTTCCTTACCCTCAAAGATTTCTTATTTAACAACTTCGCGCAGGGAAATTATAATGACTATTTCCCTCGTCTTAATTTCTACCAATCACAAACGCGCAATTTTGAATTACAAATGGCTTCTAGATGGAAAAAGAAAAGAATTACGATACTTTCTCCTAGGACACCAAACAAAAATTTTGTAATATTGTTTTTAAACAGCTTATGAAGTGAAAATGAGTCTCTTTGGAAGTGATTCTTAGACTTATATTAATTTGGCGATTGAAAAAAGTGTACCGTACAATACCGTTAAGACCCATACGTCAATATGGAAACAGTTTACGGAATTCTGCAAGGCAAAGAAATACTAGCTTTTGGAAACTACAAGTTTAGAGCAACTAAACTTAATCCTGAAAGATTGGGCGTGGAATATGAAGAAAGAAAACGGTGAAAATTTCAAAGAACTACTTGTGAAAATAATGTGGAATACCGTTGCAAAAAGTGCAAGAATATATTTCAAGTCTAGTACGGAAGCTCGTAATGCGAAACGAAGGAATTTGCACATACATACTTTAAAAAAATAATTTAATAGGTAGTATGTTTTGTAAGCTTTGTGTATGTAGAATAATCTGTTACTCATGAAATAGTCTTGTCATATACCATTTGGGGATCTATTTTTTTCCTGTGAAAAAAATTGAATAAACAACGCAAAGTAATATTTTTTAACAAAAAACATTCGTGTAGGTGCAAAAATCCTCGTCTTTGAATTGAATATAAATATTACTTAGCAACGCGTTTTTCTCGTTTTTTTTTTCGGAAAAATAGATGCCCTTGATATGATATTACTTATGAGAAACACATTAAAGGACAGATTAGTGATTCATGACCTGCTTACCGAGCACAAAGTTTTGGGAGTTATATCATATCTTTGAGAATATTTCTATATCTGTTTGACCACTTTCCTGTCACTCCCAAATGTCAAGGCAAATGAGGCGTTCTCACAATAAGAAAAGGAAGCAGTGACTTCTTATAGTACTAGGTCTTTAGGAAGATACTGTTTTTCACGATTATCCATTACAGTAAAATAATAGCTGATTCTCCAGTAATGTTTCAAAATTTCCAATATCGACTAGTGACGCACAATTCAGACCAATCCGTCAAACAGGCCAGAATGACAGCCGTATTTTGTTGTCGTCTTTTGTACGCTATGGATTCATTTTGTACTTGATAACAACCCATTTATTTAGAAAAGTTTCTTCGCATAAAAAAACGAAAAAAACATATTTACGGCCGATTCATTGTAGCCAACTTTACAGAATAATACTATAATAAAGATCTTGTTGATTAGCTGTGCACCTTCAGTAGACTTCAAAACTGGATACTCGTGAAATAGGCTGTAGGAATACATGGAAAATTGACGTGTAAAAAATTTCAACTTTTGTTGTTACCTACCTGTTGTCATTACTGTGCGTGGGAAACTTTGGATAAAAAGCACATATCAAAGCGGCGATGCTTTCTGGCGAATTAGAAAGTGTGTACCTCCCACCTCCCAGAAACAGTAAGCCCAACGCCATGTGAAGGGCTAAATGAGACCCGTATGTTACAATAGGGCTATTGGAGACTCCTACTCTCCTTCTCAGATGGCGGATTAAGCGCATTATTTCTAGGTTCCCTGTACCAGCCATCACCTAAAAACACCATCCAAATATTGCAAAAAATCTTTCATCATTTCAGGAACAATCGGAACTAACTTGCTTTGATAGAATAGTTTATCAGTATAGGCATGAATTCTGGTCTTCCAAAAGTTTTTTGAGTATAAATCCTGCAGTCAATTCAAACTAACGTCTGCTATTTTAGGATTAACCAGACATTCAAGATATCGCTAATGGTCTCGTGAGATCACGTGTTTTCGATTTTTGACATCGCTTTTTCACTACTAAGAACTATAATGCAGAAAGTACATTGGTTATATTACCGCAGATGCTGATAGTATGACCACATTGAGACACGTTTCAATCGTTGATTTGCCTGCCAACTCTGCTATGGATTTAGCAGTGAGAGAGGTGAACATGTGGCAGTAGTGTAATAGAGTAGAGAAAGCATTTTCATCTGATGTTCCAGCGTATCGCAAGCCCAATGCGAAACAAGCACCAGCTACAATGTTGCAATATGCTTGGCTAGAAAAAAAGGACAATTTATGAACACTGAAGATTGTTATGAACAAATAGTTCATCCTCGATATCTGACATGAGTAGTATGTTTGACTGATAAACACCTAGAACGTAGATCTCTATTCCTTGTCAAATATTCAGGGAGAAAATGTTCATGACAAACTAGCTAACCTACATATTCAACAATTCTTAACTTACTTCATAGCTTCATAATCTACTTCATATGCGTGATTTGGTTCCACCATACTAAAACGTTTTATAGTGGGAGGTACCTGTGATTCAACCCAGGCTTTTGTGGGCTGGATATCATCCCACAATATCAAAGCTGAAATAAAACGTTTTAACATTTTCAAACAATAGTTCATAATCACGTAATGGTAATGCACTTAAGATAAAAAAATAATGGTTCAAGGGTGACATTACAACATAAATGCTTACATCTAGACAGAACCCTCAGCAACAAGAAATCAGGTCTAACAAAATCGAGTAGGTACTGAGTCACTGGTGGTGACATCCAATCTGCTACAGCTTTGTTACCTGTTCCCAGGTACATCAAACCAAGTGCTAATGTAGCACCTGGAGCTGTTACATCCAAATTCACCGAAGACCCCTCACGTATTTGGAAAGACGACGTTTTGTACTTGTCTTTCTGAGATCCTGTAAGAGAAATCAGTTTTGCTAATGGAGAGTTCTGGTTATCACAAATATCGTATACATAAACGTTAATGTTAACCTAGTTTGTCGTTTATCTCAATCTGGATTTAGGAAGAAACACTCTACAACAACAACTACTGAAACGGCAATACAACTAGTTTTAAAGGGCTGGAGTTGTATGGATAACAGAAAACATCACAGTATATGTATTCAAAATTTTACAAAACTAATTAGTTGACAGAAGTCAAAAACTAAACTTGGATCTATATTATCAAGCTCTAAAAACATTTCTGTTGTTATACCGGAACGTGGTAAAATAGGTCCACTACTATTTATCTTATACATTAATGACATTTGTCAATTTTATATTATTGTCAAATTGAGATATTTGCAGATGTTAAATTAACATACATATCAGATGAAAATATAGACACTGCCTTAAGTATACTAAATTCCGACTTGGAAAAAATAAATTGGTTAAATGTAAATAAACTAAAATTGAATGCTTCTAAAACAAAATTTATGCTAATAGGGAAAATCACAATTAGGATAAACGATGAAATAGTTTGATGATCACTATGAATACATCATTTCAAAAATTGGCAAATAAGTTTTAGTTTATATAGGGTTTCTTATACGAGTAGTCAGTACATATTCCAAAAAAATAGTTTATACTACAATTATTCTAACGTATTTACTATATTGTTCAACTATCTTGTTTACTGCCAATAAAGGTGTATTCTCTAAATTACAAAATAAGGCTATAATAATAACGTTTATTCACATCAATTACATACAGTATACACATGTTTAATAACAAGGGGTATCGATTAATTGCTTGTTTAAAAGATCTTTCGAAGTCCTTTATTTTGACGTTTGATTTTTTAAAAGCAGTCGTTCGTTTTTGAGAAAATTAGAAAAATCTTTATTTATCTTAATTTGTTCAGATAGAAAACAAAAATACTTGAAAATATCACTTTTATATAAATAAGTGTTCAAAACGGAAACTACCAACATAAACAGCAATTCGAAAGATTAGACGTAACAACCAAATAGCAACCAGAATTTTTTCCGCATTATTTCCATCAACACAGACATCCTGGGCAAACTGTATTTACTGTTGTACCTGATTCTAATTTATGGTGCCCACAATCATTGTGCTCGGCAAACTCCCATCATTTTTAACGCCTGGCATCCGGGAAAGATAAATTCGCATAGGTATATGTTTTGGACCTTGCTTACTAAATTTACTCAATCTGGATCTGTTGCAAATAAAAAACGTGATCATCGGAGAGTTTTGGATGGAGGCCGCTCAAGTTGAAATTTTGGGTCATTCTGGAATAAATCCTTATACTTAATTACGCAAAATTGTTGCTGCAACTGGTATTTCATTAGGCTCTATAAAAATCAAACGTCAAAATAAAGGACTTGGAAAGACCTTCCAAACAAGCTATTACTCGATACCCCTTGTCATTTAAAATTTTTAGGGGATGACCCTGAGAGGCAGAGGGTGAAAGGGGGTAAAGTAGTTTTTGGTTATAAAGTTGCCCTCCTTGACAAATCTTTTTACGTGTCTCGGTGGGAAGTTTTCAAATGAGCACCTTGTATATGAGGAGAATATTGAATACAAGTACCTACACCAAAATAAAATCTATGTTACAAGAGTTGTAATGGGATATAAAAAATTTCATATCTGGTTTTCTTTTTTATATTTAAAATACAAAATCATCTTTTGTCACAATATTTATACATAGAACTGAATAATCGTCACCACAATAATTATTATACAAGAGGAAATATAGATTTCCATTTACAAAATTGCACTAGTGATCTACCTATCAAATCAATATTTCAGAAGGGATAACTTGAATTTAATAAACTGAATAATGACATAAGGTCTACTTGTAATTCAAAGATACATAAAAGAAAATGTTTACTTTTCTAAATATTTGTATGTTATGTAATTCCTGTAATTTTAAAAAGAATATAATTGAAGCAATTATGCTGAATCTTGAACAAACAAATAATCGACCTAAATGCCAAAAAGGCGAACGTTAACGTTTACGTATACGGTATTTGTTATTGCTACAGTACTTTTGTAATGTAAAATTAAAATACTAGGTAACAGTTGACCAGGAAAATCCTATCAAACCAGTGGAACCGCTCACAGATCCAACAAGCGCTGGCATGCTCAAAACAAAAATCAAATACAGTTTTTCAAACTTGGCTTACCAGTTAAAGCTCTTTTGTTGCCTCCAACCATATAATAATGTAGCGTATCGGGTACGTTCAAGTCCGAAAGACCTGCGGGTTGTCCGCCATGTTTCAAAACCACTAATCCCAACGCTAAGCCTGCTGCTAGCGAATATGATTCTCTATCTAGGCTGTTTTCCATTTCTGGGCCTGGCGGTCGTCCAATTTCCGACAATAATACCTTAAATATACGAAGGCGTTAGAGTGATGCTCATAAACAATCCAAAAACTCAAATCTTAAATTCGAAATTTTACCTCGGTGATGTGTCTATGTGCCGAACCTTGGTAAACAAGGCCAATTCCTAACATGCCGGCAACTTGAATAGTTTGCGCGATATCTAGTTCCATTGATGTTGGAGGTAAGAGCGCCTCGACGTGTATTGCTAGAGTTTTGGTTAAGCTGGGATTGCATGTTCCTCGGAACGCGGCTGACAATCCTATTTCAAAATAGAAACTAAGTGTTAGAGAGAAAACAAAATACCCTTAGACCGAGAAAGAAAATAACTCGTAAATTACAGGTTCAGGAAGCATCCTGTATTCTCTGCTCAGTGAAAAAATGCAAGACGCATTTTTTTACAGAAGATATTCCTTCTATATTTTATAATTTTTTTCATCAATTCTGTGGTAAGTCGTACAGAGAATGATTTTCGTGTGCTCAGTAATATTTTCATTAAATATGTCGCAAATTAGAGTCCAATAATTATATTTCAATGACTGACAACATCGCTATTTCCCACTCGCATCCCTTTACCTTGCATTCTTTCACTGCGCTTTTTCTTTGTAGCTGGAAAAATATAACTGTCCGTCTTCTAGTTAAAGGATTAAATTAAAAAAAAGCTCAAGTTTTCTTAACAGGGACTCGTATAAATATTTAGATGCTAAAAATCCATGTAACTTACCCAGTAATATTCCGACACTGGTCATCTCATGTGCCTTCTCCAAATAACTGAACGTACTATTGTACACCAAATTCTTCAGATGCCCATTCAATCCCAGAGCTAACAAGAAACCAGCATGTTCGACCTGCGGTTCATTGCCCCACATCGACTTATTCAGAATGATCCAAGAATTATCTATATTGTGGGCATCCGGAGTGACTCTGAGCCCGTTCGCGACTCCGTTGTGAAATAAAGGCCACAGGTTCATGTTAGTGGGGGTATCTATGTGATTCAGTTCTATGGTGGTGCCCCTAGGGGGTGCTTTACCTGTAAGGCAGAGCAATGGTGCCGGTAGAGGCTCTGTAATCACTGGTGTTGCTGTACGTAGTGTGAACATTCCTCTGCAAAGGAAGAGGATAGTCTCTTATGTGAATTATTGAAAACGGAAAGTTGTTGTAAATTAATTTAGTTTTGTCGTATAGAAAGCAAATAGCAAAAACTTAGAATTACAATTCTATAAATCAATGATGTAGATCAAAAATAGGGTTGGCCCAAGTACAGAGCCCTGAGGCACTCCGTAGCTTATCAACTGTTTATTTGAAATATTCTCATTGCATGAAACACTCATATCTATCGAAGTCGTAAGCCAATCATATATTTTCATGTAATAAATAGTCAAAAACTTTGGTCAAGTCGTAGAAAATTGAGAGATCCATTATTGCAGAGGTTGTAGACTTTTTCCACCAAAATCCATGTTACTATTTATTTCAAAAAACGAGATATTTTGCCATTTATGACAGATACGAATATTTTTGCTGATATGTGTAACACTGTGATGGGTGATAATTAGACATTTCATCCCCTGACTCTTGTTTGTGGATTGGTAAGATCTTAGCTTTTTTCAAATTGTAGGAAATACTCCATGCTTTATACATTGATTGATCAGCTTAGTAAATGGTATAATAATTATGTTTTTTATTCGTTTTATGGTTTTGACGTTCATATCATATGGTTCCTTACTAGATGAATTTTTCAAGTTGTCTATGATAGTTCTTATTTTATTAAAAGTGGTTTCTTTCAATGCAAAAGTTAATGATACATTATTAGCGAGATAGCTCAGGAGATCAATGTTTGTTTTTCCAAGTTTTTTTATTATTTTGTACGGTGTGTTTATAGAGAAATTATTACGTTCGCTAGGATTAAGATTGCATGATTTTTGTTTGTTTGTTTTATATGCCTTATTTATTGTCTCCCAGCTTGATGTTTTAGACTAACAGCATACTAAAAGCACGCTTAATCAAATTTACATCTGGATAAATTAGATCCATGATAAACATGTTGTTTGTGAGTGGCTTAAAAATAATTAAGGAAATCGCTGTTTGTGGCCACGGCGGATCAAAGTGTAAAAATCTCGCGTTCAAGAAAAAAGTACACATGAAATCTCATCGCCCTCCCGCACTTGTGATATTTCGTGATTATTTCTTGCCATTTTCCGGAAACAAAATGTCATGATCACTTAATAACATACCGGCCAACTGGTAATGCCATGGTTCTGATACAAATTCCATACAGATGTTTTTCTTGTTCTTCAATGAAGTCATGATCTGAAATATCTGGACTCTGTTGCAAGACGATTGGAACAGGCTTGGAACTCTGCAACATTTTTCTAGCCTCACTGACTCTCACATCCTCGCTAAACCGAAGTTTCGTGAGAGAGTTTTCTATATCTTCCATACCTGCAAGTAAGACAATACTGTACTCAGTAGATATAACTTCCGCCAAAAGACTTCACAAATGTTAGGCACCGTTCTCATCAAAAACACCTCAAAGTCAGCACGACAACCTCGTTTTAAGGTTGTATAAAAAGTCACTTACTAGTAAGAATGCGGAATACAAATAGTCTTTTATTTCTAAAAAACCTTGACTGAAAGAAAAACGTGTAAGTAACGTATTTCACAATCTAAACCGAGCCAGATCAATCAACATAATGTGGTATCTAACATTTTTGGAGAATACGATGAAGTGCCACAATGAGCTCCACCGTGGAAGTCCGCCCCTAAAGCCCGGGTGTCGTCGACTCAAAAGATTCTCTACACTATGCGGGAAGTAACCTTGAGGTATAAGACCGTTAATCGACACCAACAAAACTTGTGGTTTCTATTACATATCAATCATTCTTTCCCGTGCAATCCATCCGTTCCACAGCTTTGCTGATTACTATACTTACGCTGCATGCAGTATGTCAGGAGTGTCAAGCCGATTTCTGTCGGTGAGCTGGAAAGAAGAAGACTAGCAGCGACTTCCTGTTTGATGAGAGATCTGGAGGTTATCACTGCGTGGAGATGCAACAATCTGGTACAGTTTAATACTTCGAAACCACAGTACTATACCCTGAGTGCCCTAGCGCTGAATGGTCGAGTTCTACCAAAGAGTCGCTCATTTCGGCTGGTCGGAATGCCGATCACTGAGGACTTCTACCGCTATGTCAATAGGATTTTCTCCTCACAGCTCTCCCCCATGAAGCCGTTACGAGGTAACCCTGCCAGACAGACCCGCCTGATTTCGGCCTCCCATCCTAATCGACCCTTTGTCTCTAGGATGTTGAGATTGTGAAAAAATCTGACTGAGGGGGCTTTTCCCAGTTTTACTAACCTTAGGTAGTTCAAAACTCGGATTAACAAAGTGTCTGTAAGATCTTTATAGCAGCCGCGGTGCCCTGGTATTTAGGCTTCACAGCTCCAAGCCGACTGACGTCGGCAGAGCCAGAAACCAGACATCAGCTGATCTGCTTGCCATCGTCAGTTGCTCTCAGCAAGAACCGTGACTTGCAATTCTCTTCAAAATTTAGATATTATACAAGCTCTCGCAAATCAAATATTGCAAAAAATAGTTAAGAAGATTTTTTCACTCACCATCCATTTTCATAGAATCAGCTCTGATACCAGGCATGACATCCTCAAGTTGAGTATTACTATACATTCCCAACAATTCGTGTGGAGATTCATGTTTCTCTTTTTCAATTTTCATCGCTTGCGCTGCTAAATCCTCCCTGCATAGAAGATGGTAAGCTTCTGCAGGCCAGTCAGAAGGTGGGTTTTCTCGGCAAGACCATAAAGCGTTATAGATCACGAAATAGATGCCAACTGGTAGGGTTTCCAAGTAGCTAGTTAAAAAAGGCATCAGAATTTGAAGTCAATATTTTCAGCATACCTTTAACGAATGTCCAAAATAATCTAGAACCTCACTGCGTTTTACGTAATACTCTTGACGTTCCTTGTCAGTTTGATGTTTAAAAACGACTATGTAGCTAGCTCAGCGGATTCCAAAGAACTTTCGGCGTCAAATGTTTTTTGAATATTTTTGATAGGAAATGGTATTTTTTCGTAAAGTCGCATCTTACCTAGTATCGATTTTCGTATCTACCATGAACATAATTGCTAGTTCAACATTTGATGAGTCACCACGGTGACTATGACATAATGGCGTGGTAGGTACTCCTGATCCATCACCACTTCCACCAATTACGTCCTTTACAAAGCTATTAGAAAGTAATTCTGAATGACCTTTGTCCATGGTTAGAAGCCCACATAACTAAAAAAATGGACTTTGCTTAATATCCCAATCTTATATCTATTATTATACATAAATGTGAATGTCTATCTAGTCTGTCAGCATCATCTCTGAACCACAATACGGAGAGTCGTAAACATTTGTACACTTACTAATTGAAACTCGGGGAAAGTCATAGGCACAGTTTTATCCGCGAAAATATACAGGGTGTTCAAAAATTATGGATATATCAAGATATCTCGAAACATGTTCCGTGCAGAAAAATGTTGTAGAGCAAAGTTGTAAGCTTTGCAAATAATCACCAATTGGTGACCTTGACTATGAGTATGAAATTCACGGTCATTTTAAGTTCAACACAGTTTTGTTAAAAAAAAGCTATATATTATGATACCGCGGAAACAGCGGGACATTTTACGTTGACTTTGCCTATGACCCTGACTTTTCTGAATATTCCGATCTATATATATTACATATAAATGTGAATGTCTATCCAGTCTGTCAGCATCATCTCTGAACCATAGCACGGAGAGACGTAAATATTTGTAAACTTACTAATTGAAACTCGAGGAAGGTCGTAGGCACGGTTTTATCAGCGAAAATATACACTATGAATCGATCAAAATATCTTGAAGAATACGTTTCCTATTGTAGAAAAAAGTTGTAAGGTTTGAAAAGATTCATCAATTGGTCTCCTTGGACGCGACCTTGACTATGACATTCAACGTCATTTGAAGGTTAAAACCGTTATCTTAAATGAAACCCCTATTTGTGGTATGTAACGGGCGGGAAATTTTACATTGAAGTATAACTTTGCCCATGACCTTCATAGGTATTTAGGGGTGTCCCAAAGGTGGGAAAAATAAGATATATTGGAAAATACGTTTCATAAATAAAGATGAAAATAATGGTTACCGTGACTATGTCCAAACGCATTTGAAGGTCAAAACAGTTTTCTTAAATGGAAACTAATTCCGACACCGGACACAGAAAGAGCAAGAAACATGATGTTCAAGCATGTTCAAGGTCATTTGAAGATCAAATGCTTTTTTAACGGGAAAACTCTATTTTTAATTCTTGAAATGCAAATTGCGGTCAATTTCAAGTTCTGGTGCGTCCTTGCGATTGAACCAGACTACGACCTTCATGATCCTTTTGAGATCACGTAAATTTTCAAGTAAGCTCTTTACTTTTTGATATAAAAAAGCGAAACATTGGAATTAATTTATTATTGCATTGAAATTTTGGATAAAAAATGTTCACTGGAAAATAACTATTGCATTACCATGAATATTACGTTTCTTTCTCTAAAATCAAGCTCCTTCTAGTCTAATCATATTAGCAAATTTCTCAAAAATAATTGTAAAGTTTCATTGATACAAGTTGTTCAAGGGGGTATTTAAAACATGGACCATAAAATGGGTACACCAATCTTTGTGGGAAAACTTTTTATTCGAAAAGAGAAAACGTGTTTTTGGGATTCAATCAAAACTGTTGGTAGGAACGAAAAACTGTTCAAATAAGAGTTTTAGGTATTTAGGAGACCTACAAAATGAGACCACACGTAAACAGATCCGACTAATAGCGAAATAGTTATGGCCGAAAGCCGAGGTAAAATGCAGATTTCGGCACGTGTTGCTAATGCGACGATAATTTCACGCAGCTACTTGAATTTTTTTAAATCCGTAGGCTTCATACTTTTGAATAACCACAACAGAATGGGAGTCTATTGGTCACGTAATTTTTGAGAATTTCTAATTGTTTATCCCAAAACACCTGTTCTCCGGCCATCACTACTAGTTTATTGAGCAATATACATGGTTAATTCAAAGATCATTTTATAGTAAAATACACTAGTTTACCGATATAAGTCGCAAACCATTCCGGAAGATAGATGTTATTTTTATGCAAAAAAAGATGGGTTACGTTCTTTCTTCTAAACAAGTTCAAATATTTCGTATGTGCGAGTAATTCGCAACAAAAGATGATAGACACTTCCGCTTTGCTTTAAAATGTGTATAGTAACGTATGTTTTTCGAATATCGTAGCGCATCTGTTCAATAACTCTCAAATACGAAATGTTTAAATTTGTTTAGAAGAAACAAAATTAACCCTTAGTTTTTCGCATAAAAAGGTAAACTCGTGTATTTTGCTATAAAATACCCTTTGAACGAACCCTGCTCAACAAACAAGTAGTGATGGCTGGAAAACAGGAGTGTTGGGATAAACAATTAGAAATTCTCAAATACTCATTTTGTAGGTCTCGTAAATACTTAAAAATCTGATTCAAAGAGTTTTTGCGCTTCCTGCCAAAAATTCCGATTGAATCCCATAAAAACGTTTTCTCATTCTTTGTTGTCGAATGAAAAATTTTCCCACAGAACCTGATGTAAACAGTTTATGCGTCCATGTTTTAAATACCCTCTTTAACAACTTGCGTCAATAATACCAAACTTTACCATTATTTCGCAAACAAGAGGTATTTTCGTCCAATATGATTAGACTATTCACCCATACAAAACTGCGGAGCTCCGTGTTTAGTCTAGTTACGTCATAAAAATCTTATATGTCCGTCATCTTCCCCAAGAAAAATTTGGTCAATCGCAAAAATTGTGCCTGTAAAGCTCTCCTATGATCTACATAAAAATCGCATTTTGATAAACGTGCCTGAAGGCATTCACATAACATTTTGTGAGAATGTGGTAATGGCCAGACAAAGTTATTGTACCTCTACTTTGAAATTTCATAGAGAAACTGTCATCATATGATGTATATTACCTGTACAATATTTCTAGATCTAACATTCACATTTGGTAGGTAAGGATATGGAGCCAACTTCTTTCCTTTGAACAGCTCGTAAACGTATTTCATGATATTCACAGGAGTATCAGGGATACTGGGCCAAAAATGAATGTTTTTCAGCTCATTACTTGGTATCCTGGGCTCACACAAAACGCACAAAACTTCATCTATTGGAAAAAAAATATGTCACAACACTGAATTTTAGAATTGATTTTGATAGACCTACCTGGAAAGTCTGACCAATACATCAAGTTGTACTCATTCAGTCCCAAATCTACCGCAAGTCGATTCAAAAATTTGATCAGCATTGACAAGTCTTCACTGTGTAGTGTATTCAACTTCATTTCTTCATACAGTAAATGCAATGAGAAGTGTATGAGACGTATATAAGGAAACAACGCACCCCTTGGGTTCATCCCAAACTCATTGGATTCTCTTTTTGACTCGGGCTTGTTCAACTTTATTTTCAAATCTTGATCCAAAGCTCCATTGCATACGCTGGTTTCAGAGTTTAAAAGATATTCCCAATCTTTGTCGGTACCAGTTGAATATTTTTGTTTCTTTGGACAACTGGAAGGGGTCATTGGGATGTCTTTTTGAGATGATTCGGTAGATTGTTCATCATCATAACCCAAAAGCTCTAAAAATAATAAAATAGAGGGGACTGAAAAATTGTTTTATTGGAACTTCCAGTCTGATGTAACCTAACATTATATTCCCGGGTCCAAAAAATTATGAGAGATGTAATGAGATACCGTAGCGCTGTTTATGAGAATTTGTTACAGGCATCCCCTCTCCGCACTAATTTCAAATAATAATAATAAACGACTTTTACTTAGAGCGAAGTTTAGATACAAGTTATTCGAACACTTAAGTTTAAATGATGTTAGGTTCAAAACGAGTAGTTGAAGTCGATGATACTGGTGGTGACTGATTAGACTGTGTAAAAGGCCCCTGAGCAGAAGGCTAAAGTGGGCCATCGTCGCAAAGAGACGACCAATTTTGGAATACAGTACTAGGCACCCATGACTTCTATATATTGCAAATATTCACTCCAAACGAGTTAATGTACGCAGATTTAACGAAATCCGTAATCGATTTACGATACTTTGTAAGGTATACTCACCACAAGTAACACGAACACCGTCTGGATCGTTAAAACAACGTCTTCCCTTCGTAGACGTTGTTTTAATTGTGAGAAAGTTGATTAATGTACTAATTGAAACTGACTTAATATGCACTGTCACCCAAAATGCGGGTAGTTTGAAAATTTTAACAATCTAGAGCTGCTACACGAAAACTAATGTGATTTTTGTGCCTGTGTCTGTATGCGCAGTGTAACCTTACCATAAAGTAAACCACAAAACATCTCCCACTCCTGGTATTTCGTGATATTCTGCATGCCAATATTATTTCTCAAAGCATACCATCTGGCTAAAAAAGTCATGGCGGAATCTTTTTGCAAAATTTGTCTCAACGCCAGAATACAATTTTCGATTAGCGACGATGACGCTAGAATGGGAAGAGTAACCCTGTAGTAGGTTCCATCCGAGTATTTCAAAGTTATTCGATTATCTACTGCATCCATAAGCCCAGCTATATAGGTCTTTTGATTGTCGTTTTCAGCAGGCATGTGGAGTTTCACATGTTTTGTCAAAGGAGCAGACCCTGTTGGTAGGACGGGCGATAGTAGATGCTCCTCAAACTTCAGATCTGGTGTTTTTAAGTGAGGTAGTAGGCTACTTCTTCTTGGGTAAGGGGAGCTACTAAACTGCTGTACATTTCTCATTATGTAAGGTGATGGCATATGTTGAACTAAGGTTCCAGCTATGTATAACTTTCCAACAACTGTCAATCCTGAGTAAAGTGATACATTTCCGTTATGCTCCAAGATCGCAAACATATGCAAATTCTGAAATTAAAAAATTCAAATGCTGTGTAATTATGAATACTATATAAAAACAAAGATAAAACATGTTAAATTGAATGAAAAAAAATGAGTTTCGATTAACGAAATATGTTTTGGAATGTTATAGAAAACCTTGAACACAAATATACGCCTTTTCATCGCTTTTGGCGCTTTGCTGTACGAAATAAGTAATTTGACAAACTAACTGCATCATGAGCGGAGCTTAATTTTCCTATGCGGAATCTTTAACGCAGCTGATACTTGCTCTTGTACACATAAAGAGAGCAACAGAGAAATGTGGTTTTCATTCACTTGCTGGAAATACTCCAATAAATTTAGCTCTAACTGACATCATTGTCCACTAATCTAAATATCGTTATATTTCATATTGAAGACTAACAAAGGCTAAACTCGAATGGTTCCTACATGACAAGTGAGTTGTTACAATGACGCTGGCGCTGGGAACGGGAATGCCTACCGTAGCTGGTTCTGAACCTTGCTTGGTTTGCACGGTGCCATTTTAAAATTGTAATGATAGCTTTGCGTGATCTGGGCGTGGCGCAAGATAGTTCAAGCTGTTATTGGAAAACACTGTCGCAAAATAAACAAATGAACTGTCACCTAGAAGTCATATAAATATGAAATAGATTATTATCATTGTAATTTTTTATTTATACTTTGGCGAAGGCCTCCGATGTAGCCGGAATGTCAGCAGAGTCAATCCAACATAATTATGTGGTTTCATTTGGCGGCTTGAAAAACACGAAGATGAAAAATGCGTATTTGTAACCCTACACAAACAAGCATCGCTCAAAGAGGTAGTTGGATGCTCATGTATGACAGAGATGAATATATGAAAATAATACAATTAGTTTTATTATGGTCCGCCGAAATCGATTAAAAACCTAAATTACTCGATTTTTAATCGCATAAACATATAGATCTCCTGACGGTTGTGGCGGTTATGGATTGATATCATACGAAATAAATAAACCGATCCACTAACTGTATCATTTACGCAGCTCAACATTCGTAAGCGAAAACTATTTTTCAGCGGATCTGCTCTTGCACACATGAAGTGGGTAATAAGGGACCATTGGTTTTATTCACTCAGTTGATTTAAGCATATTTATAATAATCGATCCCAAATTGTGAGAGCATCAAGATATTATACTTCAAACAAATTAAATATAAAAGGAGGGGTACCTCAAGAATCAGTATAAGACCGATCATATTTTTAGTCTATATTAACGATTTATATATAGTACCTAACCTCCAATGTTAGTAAGACCAAATATGTCATTTAAATGCTCACTTGATTCTATAAATTTAAATAATGATTTGATGCACAAAACAGACACCATCAAATTTTTAAGACTGACCAATGATCATAAATTAAATTTTACTAATCATGCAGACCATTTGCTTACTCAACTAGCAAAGATTACCTTAGTTACGAGTATTTTAGAGAACAGCACAGCCTTAAGCAGTTATTTTGCATTATTTTAAAGTAGATTGAGATGTACCATTCCCTTTTTGAGTGTGTGTCTTCCTAAATTGTTAACAAACTGCTTATTCTACAAAAACGAACTATTAGATATATAACTGAAAGCAATCCTACAGCAACTTGCAAGCCTTTATTTTTAAATATTGAAATAATGACTGTAATACCATTGCTTATTTTTGAAACAGCAACTCTTATTTTAAAAAATAAATCTAAATTTGTGACATGAAAGATAAGCTTAAATTAGTAATGCCCAAATCAACACTTCTGAAATACTCAATCATTTATACTGGTTTGGAAATATGCATGTGCCTCCCTGATGATATCAAAAGAATCACCATGGAATAAAAAACTTCCTTATTTGTAAACCATATCATGCCATGTGTGAGTACTACAATTTATTTACCTGAGATCTTATGCAAGTTTGTTTAGTTTTAAGTCAGCTTTGCCACTAAGAATGATAAGAATGAGTATTCTCAGACAATAAAGCATATCTATCTATCTATGTTTGTAAGCTTGCACAAACTTCCGCGTATAGAGGCAGATTGCATATGTATGTATGTATGAGGGAGATGGAAGTGATATCGGTGGTTTTACTGTAACCTGCCAAAAATCGTGAAAAGGCCTACGACACGGTTATTATGTAAAAAACCTAAAAAAAACGTCAAAAAAAACCGACGAAATGTCATCTTGCAGACTAGGTAGTTTTTAGTACGCAAATAGTTCATTCCACGTTTGCACAGCTTGTGCTAACATCTTGTAGAAAAACCTACGAAATATCAAAAAAACCTACGAAATGTAAAAAAAACGACGAAATGTCACTTTTCAAGATACGTAATACCCGTGCCCCACATTTTTGTTATTGAGATTTGGTGTTTTGACTTACAGGAATAGGCACTGCATCCTTAGCACCGATACTAGTCAGCATCCCAAAGGATATGTTGGAACATGATACGTCGATTTTCACCATAGAGAGCTGACATCTTGAGTCCACAATGTAACATAAGTATTTCTGCCCCATGAAATCGTCCACAAGAAAGACTCTAGAAGCAGGTCCTGCCACATTCGAGTCTTGTACAGAGTAGTTGTCGATCCACAGGAAATCCAAGCAGATTGTTGGATTTGTTCTTAAGTATGAAACAGTCTTTGAATAATCAAAGAACGATTTGTCTGCTGCAGGTGTTTTGACGCTGACATTGATTTTTGGTTGTCTGTCTATCCATGGACTATCCATAGAAGTGGGAGTTAGTGACTGGCAACGACTCATGACAGCCATGGAACTTTGGGGCCTGGTTGCAGGAACATGGATGCTTAAAGTTGAAGGTTTTGCATTACAAGGACTAGGTGGAATAGCATTTTGACTGTTTACGACATTGTCCCATATTGACAGACGGCTTTTCAGTTTATGTGAGTGGCTCACTGATAAATTTTCAGTCATTCTATCTTTGAAGTCGCATTCTTCTGGTTTTAATTTTCTAATACGATACACACTATGCTGTCTTGATGTTGTATCATAAACCATGCATATACTGGGATTTTCATTTGTGTATACGAGCGTTATATCATTATTATTCAAAACGAACATGTTCCCCGATTGGTTCATAGCTACGGGACAAATGTCATCCAAGGGAAATGATAGGGAGTATAATGTGGCAGGAGCTTTGTAAAGACTTTCTTTTGGAAAACCTGTTGAAGAAGTATTAAGTTAGGATTCTCATTTTTCACTATACCGGGTGGTTCAAATTTGACTCTCACCATTGAGATCTCGGAGAAGGCAGGAGATACGAAGTCGGTTAAAAAGGGACAACGTTGTGGATTTAGGTATAACTGAATGAAAAAAAATGGAGTCAAGTCGATTGACTCTATACTTCCTACCCCTTCGTTGGAGGTTTCAAAGAAAAGAGATGAGTTAAGTCGCTTCAAAAGGCGAAGTCGAATCGTTATTAGGTTCACTTAAGTACGATGAATCTTCAACCTCTGTATAACAAACTATATAAAGCAAATCTATCATATTTCTGCTTCCATAGCAGATGTAGGGAAAATATGTGTGACTCATGTCTAATAGGTGCATATTATCACTGAGATCAGCAGCTTCTTAATAATACAAGGTCTTTCACTGACACCAAATATGCAACTATTTACAACCATTTACCGCATACAGCTTCCAGCCTAAAATTTCCATCCCCTCCAAACAATGTCTGAAAATGAACAGGAATATCTACAACGTTCTAAGGCTACGTTCCAGTGATTTTATTTCCGGTGCCAAGATGAAAGATAGAGATATCTGCATCATACAAGACCGTGTTTCTCATTTATGTTGGCTTGTCAGTTTGTGTCTGTTGTATATGAATGCGTCGTAAGTACCGAGTCAATCTACTTGACGAAGTATTCAGGAAACCATCATAGACGGAGTAACACAAATTAAAGGTTTAGTGATCATGAAATTCATACAAATATATGTGTAGATATAAGAACAGTCATCATTTAAAAAAACATCGCAAAACCCTAAAGTGGTACGTACTCCGAATATCCACATATTGCTTAAATACTCATATATGAATATTTCTCTTGTAGCGGTGTGTCAGTGACGACATCATCGCAGACCAGTTGGAGTTTGTTACCCATTGCACAGTCGGCAGTGGCCTTCACGACGATGCAGCATGGCGCCGTGAACGCAACGCCCACGATTGCTAAGTTATTTCTGTGTTACCTGCATAAAAAACCTTTGTAAAATAACGGGACCAGGATAGATCCCTGGGGAACACTCATGGTTACTTTCGTACATCATTCAACATTCGCTGCTGTTAACGATCGCTGAAGTGTATTGAAGAAAACATAATCCACCACTCCGAGCAATGCTGTCGCACAACTATGAGTCCGACGGAACCCTGATTTTTCATATATAATGAGGTTGTTCAGTCTCTGGTGTTCTCATTCAAGTACACTTCTGCATTATTCCAACGAGGATTTACATATAATGCAGCACTATTTTATAATCAGTTGGACAACAGTATTAAATTGATGTCTTTGGACTTCTTTCATGAAAATTGAAAGGATGATTGGCTCATGGCATTGCGAAACCAATGGCTACCTGATAATTTCAAGGCTTACTTACGAAAATGTTTAAATAATTACAGCCTTACAGTAATAATTTAATTCATCTTATACATTTTTGAAATCAGAATTAAAAACTCTACAGACCTGTGCAAAAATGAAGTATGGCGTCCATAAGTAAAAATAAATTTGATCATTGAGGACAAGAGGAGGAAAGTCTCATTTTAGAGGAATAAAAGAGCAATGTGCAATTCATCCTGGAATCCCACCAGCAATAAAGCCAGGAGATAAATTAAAACGACTTCAAAAAACTGCGGTTTCTTCGTCGTTCTTCAGGAAATACTCTGAATTGTGAAACTTTTCTTAGTTAAATACATGAGCAACTTTTCACCAATTCAACCGACTTGGTATCTTCTACTGTTTCCGAGACCCTCATGGTGCAAGTCGAATTTGAAACATCCGGTATCTCTTTTTGTCAGATAGTCAATGAGCAAAATACTGGTTAACCTCCACAATAAGGAAAGTTTGTCATACTTTGATTAGCCTTATCCAGATGCTTTTTGTAACGGTTGCCGCTGTACAATTATATTATTTGTTTATATGTTCAATACTAATGCATATATTCCACTTACTTTCATGCCCCTTCTCAATAAAGATCCCATACTTTGTACTCCACAGCTTTCTAATATTGAATGGAAGAGCCACAGCGAAATCCTCTCCTTTTGGATTGAACACCTTAATGTTATGAGAATCACAGATACAAATCGCCTCCATGGGTGTCCCAATAGCTGCATCTCCACTTAGATGCATCATGCTACCATCAAGGACCGGTTTTTCACAATAGAATGTGCACCAAACTGCTTGCTGGATAGGTGCTGGTAGAGTATAGCAACATATTGTCTTTCGACCATTATCAAGGTCATCATAGTTATTCACAATCCCTTGGGACCATATCACAGTGTGACCTTTTACATATAACTCTTCTTCCATGTAGTTAGGATCAGGTCTTGCTTTGAAGGCTGGTAAATGTTGAGAGAGTTTACCTAATCAGGACGATAAAAAAATAAAAATATATTGTTTCATTTAGACTCACACTGATACTCGACCCTTGATCACTAACTGTCAATTGAGGGTTGATTAAGCCTACGAATTAATAACCCATCCTTTTGAGTGTCCCTCCAGTAGAAATTTAACATTTGCATTCCATAGTAGATTGTAGCAATTGTCATCACAGGTTTCAAGAATTATAAAAATTTCCATAATATTCATAATTTTCAACATTTCGAATTTTCTAAAATTTGTGCCTTCATAACATTTAAATTCTCAAGATTTGCAGGTTTCTCAAATTTTCCAGTTTCCAATCTTGATCACTCTTTAAATCTTAGCAATATTGAAAATCTCTAAAACGACCTTAGAAGATCCTGAAAATTTTGTATCAGAAAATTTTTGAAGATTTTTATTATTTTGGAAAATCTGAATATCTGCAATGAACACTGTTACAGTCCACATGTTAAATCTCGACTTGAGGGTCACTAGTATTTTTGTTATTGTTCATTTATAATTCAACTGATCATCAACCCTCAATCAGCACTCAGTCCTCAATGCTCGACTATAAATGTGGGCCTTGAATTACACAAAGAAGTTCTTTTTCAGATTTTGATCCCAAAGTATGCCTCATTCCTAATTTTATCAAGAATACCAATATTATATGAAAAACCAAAAAGAATACTACATAGAAATCACTCGTATAAGTAAAATTTACTGAATTGTATATACAGATGAAATTTATCGCACTCACTTATATCCAAACTTATTTGTGAATGATAACATAAGTAAATTGGCTGAAATGGACATGTCTGCTTTCTATCCATAACCAACAACAGACAGTGCTGTCCTCTTAGCAACTCATCAGTGTGGTATTGGTCTCGTCTTAGATACAGAAGAACAGGAAACAAACATAGTGGATATGATCTTTTGAAAAACTCAAAACATTGTGCGCATATGGAGGGTAAGTGAAAATCTGACGATCGCCATCTACAGTCAGATTTTCAACTATTTGTGCACAATAACAAATTTTTTCCAATCAGAGTAAAATCCAAGCATAATTAAGTAATAGAAAAATGTTATTAAGTGATTCTGCTAGCTTTTTAACAACTGACACCTTGACTTAGACCGTAATGTGAGACTGCCAAACATCCTGAAGTTGGATGAAGTAATTTTATTGTAGGTGCTATGTTATATGGGAATAGTTGGCGATGAGAAAACTGATATTGAGTACTTCAAAAACTGATCTGCACCTTATGGGTTGGAACCCATACACTGAAAACCAAATTTGTCTGACGACTTGCTTTCAATGTTTACGAGATTGGTGTGTATAGGCACATATGTTAGAAAGAGATAGAAGTCAGCTGGACAGCGAAGCTCATCGTCACTTTACCCAGCAACACTGACGCAGCAATCTGCCGCTTTGCCAGTATGTTACAACAGTTCCTTGAATTAAGATGCATATTGAAAATATGCGATAGTTTATTCTTTAAGCACAAATAATGGATTTATTTTAAATGCACAAATTTTTGAATTGTGTTGAATCCGTTTAGGATTTAGCGATTTTGGTCAGTACCCATCTAGCGCTCGTAGGGGTGTGTCCACCACAGCGCTGTCGCAAAATCTAACAGTAACTCAGGATGTATTGATTTTATCAGCATCATTGGAAATCGAAGATGATTCTAAAAGAAATTAAGACACTACGTTGCATCAAAATGAAAATAATTCTAATCAAAATGAAAACAAAATGTTAAATTAAATGTTCAAACAGACAGTAACCTAATCTATTGTAAAATCCTGTGCGAACATTTTATAGCATGGTAGGAGTCATCAAAAGGCATGCTTCTATCATTTTCAGCCGCAACTCCTCCGTAGTGGTAGCCCTTACATGGGGGTAACCGTAAATGCGAGTCTTCACATAGCCCCACAAAAATAAATTATTAGGTGCCAAGTCAGGAGATCTCGCTGGCTATTGTATGTTGCCATGTGTAGAGATCAGGCATTCGGGAAAAATTGTTTCCAAAAATTCTCGAACCTCCCTCGCGTTGTGAACAGGACAGCAATCTTGTTGAAGCCAAATATCATCAAGTTTTATGCCCCAGGCTTCGTACAGTCGGGAGGTCCAAGAATGTGGTTCCATAAAATACCCGACAAATATTAAATTTTTGGGGATACTGCGGCCTTAATGATAAACTTAAACGATTCTTTTCCCTTGACTAACACCTAATATTTTGGGCATTACGATGTCCATGGAGAGAAAAGCTGGATTTGTCCGAAAACAATATGTTTCAGTCAAATCGGTAATCGATATCAACTTCAAATTTTAACCACCATTTTTGACAGCAGAATCATGTCCATGTCAGGCTCAAGATTTCGCATCAGAATTCATCTTCATACGTGAGGTCAATTGCCCTAGAAATAGTTTCGAAGGCGCGGGAACTTTAAAGTCAGTATAATTTTTTTAATTTTTGAAAAACAATTATGGTGAAACACAGTAGGGTTACGAAAAAGTGAACTCCTTGAATCCGTGCCACTGTCCATATCCACGGTAGACAGATAACTCAAGTCATATTACTTATTTCATACCAATTCCCATACAATAGAATTCCAAATAAAAAAGGATCTCGCATTAACGCATCCTCATTGAAAAATTCTCAGGCATAAACGAAAATATGAAATATAGCGTCTGTTGTATAGTCGTTAACGAGAGTGGTTGGTATACCGGTGGTCAACTGCTTCTTGAAAACAAAGAAAAGCTAATAGCACTGCACTATGATGGAGGTGGAAACCTTGCCTTGGACTGTACAAGACGCGGTGAGCGAACCAATGATGCGGTTCTTGCTTCTAAGATTGTGAATATTTTTATGATTCACCCCCGAACTAGAAGCTCATCGCCTGAAATTTTAATTTAGTATTCTATTCTATTATAAGCGAGCTTTGATTCCGTTATTGCTTGTCCGGTCATACGGTATTGACGGTGATCTACCAGTCTGTACGCTCAAAAATCAATATAGGCAAATCGGAATAAAGGATGTGTGCACCTAATTATAGGCAACCCAAATCCACGTACCTCGTGTGCCATACTGCCTAAGTGTAGGTATTAGGTATGACTAGTATGGAGCATAAAACTGCACAGACTACATATATGTACTTCATTTTTAGCGTTATTTTCGGTTGTTACCCCTTTTTCGGCGAAACATCTGGAATTATCTGAATTATTTCAGCAAATCGTGGAAATTGTGTACGTTTTCGGTATTTCGGTAAATGACGTCTCAGTCCGGTAGAAATACCCAAAAATCGGTACGATCGGCAACATTGCCAAAATCGCTCATCTACGATCTATGCAGTGTTTTCAAACGAACCAATGATGCCATGTTGCAGAATTTGTGGCTATCCCGACCTTTCATTTCGATCTAAAATAGAGCGCCGTGAGGACCGATCGGGAATCAATCCTAAACAGATTCGACACAATTCAAATATATGTACGCTCAAAATAAAACCATTTTTTGGCATAGAGAATAAACAAACGCATATTTTCAACAAGCTCTTAATTCAAGGAACTGGTGTAACATATTGACAACGCGGCAGATTGCACGACCTTTTACGCCACCATTGCAAGGCAATGTTGTGGTGAACTTCTAACACTTATCGCGCTTCTCTCTCGCAAACATTAAAGTCAAGCCGTCAGACAAATTTGGTTTTCCCTTTATATGAATCACTTGTTCCTAATAGGTGTCATGTGACGAGCAAAAGAAATAAGACAGAGTAGTGCAAATCCTTCAATCTAAGATGCTGAAGGTAAAGGGGTCGCCCACTACACCTTGACTTTTTTGGATCACCACTTAGAGAAAAGTTTTCTGCCAGAGTAATAGGGACTAACATGATGCTTTTCATATGATGACTTTTTTGTGTATACACAGAAAACCAAGTTTGTCTGATGGCTTGAGTTCCATGTGTACGAGAGAGAAGTGTGTACAGACACATATGTTAGAAAGAGATAGAAGCCAGCTGGATAGCAAAGCTCATCACTGCGTTGCCTAGCAATCTGCCAGGTTGCCAGTATGCTACACCAGTTCCTTGAATTAAGATGCATGTTGGAAATATACCTCTATGCCCAAATAATGATTTTATTTTGAGCATACACATGTTTGATTTATGAATTGTCGAATCTGTTGAGGATCGATTCCGGATCGCTCCCAACCCACTTTAGGTTGAAATGGGACGTCAGGATCGCCACAAATTTTTCAACATTGCATCATTGGTTCGCCTGGCAACACCGCATCTCGTGCATTCCAAGGCAAGGTTTCCTCCTCCATGACCATAGACGAGCGATTTGGTCAGTACCCATCTAGCGCTCATTGGGGGAGTGTCATCCTGTTTCAAAAAAAGGTTTTCACCTGCGTACACGCAGGCAGTGATTGTATTGCATAACGTTATTTTGTCCAATCTAATATTTTTTGATTGCACAACCTTCTGTGTCACCTTTGCTGGGCAATGTGGAAATGACCTTTGCTCTTCAGTCAGTTTCCGTCTTTTTCTAACATGTGTTGATACACACTTCTCCTGATTCTCTCTCATACACATTGAATTGAAGGTGTCAGACAAATTTGGTTTTCACTGTATACATTCTAAGAAAAGTGCTTCGGAATAAAGTTGTATTTTTAAATGTAACTTTGGTCAAAAACTTAAATATTGTGTGTCATTTAATTTTATGTATCTGGCTTTATTCGAGGAGGTATAGATGGCTATATGGAAATTGATACACATTAATAAAGGACAAGCAAATTTGATTTTTTTACTGAAGTAGTTATAATAGATATGATAAACCATAAAAAAGTTATTATTTCCTTTAAAAATATATAAGATGTTAAATTTAAAAATACAATTTTATCTACTTGATCATTGAAAAGGGGGAGCATAGTCCAAAATATTGGAAAAAAGCAAATGCTTACATTCATTCTTGTGCTCAGTACCAACAGACATTCGTTTATTGGCCTTAGATGTATTAGTATCAGACAACCTCTTTCCATATTTATTAAAGCTCACATCAGCAGTAGTTTTGAAACTCAGAGATTCATCTAATGCATCACTGTATCTTGGTTTATAACTACTATCACTGCTTCTATAATTATCTTCAGTCTTTTCAGATTCATATGGTATTTCTTCTGTAGCATTTGTCTTGCATTTACGTAAGGTCCACCATTCAGTTTGGCTAGTGTCAGCTATTGACACCTTCTTTAATTTATTTGACAAAAGTTCATTTTCATCAAAAGGTTTTGTAGTTTCTGGAAATACAACAGGACCAGGATGTCGTGCAGCCTGCTGCCGGCCACGTGGAACAAATTCCTGGAAATAGTAATGAAGAGAACTTAGAGGTTGCTCCTATGCTGCATTTACCAGTGGGCACATGGGGCCTGTGCCCAGGACCTTGGCTTGATGGACTTTCAAAAAATAATGACTGAGCATTCCCCTCTCACTCTTAAATTTTTCCAATGGCAAAGTAGAACCCTGATTTTGCTCTGCCAAGGGGCCCTCAAAGCCATACACAGCTCAAGATGGCCCTGAATTGATTTGATACAAATGCAAAATAAAATATGAAACTAGGATTTGAATATACCTGTGGATTGGAGGCAGCAATCATTATGTCAGTATTTACATCCAGATTTGCAAAGGTATTTTTGATTTATAATATGAATGGGGCAAAGGCCTTGAAACTTTATGGATTCTATAAGCCTGAAAGCTTTGTTTTTAATATCTAATTTAAGTGTGACAACTCCAAGCACTGTAGACAATGCATGCAATACTTTTCCAAGCAGTGCTAAACCAGAAAAATGTGTATATAATTTAACCTTAATACATATTTGTATAAAATAATAAAATACAAGACAGACAGAAAAAGGTTATGTTTTATGTCATTTTGGTTATGCGACATCTAGCGCTCATCAACGATATTAGATATTAGAGTATATTAGCTATGCGGTGCCACCTATTGTGTAAAAGTATAAGTACACTGAGCAAAAACAGGAGCACATAAATTAAGGAGGTTAGTAACAGGCGTGAACAGCTGCTTGCACGTATTTTACTGATAACATAACATAACCTCACTTTCAACTCAAAGCGGAAGCGGCATACAAATATTATTTTTTCAGCCCTACTTGTAATTAATGTTCGATAACTGTTAATAAGGTTAATCTACTTTAGTTACTGTAATCAAACATGTTTTCTGCGGTGCCGAAACCATGTATTCGGTCTATCCCCAATCGAGTGAAAGGTAGGTGTACTTATGAGGAAAAATACCAAAACTTTGTGAATTAAAGAATTTTCTCGTAGGCTTGGCATCTCTATTCAACATTCGAAGCTCCAGTAATCATACTGGTAGGGATGATAATCCGAAAAAGGATATGACAAAGTATCGGTACATCTATCCCGAGTTTCTACCAGACCCAAAAATTGACTTTAGGAACCCTGTTCGTGAAATGTTAGAAAGGAATGATATGATTGCAAGACGGCATCAAATTGACATACCTGAATTTTATGTTGGTAAGGGTTTCCTCTTTTGCTCACAGTTGTCATGTTTATTTAGGAATACTAGTGTCAACATTTTAAAAGAATACAAGAAACCTGACTGCAGTAACGGAAAATAATGAAGCTTCATATTGTGTTCCATTCTGGTCAGTCAACTATTTCATTTAAATTTCGTTATTTTGCACTGTTTCTTTTTGATTTAGTTAGCATTAATACTACATAGTATATCACATAATATCCAGGGTGATTCACAAGTCATGACCAAAAATGAAACATTATATACAGGAGGTGGGGTCTTCTATGTAACATAAGGGCTGATGCGGTGTTGAAGTTTAAAAATAAAAAACAATTTCTTTTAATATCTTCGAAACCAACAACTGGAATGAACTAAAATTTGGTATGTGGATTTATCAACGTATTGTCCACATTCAAAAGTCTACTTAAAATTAATGCGCACCAGTGGCGGATATACAGGGGATTAGTGGAATTATTTTTCCAAATAAAAATAGTACGCTACTGTTTTCTTTCAAAACGCGCAATTTTTCGAATTTTACCTTAAATTTGCTACAAATAATTACCCTTGTTTTTATAATAGAGTGTACTGTTTTCGTAAAAATAAATCTAATTAGATCCTTTATGAAAAGCCAAGATACAATTAGTTTCAAAATAAAACAGGAGGCCTTGATACCAACTCGACATTACTTGGGAGATATTTTGTCAAAGTTGTGTGCGGGTTCTGTAATGGAAATGCTTTAGCGGTTTCTCTGCAGTATCAACGTAGATTTTCTAAGACGCCAACTTACCTTTTAGGCTTTTACGCATTCATTTTAAGACTTAAGTTAGAGACCTTGGTGTCCAGCATACTGTTCAAGAGGAACTGCAAGTGATTAATTTGGCGTGGGATGATCCTAGCACAAGTACTAGCTGAATTTCAGCCCAGTTACCATGTTTCCAAAGTCAGGCATGGAGTGTTTTAGATCCTTACCATCAGCAAAATGTGCAATGTCTGCATTCCGGCGACAAAGTGCAACGGCGAAATTTTTGTGAGTGGTTTCTGCAAATGCATAATCAAAATGCAGATTATATTGATTTGGTTTTGTGGTCAGATGAATCCCTTTTTACGAGGAGTGGAACCTTTAATTCCCATAATGAACGTATGGTCGTTAGAAAATCACCGCACGGGTATTATTTAAAAAACCTATAAAATGTCATCTTGTAGACTAGGTAGTTTTTAGGGTGCAAACAATCATTCCACGTTTGCTCACTAGGATCGCTGTGAGCATCCATCTATAGAGGAATGACTCAACTAAACTACATGCATTATTGGTTGCATTTGTTGTATAAAATCAGCGATATTTGCTGTGTGAGAAAATCATTATTGAACATGCTGCCAATAAAGTATATCTCTTAGCTGCGCCTGAAGAGTGTGTGTTGTGCTTTCTGAAGAGAGGTTACATAAGTTTATAGTCAGACAAGTGTCCAAATACTGGAATGGCGTGGTTGTTATCAATCTGTATTTTTCTGTTTAAACGTAGAGACTATTAAACTTCTCTTTTGGAATTAAGCAAACCAAAGACGACTGAAACTAGTCAGTGGACAGATACTGAAAGATAACAAATTAATAATGTTGATTATGGCCAGTGATATTGTGTCAGACTACTGGAATGAGCAATTTTTCATAGCACCCCAATAACCGCCCACTTACATTTTCAAGCCATTTTTTCACAAGATTGTGGAATGAAATTTCACATTTCCGCTTCATTCAGGAATGGATACCAATAAAAAAATAAATTCGGTATATTTAGTGGAGGCAGGTTAAAGGAGACAGTCAAAGCTGTGAGAAATGTTGAGAAACTGCTTGAAATATAAATCTTAAACAAACAAACAAATATGAAAAAAATATGGTAGTTTCAAGTTGGAGGTGCAGAACCGGGTTAAAGGAAAAAATTAGTTCTAACTCATTTTCATGTAGGTCGTACGTATTTTTGAAATAAAATAAATCGGACCATAAAAACCCCATTGTTTAAACAAATTTGTGTCAGGTAACTACCCTGAAAAATTTTGATTCATGTTAAGGGGCATTTAACATGGTTATGAAGAAAAAAATATCAACGTGAATCATTTCAACAATAAGAGGTTTTCACCTCGTAATAGATTTTTACATTAAGTCTCTTAATTTGTCAATGTTGGAATTAACTTTGTATTAATTTAACATAAGGGTGGTGATCAATCTAAGGAATGTACAAGATTGATTATTGTGACTGCCTTGAAATGTCCCCATACAATGTGTGCCCCTAGAACATTTATATTCTTTTGCTGTGAGAGAACTGTATCTTAATTTTATTCCCTGAATCAATGATTAGGATTGCTAAACAATATTTTGAGTAAATGGAGTTTGGTGAATCCAGTGGTAATGATTTCACAAGAATTGTAGATAACTTCTTTTTAACCTCAAGGCGTATATATGAAAAAAGGTTCAATGTTTACTCAAAATTGTATCCCCTACCATTCTTCTCATAGGTTGAGAAAACTTGCTTTCATTAAATAAATAAAATAGTCTATTAGTAATTTCAAAGTTATCATCATATTTTATGATCCCCAGGCTCCATATTAGCAGTAGAAGCCTCAGATCCCCATACACCAGGTAAAGTGCAAAGATTTGTTGGGATTTGTATACAGAGGAAAAATTGTGGACTAAGAGCAAACTTCACTCTAAGAAATGTCATTGATCATCAGGGAGTTGAAATTCTATATGATCTGTATGACCCTTCCATTCAAAAGATAGAAGTTTTGAAACTAGAAAAGAGATTGGACGATGAATTGTTATATCTTAGAGATGCTTTACCAGAATACAGTACTTTTGATCCAAATATGGAAGCAGAAATTCTACCAGAAGGTAACTTATTTTCTCATTTAAAACAGCTTTATGATGGTCCAGGGTCATCAGCAATAGAGTTTAAATCTTGGCAACTATTTAGGTAGATCCCTGAAGTTCTTTAGCATATAAATGAAAAAAAAAGTATTCGATAAGGCAAAAATTACCGTACATATTACTCATTTCAAACTTAAACAATATACAAACCAAAATATCTTTAATTTTTGTACAACAGTGTTACTATATTTTTTGCGCAATTATAGATGGTTCAGTACCTGTTAACCCAATAAAAGTTAAGTTGAAACCAAGGCCTTGGCTGGAAAGGTGGGAGAGAAAGAATTTAAAAGGGGTTCAAGACTTAGAACTACCTGAAAGATTCTACAAGAGAGCTGCAGAGGTAGCTACACCTTGGGAAAAATATGATTTGATGAAGGATTACATGTAAGATAAAATTATTTGTAATTTGTAAATTATAGATGTTCCTTCAAAAATATTTTTTAGGAGGACAATACCTGAGGAAGAGCAAAATGAAATATTCAGAGAACTACAATCCAAGTTACAGACTGCAAATGTGCAGATAAAGAGACAGAAGAGGAAACGAGTATTTGTGAAACCAACAAAATTGGCTTAATTCTTATTTCAAAAATGTTCAATGTGTAATAAAAAAATATATTTGGAAATCGATACTTTTTACATTGTGATGAAATAAATAAGTACAAGTAGTAAAAAAACTATTTATGGACAATTTCTTTCAAATTTACAAAATAATTACAGAATTATAAAGTTTAACGGCAGTATAAGAACTATGTACAAATAAAATGAAGTTCACTCACTTTACATATAATAGAAAGCCGAGAGAATGATATAAAGATAATACCAAATAATTTTCAGTAATATGCACACGTATTTTGAAATATTTGCCCTTAATTGATTTGTGATTTCAAAACGAATTTCTCTCGTATCTATTCTTAGCTCTAATAAAACACGTACATAAAAAATATTTTAGAAAATACAAAAATTTAAATGACACAATCCCTAAGGCACTGTTCTCACCAAAAGCAACTCGATTTCACCTTTGGTAGCATTGCATTTGCTTTCTCACCAAAGCAACTGCCCATCTTGCTTTGAAGTTGTGGATAACGCCACTGACTAATACCAATAAGAAGCCGGAATGTAAAAAGACTAATTTGGTTTTTAAAAATCGTGATGAAAGAAAAACCATTTAAATGTCACAAATACAGTCTAGCCATATCAATAGATCAGCAAAAATTCACAGTACATAACAGAAATATGTTCATTGAAGGAACTGCAGAAACTAGCAATTTGTATGCAAACTTTTTTTGAGTCCCTTGTTGATTCACAATTAACTTTTGTCATATCTTGCTTCAAGTTTTTCACATGTTTTCATTTACTTTAACTGTCATCTGTGGTTGTATTGTGGATACCCTGATCCTTGTAAAGGGTGTCTCAACAAGAGCGCCGGATTTGAATTTGCAGGCATTTTTTTGTATAAATGGTATGGTGTTTACTTAATGACAGCTGTCACGTCCAGACCACGCGATTAGACGTCATGGAGCAGTTCGTAAACGAGCAACGTTTAATTATTGTGAAAACTCATTAGAAAAAGGGAGAAAATTACGCCGAAACAGTTCGCAAATTACGTAGAATTTTCGGTTGCAATAATGCGTCAAATGAGTCGACAGTTCGTCGTTTAATTACAAAATTTGAGACAAAATTCACGTTGCTGAATGTAAAGACCACTGTTCGTCGCCGTCTTGGTCGGTCGCTCGAAAATATAGTCGCAGTGTGGCCGAGAATCCACGCATCGTGGCCAAAAATTGAACCTTAAAAGACCAATTTTGACAGAAGATCTGTGCTTGCATGCGTACAAAATTCAACTGACGCAACAACTCAAGGCAACGGACCAAGCGCAGCGCCGTGAATTAGTTGATTGAACGCTGGAGCACCACCAAATTGATGCGGATTTCTCGATGAAAATCATTTTCTCTGATGAGGCACATTTTCAACTGAACGGGTACGTCAATAAGCAGAATTTGGGGTTATGCAAACCCTCGTGTAATAATCTAGCAACCAATGCATTCGCCGCGAGTAACCGTTTGGTGCGCATTATGGAATGGCGGAGTGATTGGAGTTCTTGTGGCCCCAGTTGGATCGAATTGATGTGGAGAATATGTTCTTCCAACAAGACGGTGCGACCTGCCACACAGCACGTGAAACAATGGTGTTACAGCGGACCAAGTTTCCAGACCGTGTCATATCTCGGTTTGGCGATCAAAATTGGCCACCAAGATCGTGCGATATAACGCCAATGGACTTCTTCGGGCCATTTGCAGGAGTCTTATTTCATGTTTAATCGCAACTATTCCTTTTCATGTTGAAATATAAATACTCGCTCAATTCGAAAAGAAATTGTGTTTTTCTTGAAAATCAAATCCGGCGCTCCTATTAAAACACTCTTTACTTCATTATCCAGTAAATTCTCGTTTCCATATTGGAATTTCTTTTCAATAACATCTTCATGCTCTATAGTCTAAAACCTACATTTTTTTCACAGGTATGTTATTTACTTTTTTCCGTCATTTCCAGCTCTGGACATCCTGTGACCTTTTGTCTGCTATTTTTAATCAAATATATAATTACATCTACTCTTCCAATGGTGATCTTTCCAGGTCCTAGCTCAAATGGAGCTGAGCAGAAATCATTCTATATTGTATCAAACTATACCTTTGGTAGTTTGATGTTTATTGCAATTGTTCCATTTAAACCAGGACCAGTACTGATTATTTTTGAAAGTGAAGTTGATGTAAATATCCGACTCAAAATATCAGATGTCCATTGCCGGAAATGTCAATAAAATCACCAATTGAACTGTAAAAAAATAAAATCCAATATGAAAACTATTATTTATTGGATGATTCAAAGAACACAAAGGCGCGATGGAGAACTATTTTTATCAGATATGAACATGTGAGCATCTCCAAACCAATTAGTGTCGGTAGTCAGCAACTGGTCGCTTTGGTGATAAAATGTATACAAATACACGTTGCGGTTGCAAATTTCTCTCAGTGAGAACGACCCCAACAGCTCAGTCTATAGCCTTGCTATGCATGAATATATTTAAAAAAAGGCATTCGAACGAAATAGTACAGTGTAAGAGTGACCCAAACATTAAAGCTTACTGTGTCAACAAGTCGCAGTTATTTTGGGTATACCATTTAGAAGTATCAAAAATAAGATTCGACAAAAAGTATCAGTTTCCAACAGTTAAGCACGATGGAGGCAACATCATGGTTTGGGGCTGTTTTTCTAGTTCTGGAACGGGTCCAATTGTTAAAATTGTCGGGAAAATGGGCCAAAAACTTCACAAAGATGTTCTAAATAAACACATGCTCCCTTTTACTGAAGAACAAATGCCTTTACGATGGACGTTCCAGCAAGATAATGACCCCAAGCATACCTCAAAATTCGTAAATGACTGGTAAGACTAAAACATGTTAATGTTCTTACATGGCCTTCGCAGTTCCCGGACATAAACCCTATAGAACATCTCTGCGAGCATGTTAAAAGACAACTGACAAGAAAAACTTTAAAAAATATGAACGATTTATTTGGTTATGTAAAAAATATCCTAACAGAAGTCTGTAAAAAAATGGTGTCTTCTATGAGCAGCAGATGTCAGGTAGTATTGAATGCCAAAGGCTATGCTAGCAAATATAAGCTAAACAGAATTTTTTTAATCTTGTAGAGTTATTGTATTTAATTTTGTAATAAAAATATGTTTTCATACTTTTTTCGTCTCATTTTTGGTCATAATATGAAGGTATTTTAGTCTGTAGTACCGCAGCAAACACAAATTGTCATTTGTATCCTCAAGACTTTAAGCAAACTATATGAGAGAAAAAAATAGTCCTCAATAATAAAGAATAAAAAATTAGCGCACTTTTTAAAAATTACCAATAATGTTTCCAAACATATAATAATTGACTAGATTGTAATAGTCCAAATGATGAATTGTGGGATGAAAATAAGTAAGAAAGTAAGTTCCTAGAAAGTGAGATATGCTCTGAAAATATTGGATCACTCTTACAAAAAACAAGTTATACACAATTAGCGGCTAACGACACCTGCACTGGATAAACATGTAGAATATAGATGGAATAAATCAAAGTATGAACATAATCCATTGTAAGACGTATACATTTATGGATATAATAGTAATAGTGTCGATTTAGTTTTTTATCTAGTAGTGCATTGAACGTTCGAACCGATCCCATAATAGCAGGAAGGTTGCCTCATTTTAATCTATACTTCGAAAACTACGCATCATAACAAAACAACCTGCAAACAACAGTTGTACAGTTTCGAGGGGTTAAACTGATGGTAATCTTGACCATGACCTTCACCACAACATTCAAGGCCTGAATATTTTCAAACCGGAATTGGAAAGACATTGAAAACAATGAAAGGTGACCTTGACATTCAATGTCAAGTCAATATTATCAAAGTCCCTCATTTTTATCCTGGAATTGGAAAAAGCAGGATATGCTACGTGCAAATGTGGTCACGATAATCTTAAATATTAGGCCACCTCTTGATGATAAGAAATTTTATATTTAAACGCGTGAAATTTTGACGATCATGCTGATGGTCAAGGAGGTCAAGATCACCTTTGGCTCACTCCCCACAAAGTTCACAACTGTGCTATTGAATATCTTTGCTAGAGCAATCATTTTCAGTGTCTTGATTTGACCTTGAAGGTCATAGTGGTGATAATATACCTGTTTTTCATTGACAATAAATCTTCGTATTTCACCATGAATTGAATTCATTGCCAAATTTCAAAAGTGTAAAACAGGAATTTGACCTCAAGTAAAACCATGGAGTTGTTCCTGCGATTTCTTCACGAAATTAGACTTCTGATTTCCGCCAAGCTGGATGTCAAATTTCATGCGTCCAACCTAGTTTTTTTTACATTATATTGAACAATTGTTCAATTCAAGTATAAAACTTTGATAGACCTATAGTATTCAACAATATGGTTTCTGTTTATGCGATTCGCCACAAAATCACAACCACAATACACAAAAACTCAAAATGTTTCTAGCAAGAATTTGTTGTGTGGTTAACAGCACTGTGTACCGACAGATAATCCATTACGTCCCAATGGACATCAATATGTTAACACTGTAAAACATCCATCGGAATAAATTCGTGAAGAAATTGATGTAAAACGGTTAATAGGACGTAAAATATTCCCCTTTATACAATTCCGGTGTAAAATAGGATAGTTCCATTTGAAAAAATACGCTTGAGTTTTAAATGACCTTGAAGGTCGCGGTCATAGGTATGTCAAGAGTACCCTTACTTGGCCCCCTGAAACCATACAACTTGTGTTTGAAGCTTTTTTCTAGCATGCGTAGTTTTCGAAATATTTAGGTGGGGATATTCCATCAACACTACTAATCCATTTTTGTTTTCAGATTATTTGGGATATAAAACAAAAGTTATAAAGTGTCTTTTTCAATATGCCAATACTTATATTTGGTTTATAAGGTTCTTGGTATATAAACTAGCAATAATGCTGACATTGAGCGTTACATTACCAAGTTCGGGATTTGGGTCCAGAGAATTTTCACTTGGAACGCTCGCCTCAAAAAGGCTCCACATTTTTCTCCTGTAGTCTGTGTCGAAATATCAGGTCTACAAATAGCTGGTGCTGCGTTCATTTGAATGGGTTATTGCAACCTAATAAAAAAGGAAAAACAGAGACGGTGGTGGCAGACAGATTTATTTAGAAGAGATGTAAAGATGTAAAAGGTGGTGCAACATTAATGAGCATTTTAAAAAATGAAGAGCTGTTCCCACCCGTCATGTTTCTTGATTTTGTTATAATATTCCGCCTGTTGCGGATTCAGTACGATACAAAAATTAATAACGTATGTTCAGAGCCCTATCCTAACTAATAAAATAAGAAGACTGCAGAGACTGGGCTCAAAGACAAACTAGTCGCCACCTGCACTGACTTGTAACGTAACCATCAAAGGGATTCGTCAAAAAAACCAACAGTCAAGTGGCGCACGATTTGCTCTACGTGAGCGACACTGTCCGGCGCTCGCTTTAGCTATTCCATCCTTTAACTTTCTGTCAAGAAGATGAGCTGTAACAGCCCATCAACCACCCCAGTTTCATCATTCTCTTTAGGTTACATGATGACCTTGTCAGGTGTTGAAAAAGTAGATACGACTGTTCTTCTCCCAACTCTAACCAACCAGTACAAAATTATATAGTCATTTGTTTCACTTCGATCCAATGTACCACTCGATATAGTGGCGTCACTCATCATTTGATTTCTCGACCAAGCTTCCAATCGTTTCTTGGCAGTACATGAATGTGGTCCTGGGTACCTTGGAGTCTCATTCGCCTAGAATTTGAACATAGGCTTCTTCTGTTGATCCCTTTTGTCGTTCAACTAGTTTTCACTGGGAGCAAAAGAAAATACTTTGTATTTTCTGCAACAAGGAAATACTTTTGAAGGAGAAAATGGATCAACAGTCTACGTCTGAAGTTCAGGTGAACGAGACTTCAAAAATACCTAGATCCTAATCTGGGTACTACCAAGAAACTGGCTATTGGAAGCTTGACTGGGAACTCAAATGACGAGAGTGAGATGCCAATATATAGATGGATAGAAGGATGGTGTGGAGTTGGGAGAAGAACAATCACCTGTCTTTCCATTATCTATCAAGGTCATCGTGCCAGCTAAAGAGAGTGATCAAACTGTGAAGGTTGTTATAACTTATCATCTTGACAAAAAACCGACATTTTTCAAGAGGAAATGCAATCTAGCAAGACTACACCAACACAAACAGACCTGGGTGAAAATGTCAGAGGTTAAAGGGAATCAAGAAAAATATACCTATGATATAAAGTGACTACAGGATACCAAATATCGATACGGGAACTGATATTAGCACCTTCAAAGTGAACAGCAAAAGACTAGACCGGCTTATATACCTAAAAACTGGCATGAACTATTTGCTCTTAAAACAGGTGACGAATCATCTGATGCAGATATTTAGACAGTTAAACTCTTAATTTGAAACTGAAGTCTGACAGTAGATTGTGAGCATAAAAATATAGAATAAAGCATCAGGGTCTCCTACATTCAGTAGTTGTAGTTCTCTTAAATTAGTTTTTTCTATTGAGAGCTTATATACCACAGAACCTTATAAACTAAATATAAGCATCAGCATTTTGAAAACAGACACTGTATGTCGCCTGTTTTATTCCCCCAAAATACGAAGAACTAAAAAGCATATGGCAAACACTGAGATAAGGATTTATTTTTTTGTGACACTACTAATAATACATTTTTGATATGCCAAATATCAATTTCACCATATATGCCTCAGAGCCTTCATTTTCAAATACGAAATACAAATCCTCAATATGAGGGCGACAGATACAAATACCAAGGAGCTTACAAGACTTTAGATACGACTGTGGTTTCTAGTCATGTGATTGGTAATATGCACAAGTTTAGAGGAGGCAAAAGAAAAGCACGATGGTTTAAGAAAAAGCAAAACGCAAGCTGTAATTGAAATCAGCAAAGGATATAATCCCATAATAAGATCGTATTTGTAGACTGGTGGTTCAATACTCGATAATGGCACGCGAAAAGTTCAATTCAATTAACTCGAATTTATTCGGTAAATTGATTATAATTTATTTGACTGGTGACGGTACTTCAAAACATCAACCACATTATTCTAAGTCTCATAAATTCCTCACAAATACAAACATGATAAAAAAATTCAATAAAAGAAGCGCTTAGTTCACGAACCAGCTGACGGCGATGAAAAGTTTTTGTTGTAGGAGATCACAGATGCGGCATTGGAAGTTTCTGGCTGCTGTTTCACTGTAGAACATGAGAAATTTCGTAAGGCTTTCAGGTTCTCCATGACCATCTGGATGTCATCCTCCGATTTATTCGGTTTAGTGGCGGAGGGTGTTGAAAAGTTACCTGGATTAAAGAGAGAAAAATCATTTCATTTGGCGTGTGAGTAGTACAGATCAGACTTATACAGGATGTTAATAAAGTGCCTGGCCAAAATTCAAGGGTTTTTTTTTTTATATCGAAACAGCCGCGCAGGCAGAAGCCTAAATGCCGGAACACCGCGGCTGCTATGATGATCCCAAAGAAATTTTGTTAATACGATTTTTGAACTGCCTAAGGTTAGGAGAACTGGGAAAAGCTTCCTCCCGTAGTTTGTTCCACAATCTAGACACCCTCGGGACAAAGGAGCGGTCGTATCGGCCAGTTCTGGATGTACGAAGTTTGACACGGTTAGGATGGGACGCCGAAGTCAGGCGGGTCTGTCTAGCAGGCACATCGCGCGGCGGCATCATGGAAGAGAGCTCTGAGGAGCAAAGCCCGTTGGTGTAGCGATAGAAAAGAGCTAGATCGCCGACGGCCCGCCGGTGCGAAAGAGTCCCGAGACTGTCTGTTAGAGAAGAGTCATCGATCAGTCGGACCGCCCTCCTCTGGACAGCATCGAGCATGGACAATGTAGTCGGGGCGGCAGCACCCCAAATGTGTGAGCAATACTCGAGGCTAGGCCTTATCTGGGCCTTGTATAGAGTGAGAAGGTCATGCGGAGAAAAGTACTTCTTAGCCCTAAACAAATAGCCTAGCTTTTTCCCAGCAGCTGCAGCTATTGAAGAGATGTGTTCGTGCCAGATCAGGTCCTCGGTGATCTGGACTCCGACCAGCCGAAATGAATGGCTCTTTGGTAGGACTCGACCGTCCATCGAAACTGTATGAGCGCTAGGACGCTTTTTGTTCGTCAAAGTACAGTACTGTGTTTTGGAAGCATTGAACTGTACAAGATTGTTGCGTCCCCAAGCAGTGATAGCCTCCAGGTCTCTTGTCAGAGAAGAAGTCGTCGCTAGTCTTCTTTTTTCCAGCTCAGCGGCAGAGATCGGCCTGTCACTCCGAATTCCTGCATGTAGAGTGCTGTCATCAGCGAAGCTGTGGATTGGGTTGATCGTGCAGGAAAGGAGGTCGTTGATATGTAAGAGAAACAGTGTTGGAGCCAAGACCGATCCCTGGGGAACACCCGCGTTGACGTTGTGGGATGAAGAGGAGAATCCGTCAATTACGACGGATATCCTGCGGCCAGAGATAAAGTCAGCCACCCATCTGCAAAGCTTTTCTGGGAGGCCGTAGGATGGAAGTTTGCTCAAGAGGGCAGCGTGCCATAGCTGATCGAACGCTTTCGTGATGTCAAGAGCAACGACATGAGCCTCACCATGAGACTGGATTAGTTTACTCCACAATTGCGTGACGTAAGCTAGGAGGTCCCCTGTGGATCGTTGGTGCCGGAAACCGTACTGCCTGTCGCTAATCAAGCTGTGACGTTCGAGGTAGTCCAGAAGCTCGCGATTTATGCACCTCTCCATCACTTTACTTATAACAGAAAGCAGAGCTATAGGCCTGTAGTTGTAAGGGTCGGTTTTAGATCCTTTTTTTGGGATGGGCTGTACATGAGCAAATTTCCAGTTTTCTGGGAAGGTGCCGGATTCATAAGATATCTGGAAGAGACGCGAAAGAACTGGAGCAAGCTCAGCTGCACATCTCTTCAGTACAATGGCAGGAATCAAGTCCGGACCAGAAGCTTTGTTGATGTCGAGCGACAAGAGCACTCGTCTTACGGTCTTATGCCTGAATGTTACCTCCCGCATAGTGTGGGGAACCCTTTGAATTGACGGCACTTGGGCGTTGGTGGGGACGTCCATGGTGGAGTTGGCAGCAAAGATCTTGGCTAGCACTTCCGCCTTGGCCTTTGAGTCGAATACAATACTTCCATCCTGACACGTAAGTGGTGGAAGGCTACTGTGTGAGAAGTTCTTTTCAATCTGCTTGGCCAGCGTCCAGAAAGACCGACTGCCATTGCGCTGTGACATTACCCTGTGCCTAACTTTTATATCATGCTGGGTTTTGGCATTGCGAACCGCTTCGTTATATTTGTTTCTGGACTCGACGTCGGCTTGTCTGTTCTCTACAGTGGGGTTTTGTAAGTATGCTCTGTGGGCTTTGATCTTCTGCTGGCGAGCAGTGTCACACGATTTGTTGAACCAGCCGTTGGACCCTGGTTTAGGAACTTTCACTGTGTGAGGGATGTATTCCTCCATTCCGACGTGGATAATTTCGGTTATTGAAGAACAGACAGTCGACGCATCCGCGTCAGTGAAACAGACATCTCTCCAAGGAAAGCTAGAGAAGAAGTCTCTGAGCCCCTCCCAGTCGGCATGTCCGTAATGCCAAGTTTTGCGGCCTGTGCGAGTTTCTGCGGCCACAGCGGCTTCTGACCGAAACCTAACCTCCACAACACCGTGATCTGAGTTACCCAGGGGGGACAGGACGGCAGTGCTGTAAGGGGCAGGATGCGTGGTCAGAAAGAGATCCAGCAGGCTACTGGCGTGTGACGAGACGCGGGGGAAAAAGTAGGGCTCGTCACCAGCTGGGTCAGCCCTTGAGTAAGAGCGAACGCTTCGACTGCACGACCTGCTGCATCGGTCTTATTTGAGCCCAACCAAAGCTCATTATGGGCATTGAAATCACCGAGAAGAACTACCTCTGAAGCGGGGTGATTGATGTTCAGGAAGTCGATCTGGACGGCGAGGTATTCAAGTAGGTCATCCCAGTTATGGTTCGAGGGAGAGCGATAAAGGCAGCAAATAAATTTGGGTGATGTTTTGGAGTTGAGGCGAAGCCACAGAATGTCCTTCCGGTCTGATTCCAAAGAAAGATCCCTGGAGCAGGAAAGACTGCTGCGGACAAAAGCCACAACTCCCCCGTTCTTTCTCAGATTGGAGTGCACCTCGTAGTTTGGGAAGTTGAGATGGTTAATCGGTGCAGCCTCTGAGATTTTTGTCTCCGCCAAGAAAAGCACGGCGGGACGATTGGATTGCAGGTAGTGATGAACAGCATCAATGTCGCTGTTGATCCCGCAGATGTTCGAAAAACAAATTTTATCTTCGATGTTGTTCCCTCGAGCCCACCCTCCACCCGGACATTCCGAGAGTGGAGTGAGTTTACGTCCGGAGTTTTTAGTGCTCGAGGGATCCATCATCATTAATTTCTTTGTTTTGGTAGATAACTATGGCAGTGCGTTATCCCGCGAAAACTGTCGTCAGTCGTTAGATATGAGACCTTAGGGTGAGTTTCTTTGTACCTTTATTTTTGGATGCAATTCAGTTGCGGTTTGGGAGCCACCTAGTTCCAAAAACTAGTAAATGAAACAACAAGTAACACTGTTGGAGTCTGGGGTTAGAAGAGATACCAGCTCACAAGGTACACAGACATTTATTGAACAGGAGGACAATCAATAGAAAACCATTTGGTATTCCCGTCCCCCTAGCTAAATGGTTACCAATAGACTTAAGAATTTAAAACTAAAATAAAAAAAACCTTGGCTATCCCCGAACGGCAACCGAGGGCAGGAAATCCCAGATGTTAACCTAAGCGGAGGGTAGAACCCAAAGGTAGAACCGGATGGTAAAACTTGAGAGTAGAACCCTCGAACAATGAGGGTTCTCCAAAAATGGGGAACAGCTCCTCCCAGGCGTGAGCCTCACTGAAACTCGCCTTGGACTAACCCTGCAGGCGTTTCCCCTCACCTCGATGGTTGAGTGTAGTTATCTGCACGGTTAAATCGACAACAGGGTGAGAAAAAGGCTACGGCAAAAAAAACACCAAGGGGGGCGATTTCTAATAAAAACCACCCCACCACCCGCAACTCAGCATGTGAACTATTCACAGAATCGAGATGGAGAGTAGGGTACGATTTTCTACCGCAAAATTATTAGACTGAGAAAAGTGGTTTATTATAAAAATGAAATTCGATGTTTTTAAGGAGTGCTATAAAATTATTATTCTAAATAAGAAAAACGCTGTAATAATTCACTTTATCAAGATGCAGTTAATATTTAGTCGACCATAAAAAGAAGCTGTAACAAGTGTTCTCACCAAAAGCAACCTCATTTCGTCTTGATTTGGGGTTGTAAAAACTTTGCTAAGTATGAGAGCAAAACCATGGAACAAATGAACAATTTTATTCCTTTATTTACTGAATAAATGAAACAAACTATTGAGTAACACTTCGATCTATTAAGTGACTTAAAAAATATTTATCTTTACTACAGAGTTAATTATTATTATTAATTGAATTTGAAGTTTTATTATATTTATAACTCTTCCAAACGGCCTTACAACGAACAAGCCTCCATATAACTATAATAAATAGGTCGTTTAACTTCAAACTAACGTTGTGATCAAAACTTATATTACTTAAACTATAGTAAAGATCTTTCATTAAAACGAAATATTAATTATTACTCACAATAATATATTCTCAAAAAATACTCAATGAACATTACTTGGAACGCTATCGCAAAACTAAAAATGTATCCGTGAAAAATTTTTCGAAGAAATTTTAATGTGTTTTATATCGATATCAAATAAGATGCCAAAACCTTTATAATTGATAAAAAATAAAACAGACTCATAATATGGCCTTCTAAGCGCCGTCTTGTCATTCGTTCCTACAGTTGTAGGACGTCTTTATGGCCTCCTTGATTTTGATAGTATTTAGTTTCCTTCAGACAGGCTGGGGTATTTCTAGATTTGTACTGTTCCATGTCAGCATCAGCGCTCTCCTATTGTGAGGCTATGATTTCTTTTTGAATCGTAGGAAATTTCAGGCTGATATAGTAGATGATCAAAAGTATGAACAATTTAATGCAAATAGATAATTGTAACATACCCTCAAAATAGATCGCTGACACGGAACAGTAGAAAACTACGAAAATCAAGGAGGCCATAGAGGTGTCCTACAATAAATTGTAGGAACGACTGACGAAGCTCAAAATGTAACAGGTTGCGTTAGGAACCTTCGATTGAAAAAAAAAATAAAATAATATAAGGTCATTTAGTTGGAAACTTACGTTTTGCTGTGAGCTAGGATTATAATTTTAACCGACGTCCGATGTCAACAACGTGTGGGACCGCAATGACAAAATAACAACGCGAGCGACTCGTTGTCGCGTTATGTTCTGGAGTTCGATGCGTGTCAGTGTGAGTGGAATAAATTGTCAATGCATGCCAATAAATGCCATTCAGGAAAATAAGGTATGTCTTGCAGCCCTGAGATCTTGAACTATTTCTTTTTACTTTTACTTGAAAAGTACGAACAGAATTTAGAGTACCAATTCCTCACCTGTGAATGCTTTTGGCTCCGAATAGAACTTCTGGTGACCAGCGCTGAGATCAGTCGGTTTCGGTTCCCCATCTCTCACCCTCCTACTTTTTTCGGTAAGATCGACTATTTGGCAGTGTAAGTCTTGCGGTATCACAGAACTGGCAGAGGCTCCTTCCTCGTTCAATTTTTGGACGCTTTTTACAATCACGGTACCACTAACGCTACCGAGCGGCGGTTTTGCGGCATCCGAATGATTATCGAATGATGCACGCTTTGGCGCTTCGATCACCTTCACCTCTAAGGATGGCAGTAGGGGTTTGGTAGGTCTCTCAGGAACATCTACTTGGATACGGTCTGAATTACTATTACCTGTAATGATATAATTTCAGACAATTGAGGCATGCTGAATGACGCGATTATTTTGTGCGACTGAATAATGAAATTTGTTGTACAAGTTCTACTATGAAACACTGGAGAAGTCGTGACGTGATTCACTTTTACTCATGGGGATGTAACTTTGTACTCAACCTTGTATTCATGTCCAGAAAAAAGAAACGAGTCATACTAACTGTTTTAAAGATATACCAGGATATCTAGAATTTGAAAGAAAAAATGTAATAAGCTGTTTTACAACGGAATTATATTCTTGAGGGTATACGGCCATGTTGGAAAAACAACTTTTTCGCGTATATTTGATTCGCTATCAGCTATGAACTACTGGTGTAAGTGGTCCAAAAAAGTTGTTAGGGATGGAAATACCTTCAAAATAAGACCTTATGTGACCAATTTGTCGTAACGGTGAATTTCTTACTACAACAAAAAATAATAATGGGAATGGTCAGAAAAACTGTTATGGACTTGTTTTAGCAGGAAATAGAGTTAGTGATGTATAAGTTAAGCTAAAGAATCACTAATATTTTCAATGGCTTGTTACTGAAAATCACACTTAACTATTGTCTTATGAACGTGCACCATGTTTTAATATTTTCAAGGCACATAGGGGGAATCCGGACAACGCGATTACCTGTGAAAGCTGAATTTCGCGAATTACATTCAAACCACGAATCGACCATTGTAAAAAACAGACTTATTCGATCAACTTTCTCCAACAATTGGCAATCGGTTGTAGAAGAGCCCGCGTGCTTTGACTAAAGCCCCCCATACACGTGCGAAGAATTTGCACAAACTCGGTTTTAGTGGAAAAACAGCACGGTTATGAGAGACGCAATATTTCCAGAACTGAGATTGTTAGCCACTTTGAGATATCTTGTAAGCGGTGCTTCCTTTGAAATTACCGAAACTTGAGAGACGCAATATCTCCAGAACTGAGATTGTTGGCCACTTTGAGTTATATTGCAAGCGGTGCTTCCTTTGAAGAGCTGAAATTACCGGAACTTCGTTTTCAACCAGGGAATAGAGAGGAAACTGCCTGAGAAGCAGGAGTTGACTGGTCCAAATTTTGCACAAACCGTACCATACACGGTCAAACAAATACTCAAACAAGGGGTGTTTGCACAAAGTATTTCGATACTGATCGACAGTTTGCACACCCATAGAAGGTCGAACTGTTTGCACAAACACCGAGCTTGCGCAAATTGTTCGCACGTGAATGTATTTTTTCAACAAAAAAAAACTAATTGCAAGATAGGTGTTGTGCATGTGTTATTATACATATATGTACAGCTATTTAAAATATTGATTGTACATGTAAAGGACCTTCCCTTAAACAAGTGATTTTGTGCAAAGTCAATCAGGCCTGTAATCTTATTTTCGTAGTTTATACAGCACATTAAAATTCTGGTGAAAATAAAACGATACAAATACTGGTAGTGTTTTTGAAATGACCCATTCAAGTACCTGCCGTCGAGTAGTGTATAAACCACGTAAGTCCCTGACTGAATGTAGTGACTTGAAGTATATACCCCGGAATTCGCATTTACCTTCAATAAAGCATTTTCATTAAAAACATTTTGGTAAAAAATGGACTCAAGCGCTTTTTGGAATGATCGATTCGTTTTTAATGCATTCGAAAATTTTTATTCTTTCCGCTATTATTTAATTTTCAGTCTCCTCTAAAATACGAGACATTTATCGTAATTTACTTGTCTCTTTCCGAACTACATAGTCACAACATCCTTATTTTACAGGGATACTGCTGATAGAGCTGACTCACCATCTTGCTTTTGCATTTCCATTCCAAACGACTTCAAGAAATCATTCATACTTTTATCCATATTGGTTAAATTTGCTTTATTACTAACACACTTTGAATCTACTTTAGCAGGAATTATTTCCAATCCACCAGAAGTGGTTGTGACCACATCACTGGAGTTATTTGGTTTCTTGCTGTTCACTGTAGTTATAGTAATTGCTTCTGGTATCTGTTCGTTTTTACTGACAACTGGTGATATAGTCACATCTGTAGCGTTGGAATGTTGTGAGGTTTCTGTGGATAGCGTTGAAGCATTGTTTGATACCTGAAGAGAAGACATGACAGTTAACATCACCACTACCAGTAGGCGTGCGAAATAAAAGGAATATAATAGTGTGTGATATAAGGTACATTACTTATTATTCAGATGACACCAACGGCGGCGAAAAAAAACTGATTATACTCATGCTCATAGAAATAGGTCTATTACGATTGTAATAGATGGAACAACACTGGTCGCGGCAGCTTACATTACTTACATTATGTAGGATTCGGATTGTGCGGCAATATAATATATACTAAGTGACAGATAAAATGCAACGCCCAGAATTGTTTCTGTTTGTTTAAGATTTAATGAGCATGATTGCTACAATTACAGATATTTAGAAAAAAAAACAAAAATTGCATCTCTAAAAATTTACACTGTCCATGAAATATTCCTTTAATTTACTTTCAAACAACTTTAAATTACAAGTAGACTTTATATCATTATTTAGTTTATTAAATTCAAGTAATCCTTTCTGAAATATTGATTTGTTAGTTATATTACTATTGAAATTTTGTAAATCAAAATCTATATTTCCTCTTGTATAATAACTGTGGTAATGATTATTCAATTCTATGTTCTGCTCGAATCCACCTTCCTCCTTTTTGCGGATTTTGCCCACTATTTTCCTATTTTTTGTTATAAATTTTTCTCTGCATGATCATTTTCTCTTTGTAGATCCTTTGGGCGTGAAGCAAGTGGCTATAACCGGCTGCGAAGTTGTGGTTATATGTCTCCTTGGAAATTCGAGGTCTTCTAACCATTTTATACAACAATGTGAAGGTTGGCTCTTGTTGTGGATTTCGTGTGTCGTTTTTTCTTCCTGTCCATCTTCGTTTCCTCAGGTTACACCCGTATCCGGATGTGTGGGCATGTGTTTCTACTATTGTGGTTGGATATGTGCATTCATTTTGGGCCTGGTGAAGCCAACCAGCAGAAATACGTATCGCTCGGGTTACCTATCCTATTTTCTGCTCGAATCCACCTTCTTCCTTTATGCGGATTTTGCCCATTATTTTCCTACTTTTTGTTATATGCCTTTCTCCGTATGATCATTTTCTCTTTGTAGATCCTTTGGGCTTGAAGTACCACAGCAAGTGGCTATAACCGGCTGCGTGGTTGTGGTTATATGTCTCCTTGAAAATTCGAGGTTTTCTAACCATTTTATACAACAATGTGAAGGTTGACCCTTGTTGTGGACTTCGTGTGTCGTTTTTTTCCCTCTTCATCTTCGTTTCCTCAGGTTACACCCGTATCCGGATGTGTGGGTATGTGTATCTACTATTGCGGTTGCATATTGTGCATTAATTTCGGGCCTGGTGAAGCCAACCAGCAGAATTACGTATCGCTCGGGTTACCTATCCTATTTTCTGCTCGAATCCACCTTCTTCCTTTATGCGGATTTTGGCCACTATTTTCCTATTTTTTGTTATATATCTTTCTCTGCATGATCATTTTCTCTTTGTAGATCCTTTGGGCTTGAAGTACCACAGCAAGTGGCTATAACCGGCTGCGTAGTTGTGGTTATATGTCTCCTTGAAAATTCGAGGTCTTCTAACCATTTTATACAACAATGTGAAGGTTGGCTCTTGTTGTGGACTTCGTGTGTCGTTTTTTCTTCCGGTCCATCTTCGTTTCCTCAGGTTACACCCGTATCCGGATGTGTGGGCATGTGTATCTACTATTGTGGTTGGATATGTGCATTCATTTTGGGCCTGGTGAAGCCAACCAGCAGAAATACGTATCGCTCGGGTTACCTATCCTATTTTCTGCTCGAATCCACCTTCTTCCTTTATGCGGATTTTGCCCATTATTTTCCTACTTTTTGTTATATGCCTTTCTCCGTATGATCATTTTCTCTTTGTAGATCCTTTGGGCTTGAAGTACCACAGCAAGTTTCTATAATCGGCTGCGTGGTTGTGGTTATATGTCTCCTTGAAACTTCGAGGTCTTCTAACCATTTTATACAACAATGTGAAGGTTGGCTCTTGTTGTGGACTTCGTGTGTCGTTTTTTTCCCTCTTCATCTTCGTTTCCTCAGGTTACACCCGTATCCGGATGTGTGGGCATGTGTATCTACTATTGTGGTTGGATATGTGCATTCATTTCGGGCCTGGTGAAGCCAACCAGCAGAAATACGTATCGCTCGGGTTACCTATCCTATTTTCTGCTCGAATCCACCTATCCACCCATCGTATATATAATTATGGGAAAAGGCAAACATGTGAAGCTATGTAACCTAGAGCCAAACTAAAAAGATGGTGCATAGTCTTGATGTTATTGCTGGCAATAGTGCTGGCTACTCTGTAGCAAGAGTAAACACATTTTCCGTTTAGAAGAAATCTAATAAACTATTGCTGCTGCTAATTGAACAATATCACCTTGCTTACCTTCGGTTGACCGGTTAGGTTATTATATGTCAACTTCAAACGGTTTATGCTCATCCAACCATCAGGCCAGAGCGGCATAATTTTGGTTTTCAAGTAGTCTACCATTTGCTGCTCCAGATTATCTTTGTGTTTCCCTTCTAATATAAAACACTTCTTCCTAGTGTTGAAAATATCCATAAATATTTTCCTACAAATAAAAATGTTGAATACAGAAAACGAAGACCAGCAGTCTAACAGAGAACTTTAGGGACTAACTGACAAAATAATCGGGAGACTTGGGATTCGGGATTATAGGGTCAATTTCAGTTTTTGTGTCAAACTCTGGGGTTAATTTCAATTCCGTATCAAATATTTGGCTTATGTATTATAAGAAATAAGATTATTAGCCATGAATCAGTCTTAAGTAAACAAGAGATTAGTCCACCCCGCAAAATAGCCTAGACACGGTGTCTGACCCATTTTAATCTCGACAGCTAAATATTTCATAAACTGTGCGTTCTAAGAAAAAAATTTCAAACGAAAGTTGTAGGGTTTTGAGGGGGCAAACTGATAACGACCTTGACTTCGACCTTCAAGGTCATTTCAAAGTCATGTGGATATCTTTAAATGCAACCATCTTTTTTATATCGGAATTGAAAAGAGGAACGCATTTTAGGTCCAAACATCATCTTGACCATGACCTTGACCATTGCCTCCAAGGTCATTTCAAACCATTTTGTTAATAATAATAAATATTCACAACAATTACAAATTGAAACTATTTTTTAGAAAATGCGCGGTTTTCGAAATATTCAGTTGGGAAGAAAATCGGATACCGTATATAAGACGAATGCGAATTGGGTTAAACGCAAGTCAGTTTTATATTTTTATTAAAAAGCTTATTTACAGTTATTCCCGAAAAAATGGAGGGTTTGCGGTCCCGGTCCTTCAGTTTGAATTAAATTTCCTGGAAATTCCGGGAACGTCGCGACCTTGATTTCCCGGGACTATTCTATAGGTTTACAAGGCATTCATAATATCAAAAATGTGATGAAGATAACATGTACAGGGTGGCCAACTAAGAATGCGAGGTACCGTATATGGGAACCTATCCATCAAAGGCGCTTACGGCGAAAACAGTTATTACTAAAACGGCCAAGAGAAAAACCTGGAAAATATGTTCAAGTTTCGGAAATGGCAACTAGTTGGCGCATCTGCAATCTTGAATTTAAAAAAGTGATGTTTCTGTGAATTCCGCTATATTAACCTAACAAACAAGTAACTGATCTTTAAATACGAGGATAATCTGAACCTTTTTTGTCTGACAATTTTTGTTATATCGCATTCAAAGGTTTCCGTAAAAACACCCTGTATCTTCGAAACAGCTGAGCAGATTTTATCAAACTTCTGCTAGTTTAAAAGAGTTATTGTTGCGCTACAAATTTTATAATATTTGAGGATCTGTTAGTTTCACATGTGGCCGCTAGATGGCTTTTTGGACATTCCGACAGAAATGCAGTGCAGCAAATGATTTTTTTATGAAAAAGTCACATTATCCTCGACTTTAAAGATCAGACATTTTTTGTTAGGACAATCGAACAACTGGAGGATATTTTCTGACATATACAGTGCTTTTAAAAAAAGACAGCTAGTGTGTCAGTTTTGGTAGCTTTTGAGTTGTGTTATGTGTTGTCAAAATGTAGGTTAGGTATGCTATCAGTCAGTTGTCAGGTAGCAGGTTGGTTGCGGGGCTTATTTACAAGAAAACCAAAGATAATATACACTTGCTGTGCACTTCAACAGACGCCAAGACGTAATGATACTGTATAGGCCAAAATCTGTTTGTGAATAACTTCTCACCTAGCCTCATCAGTCCATTCAAACCGTCGCCTAGGTAGCCTTAAATATTTGTTATCTTCATTCTCACTGGATTCTTTCGAAAACCTGAAATACAAAACTCCAAAAACGTCAGCAATTGAACACTACAAAGATGTTTGTAAAATGAACTATCATTATTGATCAAATTATTCCACCAGAAGATACCGAATAGAATTGAATGCCGCCCCTACGTGAAAACGGACATACAGGACCGGACAAAAACTTGGAAACATTGTTAGCACTTTTTGTGTGGTCATTTTTTTATTTTTCATTATGGACTATTTTTTTCTCATATAGTTTGCTTACAGTCTTGAGGATACAATTAATTAAATTACCTTAAATACAAAAAGATTTAAAAAATACTGTTTAGCTAATATTTGGCTGGCTATGCCACCATTCAATACTACCTGACATCTGCTCATAAAAGACACCATTTTTTACAGACATCTTTTTTTACTGGGATATTTTGCCAAATATTTTTTACATAATCAAATAAATCGTTCCTATTTTCTTGTTGTCTTTTAACATGTTCCCAGAGATGTTCTATAGGGTTTATGTCCGGGGATTGTGAATGCCATCTCAGAACATTAACTTTTGCACAGGAAGCATACCAAAAAGCACAAAATCCACCAAGCGTCTCTGCATTGTTCTGACAGAAATATTCTCGGCATCCTCTTCTATGATTCTTTTGAAAATCCGTGTGGCTGTCATTCGATGATCTTGATGGGACAAACGTTTAATGTAGCTGTTGATCCGTATTCTTGATATTTACTAATAATTTTCGAAATCGCCCCCTTGTTCATTTTTAATCTTTGAGAAATGTCAACATTTCTGACACCACTTCTAAATAATTAAATTACTTTGTCTCTTAAATCATTTGAAAGTTCTTTTACTTTTGCCATTCTCACTGATCTTAATATTTACCGCACGCAATATCAGAGTATCGCAGAACGAATAAATACGGCAAAACTGAAATGCTTTCGTACTTTGTCGTTACAAAAACTGTGGTATTTAAAAAACGGCGCTTTTTATTTTCAGAGAATTTGAATATTGATAAGATAAATCTTGTATCACTACGGGAGCCGAAGGTAGGTTTTAATATTTATATCTGTTCATTCACAATTTTAATTTAGGTATATGAAATATTTCATAGTAATGTTAATATTTGTTTCCAAGCTCTTGTCCACTACTGTATGTATCGTGGCGTCGCCTACTACATAAGCTTACAACTATATACGCGCCGACCACTATCTTGTGGCGTTGCCACTCCTCGGACTGTTGCGGCAGGCTAATGAATTTTCTTTTCCGTCGTTGAGAAGTTCTAAGAATAATGTATAGGCCTTCGTAATTAGAGCAATAGAACTCCTCCCTAATGTCGACCATTAGGCAACCAATTGTGCACCTAGAATTACACAACCGTGTATGGAGCGCGTTCGCGTTATGGAGTGTTCGATGCGCCATCGTAAACATTAATTTAACCACCACATAAATACCCAGGCGCCGCCACCATGGTGACAGTCTGTCAGACTGACAACGGGAAATGAAATCAGTAGCACCACTTAGTCCAGAAGACATAGTTATAAATTTGTAATAAATTAGTTACAAGTGTTGTTATAAATTCGTGTATGAGTGATGGATTACAACTCTGATCAGCAAAAACGGTGTTTTTGTTACACTTAGAACGAAATATTAGGAATAATTACGAGGGCGGTTCAAGTGTGATCTAAACTCGGAAGATTGATGTCGTGTTTAAGAATGAACAATATGCTTTTAAAAGAAAATAAAGACTGTTTTTGTGGCTTCTAATGAAATTACTAAGATCCTGATTGGCAACAACAAGGCTGTGATGGTGGGAATCGTATGTGAACTTCCGTATACAGCATAGGGCTGGCTATCTCCTCAGAGGATATGTTAATCAGTCCTGTTTTAGAATCTTACTTACTTCTTCAGTAAAACTTTTTGACTTTCCACTTCGTATTTGGCCAACAATGGGGGCATAGTTTTATCGATGATTTCTTTCAGTGCATTCACTTTTTTCACCAGTCGCTTTTCCTCATCCTCCAGTAATAATGCTTTAGCTCTACGTATAATCGTTTCTTTTTTACATTTGATATACCCAGACAGATGCTCGTACACGCGGAGCCTAGACGATTTACCTAAGATCTTGCACTTCCTTTCCAAACTGCAAATAATCGATTACTTCAGCTAAACGAATTCAAGCAGCCATTAATATTATAGTTGTTAGATGATATTGAAGGATAGAAGAACCTTTTAAAAAAATTACGTCAAGTAGGTTGACTCTACACTTCTTAGCAATGCTGTTATCTCTTCATGAACGAATATTGTCGGTACAAGTTAGACCCTCTGAGATAAAAGTTAGCTAAGAATATGTAAAACATATACATCAAACGGATCAAGTTTGTCAAACAGGTCCATACAATTAGTCCACAGACAACTTTTCCCTACCCTACCAACAGTGCCATCTATCTGGCAACGTCGCCCCTCCTCCATACCTCACTGCTCGATGAACCCACTTATCAGCTCAGTAGCGTGGCAGTGACGGAACGAAACTCGTAGGGGTTTTCAGGGCGAATGTACGAGGAAATCTATGATGTGTGAAGTACATCTAATACTGGTTGGAAGCGTATAAATATACTACCGCCAAAAAATTGAGATATAGCTTCTCCCACCCCAATTTTCAACGCCTCCATTTTTTTTTTTCTGAAAATGATCAGGAGCCTCAGGGACATCAAAAAAAAGGACTGACCGATCGGGTAGAAAGCGACTAGACAAGATTTACTGCATATGAAAAAATTGCCCCAAAGGTAACCAGATCATGCTTAATCGAAATGAAGGTATACTGGGTTAATCAACGAAGTAACAAAATTTTCAGACAGATACAGAGCCAGTAACTTCAAAAACGTGTTTTTTCAAAAATAATTGTTTGCGGGCGCAATTTTGTATAATTATTCGCTAACACATTCCTGTCTATTAAAATTACAGCACTATGCATTTTAAATATTCATAAAGTGATTATTTAATTTCACCTTACATTTTTAAATTCGAACACTGTTCAATATCATTATTCAATTTATTAAATTGAAATACTTCCTTTTGAAATACGGAGTTATTCTATTACAATTTAGCAGATGAAAATCTTTACTGCCTCTAGTTTCGTAGTTACGATAATGATAATGACTATTTAATTTTGGGAAGTATTCTAAATGTGGTGTTAATGAATGATTTTTTAATTTGAATGTGAAAATGAGAACTAAATAACATAGGAAATTTTCTACATTCAACCACTGTAGTTCTTTTAACATAGACTTAGTCCTATCATATACTAAGTGACATATAAATCCGAACACCCAGTTTAAATGGTTTTATTTTAATAAAATTTTGTATAAGTACTTAATGAAGCATAATAAGTAAATGATAAAAATTTCAAAATGATTGCACTGGTTTAACACGTTCAGTGCGAACAGCGTCAAAAGACGCCCTCCGCTCCTGTGGTGGGAGGCGAACGGCGTCTTTCGACGCTCTCTGCCAGCTTCCAAAAAAAGTATTTCAGTTTCTGAGGTGGGTATCCTCATCCCAGTTCGCAGTCAATGTATTAAAGCCCTTTGACCTTTAATAATGTGTGGATGCACCCTGATGTGCTACGCATCCTCCAACGCACCTAGGCATGCTTCTGATCAGGTGGTCAATGTCCTCCTGTGGTATCTCATTCCAGGCAACCACCAATTCCTCTCGAAGTGCTTCTAGAGTCTGAGGAGGACGTTGCAAATTGAGCAATCTTCTACCCATCATATCCCACACGTGCTCAATTGGGGATAAGTCGGGAGATCTTGGTGGCCATGGTAACAATGTGACATCATTATGTTGAAAGAAGTCTATTGTGACTCTTGCAACATGTGGTCGGGCATTATCTTGTTGGAAAGTTGGATCGGCCAGGGTGTCAAGATAGGGTAAAAGATGGGGTTCTAGAACTTCGTGGATATAACGCTGCGCGTTCATGTTACCTCTGATGAAGATTAAAGGTGACCTGGAACCATAAGCTATAGCACCCCAAACCATAACTCCAACAGTGTGATGAACATGTTTTTCAACAAAAAACTGTGGATTCCTCCTTTCACCACGTCGCCTTCTAACCCTGGCACGACCATCGTGCATGCCTAAACAAAATCGAGACTCGTCACTAAAGACAATACGGTTCCATTCCTGATACCAGAGTGACCGTTGTCTGCACCACTCAAGGAGATTACGTCGGTGTTCTCGAGTTAAAGGGAGGACCCAGTGTGGCCGGTATGAAAACAAGCCAAAACTTCTCATTCGTCGGTAAACACTTCGCATGCCAATAGGTCTTCCGTGTTCTGCAAACCATTCATTTGCAATGAACCTGGTACTGGAGAAACGGTCCCTTAAGGCCAATAATCTTCGACGGTCTGTTGTTCTACGGCGGCGTCCAGTGCCCCTTGCTCTTTGCGTACGGCCTTCTCGAAGCCATGCCTGACAACACCTAACCACAGTGTCTACACCTCTTTGCACTCTAACTGCAATTGCCCGAAAAGAAAGTCCAGCTTCCCGAAGTCCCACTATACGGCCCCTATCAAACTTACTAAGTTGACGAAATCGTACAGGTCTCCGTACTCTAGGCATCGTAACCGATCGTAAAGGTTGTCAAGAACCAAAATCCGCCAACGTTGATTCTTTACTGCGGCTGAAATATTCATTTTTAGAGCGTTAGTGAATTAAAAAAAAAGCAGTATAAAAACCGGAATGTCCAACTGATAAGGCTGAAAATTTTTTCACTTGTTATTTACAGTAAGATAATTACATACACCAACTTTTATTAAAATAAAACCACTTAAACTGGGTGTTCGGATTTATATGTCACTTAGTATATTTGTTTTTATTTAAAATGATTCTCATAGCTTTATTTTGTAGAATTTGTAATTTTGAAAATATGTCATTTTCTGTAAACAAGATGATTGAACAAAATAAAAATGGGAAAGAATTATAGTGTTATTCATATTATTATTTTTTTAATATATAAAGATTATAGGAAACTCTACAGAAGTAATTTATCTTTTTTGATATTTTTGAAACAATGTATTCATAAAAACGAAAAAATCCATACAATGGGTTACTAGGTTAGCCACCTATTTACTTTCTCGGCCAAAAGCGTCAAAAATCAAGCGAATATGCGGTTTTTCCCATTTTCGCAATTTTCCGGGAAACAAATCAGCATTTTAATTGCGGAACCTAGTATAATGGTTAAAAAACACATATATACGTTGAGATTTAAGATATCGAACTTAGAATGTCAAAAATTGGCGAGGATGCGATTTTTTCGATTTTCGGCGATTTAAGGCCAAAAAATCATGTTTTTGATAGTGTGACCGAAAGGAACGCAGAAAACTATTGGTCTACAGTAAATTTTTAAGTATTCGAAATTAAAAAAAAAAGTTCGAACATATTCGTTCCACAAACCTATAAAAAAATCACGGCTATGTAGGTAATTTAACCCCATATATCCTAATTTGGATTGCTCATCCAGATTTGGACAACTTTGGGGGCAATTTTCATATGTAGTTTCACGTATCGCCTTTGGGACATAGATTATATTATTGGTAACTGAAATCCGAAAGAGTTGTGGCTAGTTGAGTTTTTTTTTGCTGAATGAAAATTGCCAAGCTACGTGTAATTTGACTACATCAAATAACATATAGGAAATCTTACCTCTGAAGTTGGCTATTCACCTCAGTGGTGAAAAAGTGTTTTCTAGTTTCACCTTTATAATCGATTGCAGCTTGTCTTATTTTATCTACAATTTCACTGATATCTGATGGCAAATTTTCTGGTAACTTAACAATCTCCTTAACTTCCACTGTTGCTTCTTGACTAGATTCCCCTTCTGCTGACGGCACAGTATCCAAACCTGAAAACCATACCATAATTAGCCAAATTAATCTTAACCATGTTCCGACGAGCTTACTGTTTGTCTTACTAGTGCCTAAATCGCAATGATTTGTTTGTGCATTTTGCTTCTCCTGATTTTCATTCAGGTCTAAAGGTTCTTCGGTAGCCTCTGTTCCTTGCTTCACTACTGATTCTATGGCTGCAGTAACACTGCTAATACGCATCGGCTTTTTGTTCTCCTTGTGTGATTCATCCGCAATATCTGAAAAGTACTGAGTGAAAAACTCCAGAAAATATTCCTAAGAGCCAAAACAGTCGTTAATTCAGCAGTTACTTGTTGTTTAAATTAGCGCTTACGCATCTTATATGTTATATGATAACTACAGATGCGTTGTCAATTATTGCGGCTTCAGACGCGTTCGACTAGTTGTCATATTGCATTTATATCAAAAATAATGGAAGATATTATCGAGTACATATGAATACCATGACCCGTTTTTAACTTATTAATAGGTACTGAATACCAACTGTAGAGAGAACGCGTGTTCGGAGATTTACTAGCCTCCATAGAGGGACAGACAGATAGATTCATATTTTTTAGTGGTCGGTGGAATAAATACTGATCGTAAATTATATACTGATATTGTGACATTCGCTTTAGTCTGATACAAATACATACGTTTTACAGAAAATACAAATATGTCTTATTAATTGATTACCTTCTTTCTTTTTCATATGTTCAGTGCGTTGCTTTTCCCTCATCATATCCTTTTGAGTTTTTTTGAATGGACTCATCATTTTCCTTTTCTTCACTTGAATTTTGCTACTACTAAATAATTTCTTTTTAATAGCTAACTGCATACTATTCTTGGGAGTTAATTTTTGTTTCTGAAACAATTTATTACAAATAGTCAATCGCGAATGCTACGCGGAGTAGAAGATAACATTTTCTAAGGATATTTAAAAAATGTAAAATACCTGTAACATTACCTTATCAACCTGACTTGTACTGGCAGTATCACTTTCATCTGAGGTTTCTAATATCCTCTGAAAAGCAAGAAAACAATTTAATAATGAATAAAGGAGAACTGGCATTTCTGGTACCTAGATCAATAGAAATATCATATAGCATTGGATATGTCTTTTCAAATTGAAAACAATTTGTCAAGGTTAAAATGATAATTCGTTGCAAGTTTTGAAATATACACAGTGGGGTCACTCTGTCCCCAGAAATTATTTTCAACAAATATGTCGAAAACTGTTAGGGTGATTTTAACGAAAGTTTATCAATAACTACATAGGACTCATCTGGTTAGATTTGAATCGGTCTTTCCATAGGGCGCTATTGCTTTTTAAATCATTACATGAGTATTTTGGAAATTTTTCAGGTATGCCATCCACCTGCTATGAATTTGAGATTCATTTGATATAACCATTTAACATGCATCTTTAATACACCTTTAGCGTATTCAGGTTCAAACATTGATTCATCAATGGAAAAGAGGGTATTGTTTCGAAAATCGAGTTTATTTCGAAAAATAAGTCCAATACTGTTTGCATAAATTACAGTATCCAATTCATGCAGAAATTCGTGCCATACATGTAAATAATAAGTGACAGCGACATAGACATCATAAAAATTGCTAACTTTTGAGACAAAAACGCTCCGATCTAATACTTATTTATTACTACAAAAGGGCATATAACAATTAGTAAACAAATATGAAAAGAAGGCCCATAGGAGGCATTACCCTCCATGCACCATTTTATGTTGAAATTGTGGATGGTATTAAAAAATGAATAATGATGCATGTAAATGACAAATTCCTTGTTGGTTAGATTTATTATTAATTTAAGTACGTCTGAGCTTACCATAGAAAATATCAATTCTCTTTTTTTAAAATCATTCCCTAAGTGTAGAATATTTATATCATGTAAATTTTCATATAGTTGTGGTCCTAGATATCATCGCCCTGTTATAGATTTATTTGCCCTAGTTACAACTGTCCCACAGAGTCCATGCTTTGTATGATTGTATTTAATTTTTTGATCATTTTTAATACATTGACCACTTTGTTAGCCACGGGTGACTGACAAAGTACTATTCCAACAGTGACATGTCAGACATCAGTGACTAACACTACAATCCTATTTTTAATTCGTTATTTAGCACTGTCAGTCATGAGGTTTGCCTGCAGTGCATCGGAATAAATATAATATTTATATCCTTACATATTATATTAAATAAAACTTAAATAATGTTTTTTTGATATTTTACAAAAAATGCCGGTTGGCGTTCAATGTGTTCATAAATTTGTGATAGTATGTAAGAGATAAGGCTGTCTTACAAAGGGTCAAAAAGTATTGACACACTACATTTTTTCTTGAATCTCAAAAAGGAAAGTGATACCAAATTTATTGAAAAACTAACATCAAAATAGTAATTTGACGGCAATATATTGAGCAAATTAGGAATAATATACTAATAATAATATAAACTATGAAACTCAAGGGTCAAAGAATTTAACAAAGCTCATTTACAGAACTTTGTTACTATATTATTTCAATTTTTCAATTATGGCTTGAAGCCTTCGTGGCATCGAGATTCTGAGTTATTTTTGGCCCAATTCCTGTATAAGGACAACTTGTAGCTATTGTTTTGCATACATTTTATTTTTTCGGAGCTGTAGGTCCAGCAAAAGCTCCACAAATATTCTTTGAGCCTGGTATCGTGGGATTGGGGCGGAGTGTTCAGTTGTGCAGGAACATTGTAAAGTAATCTAGGCAGCAGCGGTGGCCGCAGTAGTAGACTCTTCGGTCTCCTGATCAGTCGCCGTGCGCTGTACGGGTTCGAGTCCCGTCCCAGGAGAACTTTTTCTCTTGGCTATGGATGTTGTGATTGTCCGTAGGTGGTAGACTGTCTCTGACTGTCGAACGTGGAGGTACCACCCGGCGGATCTCGTAGGCGGAGCCAGAATGTGTGCATGTTGCATGCACACGTGTTCCCTCGCCAGGGTCCGTGTGTCGTTCCTCTTTTCCCTTTATCCCCCTATAACCCCACGGTACCCAATGGGTGTTTTGGCCTTCGTGGTAGTTGGAGTATAAAAAAAAATATTTTGTTTTGGTGATGGTATTCTTATGATAAGTATCCTGTTGAAAGATAAATGTATCTCTGATTCCCATTTATTCAGTGCTGCTGTTTAAGACATTACACAAAATGTCAACATACTTGTATGCATTCATAATGCCTTCGATTGGGCTTACCTTTCAAACCTCATTCCACGACATGCAGTCCCAGACTAAACGTTCCTGCCTCCATGTTTCATTATTAGGCTGAAAAGTCTCATTTCAAATTAAGGGTTAGGTTTTCTACACATCATGTTTGCGACCATCGGATCCAAAATACTGAAAATCAAGATTTCGGTTCTAACGGTCGCAAATATGCATGGAGAAAACATAATTTGAAATGACACATATCAGCCGAACAGTGAAACATTGTAGCGGGAGCGCCTGGGGCTACATGTCGTAGAGTGGTCTGGGAAAGCTAAGCTTCATCGAACGCATTCTCAATGCAGACCAGTATGCTGGCATTTTGCGCAATAACTTAAACAGCATAGCTGAAAAAATGGGGATCAGAGATACATTTATATTTCAGCAATTTCAGCAGGATAGTGATCCTAAGCACACCTCAAGGCCCATAAACATAAAATGTCTGCGTAACATCAGCTACAAGATGTTCGTATCTAGGTATGGGAACAGATCTAACTCAGAATCTCCATGCCACAGACGCTTCAGGACATGTTGCAAATGGTATGATAACAAGTAATAACGGTAAATAAATTTTAAGTTTATTTACTTTTTTGATATTTCAGTGTGACAGTTCCTTTTTGATCCATGAATTCCTTAACTTCTATTATTACTCTTATATCATTTTGTATTGTCCCAATCTATTGCCATCACAAAATACACACATGGGGTGTGCCAATACTATTTTGAGCCACTGTAGGTCATATAAAATGAATACCTTTCTAGCACCGGAAGCCATCCCCATATCATTCTCCCCATCAGAACTAGAGATGTCAGACGTGGCCTCATCATCAGTCTTAAATTCAAGCGCGCCACAGTTGATGTAGAAGCCGCCATGCAAGGTGGTCACGTTTTGTGGAATGATCTCGTCGTAACCGTCAGTGTTGTCGATGAACGAATCTGATTCGTCGTAGCCCATGCCAATGTCCGCATAATCATCTTTGCGCCCCTTGCGCTTTTTCTGACCACCGACAGGCCCGGTACCCTACACAAGTTCATTTATTCATTTATTTCGGCATCCCCGTGAGAATCCAGGAATAGCATTGTAGACTCTTCAAATATACTCTGGTTAAGGAAATAGCGCATAAAGGTTAATGAAACTTAAGGTCAGACATGCGACATTCATGTTATGTGAAAAACTCGGGATGTACCGAGTACTAGTAGCACGTCAGAAGTACTCGGCCGGGTACTTGGTGGAGCTGGATATGTGACATTATGATATTTGGGTTTTTGAAACGCTCCTTCATTCACAAAATTGATTTACCTTTCTGAGAAATTAGCGCATCACAAAAAATGTATTGACGGTATGTTCAGAAGATTCGTTTTTAAATATTTAAGAGTAAGCCAGTAGCTACAATTTTATGTGGACACTGTTTTGTGCTTTTTGTTGTTTTTTTACTAGAATACGAAAGCGGCTGACATATACTAAAAAAATTCATTAGTTCCCTATTCCGGCAAATATATTCTGTAATATTTCCATCGACCGTTACGTTTTCGTTGAAGAAAAATGGCCCAATGATGGTTTTGGCGCAAACGCCGGCCCAAACAGTCACTTTCCGGTCATGCTACGGAATTTCGTGGATCTCATGTGGATTTCCTGTCCCAAAATGCGGCAGTTTTGCTTCTTAACGCTGCCAGAGAGCGTGAAATGGGTCTCGGCGGTCATCAAAATTTGCTTCCAAAAATCAGGTCCAGCATTAACCGTGGATGGTCAGTTGGCAATATTTTTTGTGTTAACTGCACCTTATAAGGAAATAAATGCAAATCATCCTTCAAAATGAGCCGCAACGTGGTTCCAGTGATGCCAAAATGCTGAGCGCGGTGACGATACGACACTTTTGGGTTCTGTTCAACGCTGTCTCTGACCGCTTCAACCAATTCATTGGGACGTCTTGGTCGTTGATGAACGGTATGTTGACGATCTCCGAGTGTCCCGTACTCAAGAAAACTCGAAACCAAACTAAGGATAGTGTTGTCAGACGGTGCCTCTTTGCCAAGATATTTTCGACGATATGCACGTTGCGTTAACAGAACTGAACGACGATTTTCAATGTACATTGTGACTATTTCGGCGCGTTGTTTCGGTGTATAGCGATTCATGACTAAAATTGTAGTAAATTGACGTTTCAGAAACACGTATAACCAAATCACTCGGTTGGTAAATATCAAAGTCATTCGATGTTTCAATACCGACATAAAAGATGGCGGACCCGGTAAATAATTTACGAAATCCACAATTCAATCATACAAAATACCTCAGAATCCAATCCGACACAAGGCAAACGGCAAATTTTCTCAAAAAAGAGTATTGATTATCAAATTCAGAGAGACGTATTGGATTATTAGTACAAAACCTCAGCTGACAACAAGCTACCGCTCCACAATGCTTTGTTGAAACCAATTTGGACATATGACATTCAGGAGGCACAGCAAGCAACAGCAATATTGTTTCCAGCGGTTCCAGAACAAGGTCCAGAGAATGATCGTCGACGCGCCATACCACGTTCCCAATGAAATGATTCAGCATGACATCCCACTTCCTGCCATCAAGGAAGTGATCCACGAGTTCGATGTTAGTTACACTGCACGGATTGAAACACGACTGATGTGTTAGCAAAAAGATTATAAGTGTAATGCAACATCTGAAACTTATCCGGTGGTTCTCATGTTTATAGTCCTCATGTTTGTCTGGCCAATTTAAACCACATTTGTTTAAAATTCATTCAATTTCTTGCACGACATTTTGGTCCAACTGATGGCCATCAGGTAAAATAGACACTTTTTTGACAATATGTTTTATTCACATGTCTTCCGCTTGTTTATTCCCTTAACCGCGATTCCATCTTAAAATGTTACACGACCTTTCAAACTACTGTAGTAACACACTATAGAGGTATGTGAAAATGAAAGGAAAAACAAAAGAAGTGTCATCTGGAGGACACATAAATATGATATATTATCAAAAAAGTGTCAATTGTACTTGAAGAAGTGACTGTTGGGACCCAAACATCGTACCATAAACCGGAATTTCAAACATATTATGTAGTCTGATTTGGCCACACAAACATGGAGGGTTGTATGTGTCTAATAATGAGCTAGTGAATAGATTAAAATATGCCATTTGCCATCTGACAGTTTTAGGTAGAGATCACGGACTGGAGTGCTATTCTGTATGCCCTTTTTTAGTTTACGTTAGTACCAAGATCATGCTTATTGCCCATACATGCAGATTGCTGCTTCAATTCCAGTTATATGAAATAAATTATTCATAAGTCGAAACGGGTAACATTTATTTGTTTTTGGCGTCGTCTTTAGGTCCCATGGACAACAGTCATTTGTCTTTCCTTTATTAACGTTGTCAAAAATCTAAATAATGTGGAAAAAATAACTGCGCTAAGTAGAACCGTTTTGGAGGTTTTGAATATTGAAGTTAGATAAAACATACTAATAAGTACTACAAGTTGTGTCATAGTCTGTTGTGTTCTGCTGAGTTATCAAATTATGTAAAAGTCCCCAAATATCAATGGACTAAAAGTGTTTGACCTACTTCCTTTGGAAATAAATAATTGCCACAGTCTAAAGACGATTAAGAATCTCTTAAAAGACTATTTAATTCAAAATAACTTTTATAGTGTTGAAGAGTATTGTGATATATGCCGTTAAATCTTATTTTTTACTATTTAACTGTTTTTTAGATATAGTTTTTATTTAAGATTTGAGAATGTATGACAATTCCTATACAATGTTTTTTGTCGAAAGGAAATAAATAAATATCAAAGATCAATTTGCACATTCCAGCCAAACAGACAAGGCTATATTTTCTGTAATAATTCATACAAATAACTAAGCTGCACATGGTCCCAAATCTAAAATGTGTAGACAAGCAAATAATCTACCGCCGTCCATAGACCTGTTTAATTTAGATTTTAAGGTTTCCAAGCAGAAGTGGCATAGTTTTAGAAGTTCAGAAATATTCACTGAAAGTTTGTAAAATGGTTTATCCCTAAATATATTATTATTATAACAGCCGGTATATGTCTTTGGCTAAACACATTTACTAGTTCCATTTTTGCTTTTATGAGTTCCATGGCAGAAACTATCACAGCAAAGATTTAATCCTGCGCCAATTATTTGTTAGTGGCACTTAGCAGCTGAATTTCTGCTACTTTATAGCTATCTTAATGCTTGACTATGCACAGAGTGAATGTTAGTGATTCGCCATTGTGTGATAAATAGTGTCTGTATGGCCAGCTAATAGCTAAGTCATATGAAAATATATTTTTGTTGAATCAAATTCAAAATATGCTCACGTTGCTTCTTTTGAGACTTACATATTTAGCTTCCATTTCCTGTGCAATCCTCCGGACGTCATCATCATTATCAGCGAATGGATCCAGCCCATTTTCATGGATTTTTTCATCTTTCTCTTCCTTATCCCTGTCAGCCTTAAGGCGTCTCTGGAAAAAATACAAAAATATTAGATAATATAACCAATTCTAATAAAAAATGATGTTTCCAATAGGAATTGGTCAGTGTTGAAATTAGGAGATATTCCCGGAATTTAGAGGAAATTGGAATTGGACCGATGAACAGAGTCTGCAAAACCTTCTGGTTCTTTCATCACTTACTTTTTGGACTATGTATATCTTATTAATATCAATATAAATTTGAATTAGGTTTTAAAACTCCAAATCTGGTTCATGTTCTATCACAGGGGGTGACAACTTACTAGTTTGTTGAAGACTGCTTCAGGAGTAAGAACATTATTCCTTATAATAAATAATATGGAAACGTGATAATTTACACAAACAAAACTGAAGAGGCCAAACATTTGATACGAAACTGGGACTAATCCTAAAACAGTCTATTTTAACTTGATTTCACCATATACATATGTTGTTAATTCTCTAAGTGAAATTTCATAAAACAAAGTCTATATTAAGAATTAATGATTTTTTTCATTAAGCAAACTCATTTATGCAATTTAGTATAGCATTTTACATTGATCTGATGCGGCTTTGCTCAGTATCAGCAATCCAAAAAGTCAAACTTTCAATGACTGACCTCTGGTTTTCATACTGACGGAGCTTCCATGCTTCTGTGGCCAAATGAAATCAAATATGTAGAAATTACTCTTTAAAGACATTTCAGCTACCAGATCAAAATAACATTGACAATATATTTTATATTTATCTGCCATTCCCAATATAAAATATATTATCACTGTGGTTTTGATCTATTCTTTGAGAAAGGACACTGCGGTAGCCGAAAAGATAGTATGGAGTAATTTCTACATATATATGTGGTTTCATTTGGCCAGGAAAACACCCTATCAAAATCTATTTGGTGTGGATTTTGAGTTGAGGCAGCATTGGTCGTCAATGATAATCAATTTTTTTCCCGAATTGAACGATATGGACGTGGACCAGGATGAGAAAGATGCCACAAACATATGTAAACAAAACTATAAACATTACGACAGGGTTTGCATTGTATTTGAGATTGGAAAATTTTTAATTTCAAACTGACAATTATTTTTTGTTAGTAAACTAAATACTCCGCGTAGGGTGGGCCCGAAAAGGCATAAGCTAGGTCCTGATGCCAACATACAGGTTTTACAAATAACTTCTGTTTCCATAAAGTTCTAAACCACACTTTCCACAGGTGATATATTTTAACATTTAAATCTACAAGTTGTCATTTAATCAGCTTTTAGGGATATACGCGTGAGATTATACCCTCCAAACCCCACTTTATACCTATTTTACATCTACAATTTCTCGACGAATTTATTCTGATGAATCACATCAATTAACAAATTCATGGATTATCTAACTGTACATTTCTGCCAACAACACAATAAATTCTTGATAGAAACATTTCGAGTTTATACCTAAGTATATAATTGAATATAATATGTATTGTGATTTTGAGGAGAATCTAACAGGCAAAAACAATGGAATATCTACTGTAGTTCTATACTTAAAGTTGAAAGAGTTGTTCAATATAATGGAAAGGAAAACAAGGTTGGCACCATGGAGTTTAACGTCCAACTTAAGTTCTAATTGCGTGAAGAAATCCACGAAGATTTCCAATCCTGTTTTATAAAATTGAAATTTCGACTGAACATTCACGCAGAAATCCATGGATTCGTTGACAATGTAAAACGGGTACTGAACAAGCTACAGATCAAAAGCTGATCAATTACGATAAAAACATCACTCAAAAACGAATCTGCTCAATTATTATAGATAAAGGAGCAAATAGTTTCCCGTGGAGCCTGGTCACAAACCGAAAATAAAGGATTTCCAAACAACCGGTTATGCGCGATCTTATTGTCACTTCCCATAAGGCGCAGTTTCGCTCACCGACACCGGCTACATACAGTATTAATTCCGAACACCTCCTATTCTGTTCTACTCTCCTAATACTTGCGCGCCGTAACCCGATCATCAACTGTGGGAATATTTTGGGAATAAACATGCAAAAAAACTTTTTTGCACGTAAGGGCGGGAAATTACCATTATCTTTTCTTCTAAATCACAGAAAATATGTAAAATCGTCGATAGTTTTTTTTCGACTAATCTCGTTCACAGTCGATTGGTTAGGTACCCGGTAACCGCTAGCGACTCGAATACTGGATCATCTGGATTGATTACACTAGATCATTTGCAAAAATCAGCACAGATTCATTTTCCTGAATGTATCATAGTTATAAATAAAAATAGTAGTTCGCAAAGATAGATAGCACATGAGGATCCCTTTCTTATTCCAGGTATCACAAAAACCACAAAAAGAACTCGGGAATTCAGGTGTAGCCTTTTTGATCCCCAATAATTTATTCTATTGTACCTCCTGAATAACAAACGGCTGAAGAAATGTAAAAAAACACTCCAAAACTGTAATTATATCGCACTTCCTACGTGTGTTCCAGATTCTTTCATGTCGTATTATTTCTATATAAATAACATCTAAGAGATAGCGCATAGATTTGTCATTGCCCAATACGTCGTGTATCACAAGGATCAAACAATGAGTTAATGAAAAATAAACTTATTAATTCATAGTATGTTTTCAAAATACATACAGAAAATTACTGAGTTTCTGTGTGATGTTTTACACTATGGGTGACAGTAACGTCAATACCTTTGGTTTTTCCGATTAAAGGTTGTGTTACTCTAACAACTGCTTGGCAACGTTGCGAAAAACTATTAGTTAAAAAAATAGGAGATCTAATTATCATTTTCATAGAAAAAACACAATCTGCATAACTTGGAAGTTCTAAAAGTAGGATTTTTAAACAGTATGTGGTTAAACTGTTTTAAACAGATTTCGACGACACGCGTGATAGGAGGAGGGTCTTGCTGGTGATGATGTCCCTGTACTATGTTGGGAGGAAATAAAAGGACAACATGATCGATCTCAGAAAATCCCTGGGAGGTGTACTATCAGCAAAATCGAGGGGTCTCATGTAAAATCTCGTGATATTCGATAGACAAAGTGGGTGATACTTTGTACACATATGTAACGTTGTTTGCTATGTGAAAACTGGTATTTTTTGCTTAAAATTCACTTAAATATGGCGACGTGAATGCTAACCTCATAATTAAAGCAAAATTCAGCATGTTGACACGACAAAAAATGCCTTTGGGTGTCTTCTCCGAGGTCCAGCCTCTTCAAAACCTGTGTGGTTTACTTAACAAAACTAATGTATTTTTTGGAAGAATCTTAGTGACGAACATCGTGCATAAAAAGTACTTGTTTCTTACACAATTGGTGACCATTTTCTCTCATAACTTACCTTTGCAAGTGCTAGTTGGTCCTTATAGTTAAACTCCGGACATGTATCTTCGTTAGACTCTGGTAAAGTTAGGGATATTCGAAATGTTTTTGAAACCCTTTTAATTACTGTGTTACTAGATTTGGGTACTTCTAAACTATTGAGAACGACACGTTTTGATTCTGACATATTTCAATGGATCTTTTCAAAATAACATAGCCCGGTGTTTCGCTCCAACATGTTTAAAATGCACTACACTCAAACACAAGCTGCCGGACGTTATATTTGGGTTGACAGCGCAGACGATTGCGCATTGCATGGCTGTGTCCAGGGTTGTCAGATGAGTCGGATGGAATTTCTTCAAGACAAGTTCAAAAACACTGTAAATCAACCTTTTTCAAAAGATTTTTAATTCAATAGAAAAATATGCACATAAACTCTAATTAGTAAGAAATAAATAATTTTTCAATATATGCAATGCCTATTATCTTTCATCAAATCATCACGTATTCCACCTGTACGTTAATTAGTGGTTTCGTTTACACAGTGCAGAGCAGGTTAATAAACACATTTAACATAATCACAACATAATATAAAAAAAATAATACAAAAAACATATTAGGTACAAGCAATATATGTTTTTCAAAAAGTGTTCAAACTTCAAAACATTGCCAATTTTATGATAAGTGCGAGAACTTAAGAACGGAATATTAACCCTAACATTGTTATATTACAATCTGTTCAATGGCCGTTCTCAGCAATTTTAGTTTGTTTTGTTTTTGCGTAAAAAAATTATTTGATGATTGTACCTATTAGGTATATATGAGCTATAAAGGTTATAATTATTGTTTGTAACTAGTTTCACACAGTTCAAAACGAAATAAAAAGATCGCCCAAAAGATGGTGCCTTCAAAAAAGGAAGCGTTGCCGAGTTTAATTTTGTTGCTGCTAGATGGCGCTACTGTGGTTGAAACTTGAACTTATCAAAAGTATTGTATTTTTCACGAGTATCCATTATAGTAGAATAACAGCTGATTTTCTATTAATAATTCAAAATTTCGCATATAGACGACCGACACACATGATTCTGGCGAATCCGTCAACGCCAGGTAAACAGAACCGTATTTTATTTATTCAATCAGCTGTCATTCTACCGTAATGGGATTGGTAAAAAATATATATTTTTCGCGATATTCAATCACGATTTGATGTCTATTGACATATACCCATCACGCTTTGATATCTACTGAAATGAACAGCTGATCATCAAGTAGCATTTTTGTGTTAGTCTGCGACGTTGGCAATAATGAATCGGGTGTAAATCTAGTAAAACTTGTTTGTAACGTTTTGTTTTTTGCATGCAAATTAACTTTTTTAGCTGTTAGCAAATACAAAATTAATCAGTTGCGTACAAAAAAATCAAAACAAAATACGGCTATGACTACCTGACGTTGCCGCATCCGTCAGAATTATATATCCTGTGCCGATATAGGGAATTTTTAAATATTACTAAATAATCAGCTGTCGTTGTACCGTGATGGATACTCGTGAAATATGGTATATTCTGACAGATCCGTCAACGCCAGGTAGTCAGAGCCGTGTTTTGTTTTGGTTTTTTGTACTCTACAATTTCATTTTGTACTTTATTATTTAGAAAAGTTCATGTGCATACAAAAAAAAGCGATACAAACAAATTTTACTAAATGTACACCCGATTCGTTATTGTCAACGTGACAGTTGACGTCAAAACCGAGATACATACTCGTGAAGTAGGGTTTGAACATAATCAGTGATTGATATCTTTGTTGGTTCATAACCTTAGACATTACAGTTAACTTAAGTAGTGCCATCAGCTTCTAGTTTTCAGACTATACCCCATTCCCGGGAACGTGAAAAAAATTCACTTAATTCGAAGGAAAATCTCTCAATATGGCGACATCGGTGGCGTCACGTGTTACGGATTTTTGGACCACTGTCATTGTTATTTAAGCTTTCTAACAGTAGAGAGCGCGAGAGGGTAGATCTTATAGCTTTCTGTAGCAGTATGATCTTGAATTCTCGTCGCTAGATGGCAGCATAACATATGGCATAGGTTCCTGCACTATATAATCATATGCTTCATTTCGCATTATAGGATGACGCCATATAACATGCAGAGTTGCCAGACCTAATAATATTTCTTTATTTATCAGGAAATAACGCTAGCAAACTAAATGGAATATCTTGTGGACGCAAAATTAACATGATCAATTTCATATTCATATTGGCATCTGGAAATGTACATAAGAATCTTCGTTTCTTATCAAAATGTTTTTGAGACAGTCATTGACTAAAAAATTATCATACTGTCTTAATTTTCTGCAACAAATTGTTGGACTGAACAAGCAAAAAGTTATTCAAATTCTCCAGTAACATTTTATGAACGGTTTCTTTGTTGGCAGTAGAGGATGGGATCTCTGTATGCGTGAGAGATGGCGATATTATTCTGTAAGGCTTAAAATTATAGCATTAGCACTTACTTCGTTTTTATTCATACCACTCAATTCTTCGAAGTATCTGCTCCATCCCGAAGCAACTGGTCAGTTCCGGTAGTATTTGCTTAACGTCGTATTATTTTCTACATTCCTTCCTCCGTGGATTTTGCTTTAAAATGTCTAGCATCTTCTCACTTTGATTTCTGCTCGATAATTTGCAGGTTGCGACAAGTCTACAAGATTTGTTGCTTTAGTTGTTTTAAATATTATTAAAGAGGTAGTGTACTCGTAGTTGTGTAAAATGTCTTCAAATGAAGAAATGCTCTATACAGAAGAATCTCAAAATGAAGACTTACAATTAGCCTTTGTTACAGTGCTAGAAGGTCACAAGATAATTCTGGATGAAAAAATTTTCTGTCTGCAAAAGACAAAGCCCTTAAAGAATTAACGTAGGCCTAAAACAATAATACAAAACAAAACTTAGATGTTAAACAAGTAAAAAAAGTTAATAATATAAAAAGTAAAATAAAGAAAATTACAGATATGAAGAAGACAGGAAATAAGAAAGTTAAATTTAATGAGTGGCAACAAATATTTTTTGACGTACGGAACGGAAATGAGAATCCAGTAATTCAAAGAGTGCCATTGTAAATAATTCTTGTTGTTAATTTGTAATGTAATAATTATGAAATACTATTATAGGAGAAGTGATTGCAAGCACCAGTAGAAATGGATATGCAGATCGATATACCGATGAAGAGGGTGGGACACCTTTTAGTGATGGAAATGAATCATTTAAACAATTGCAAAAGAAATTACTTATTCAACAAATAAATACTGGTATAGCTCGAGAAAAAGCCGCTATAGCTCAAGAAAAGTCCGATATAGCTCAAGAAAAAGCCGCTATAGCTCAGGAAAAAGCATCCATAGCTGTAGGAAACGCCGCGGGAGCTGTAGAGCAATTCATAGAAAATTACTTTGCACGAAAACAAGCGAGAATTCAAATTAACTTAAACATAGATAAATAGTTTGCTAAGCTTAATTATTATTATGATACATCTTTTCATCGAAATATAAAACCCAAATTATTATTTTTTATACCGAAGCAGCCGCGCAGGCAGAAGCCTAAATGCCGGAACACCGCGGCTGCTATGATGATCCCAAAGAAATTTTCTAAATACGATTTTTGAACTGCCTAAGGTTAGTAGAACTGGGAAAAGCTTCCTCTTGTAGATTTTCCCACAATGTCGACACCCTCGGAACAAAGGAGCGGTCGTATCGGCCAGTTCTGGATGTACGAAGTTCGACACGGTTAGGATTGGCTAGATCGCCGACGGCCCGCCGATGCGAAAGAGTCCCAAGACTGTCTATTAGAGAAGAGTCATCGATCAGTCTGACCGCCCACCTCTGGGCAGCATCGACCATGGATAATGTAGTCGGGGCGGCAGCACCCCAAACGTGTAAGCAATACTCGAGGATAGGCCTTATCAGGGCCTTGTATAGAGTGAGAAGGTCATGCGGAGAAAAGTAGGTACTTCTTAGTCCTAAACAAATAGCCTAGCTTTTTCCCAGCAGCTGCAGCTGTTGACGAGATGTGTTCGTGCCAGATCAGGTCCTCTGTGATCTGGACTCCGACCAGCCGAAAGGAATGGCTCTTTGGCAGAACTCGGCCATCCATCGGAACCGGATGAGCGCTAGGACGCTTTTTGTTCGTCAAAGTACAGTACTGTGTTTTGGAAGCATTGAACTGTGCATGATTGTTGCGTCCCCAAGCAGTGATAGCCCCGAAGTCTCTTGTCAGAGTGGAAGTCGTCGCTAGTCTTGTTCTTTCCAGCTCCGCGGTAGAGATCGGCTTGTCACTCTGAATTCCTGCATGTAGAGTGCTGTAATCAGCGAAGCTGTGGATTGGGTTGATCGTGCAGGAAAGGAGGTTGTTGATATGTAAGAGAAACAGTGTCGGAGCCAAGACCGATCCCTGGGGAACACCCGCGTTGACGTTGTGAGATGTAGAGGAGAACCCGTCAATTACGACGGATATTTTGCGGCCAGAGATCGAACGTTTTCGTGATGTCAAGAGCAACGACATGAGCCTCACCATAAGACTGGATGAGTTTACTCCACAATTGCGTGACGTGAGCTAGGAGGTCCCCTGTGGATCGTAGGTGCCGGAAACCATACTGCCTGTCGCTAATCCAGCTGTGACTTTCGAGGTAGTCCAGAAGCTCGCGATTTGTGCACCTCTCCATCACCTTACTTATAACAGAAAGCAGAGCTATAGGCCTGTAGTGGTAAGGGTCGATATTAGATCCTATTTTTGGGATGGGTTGGACATGAGCAAATTTTCAGTTTTCTGGGAAGGTGCCGGATTCATAAGATATCTGGAAGAGACGCGAAAGAACTGGAGCAAGCTCCGCTGCACACCTCTTCAGTACAATGACAGGAATCAAGTCCGGACCAGAAGCTTTGTTGATGTCGAGCGACAAGAGCATTCGTCTTACGGTCTTATGCCTAAATGTTGCCTCCCGCATAGTGTAGGGAACTTTTTGAATTGACGGCACTTGGGCGTTGGGGGACGTCCATGGTGGAGTTGGCAGCAAAGATCTTGGCAAGCACTTCTTGGCCTATGAGTCGGATACAATCATTCCATCCTAACACGTAAGTGGTGGAAGGCTACTGTGTCGGAAGTTCTTTTCAATCTGCTTGGCCAGCGTCCAGAAAGGCCGACTGCCATTTCGCTGCGACATTACCCTGTGCCTAACTTTTATATCATGCTGGTTTTTGGCATTGCGAACCGCTTCGCTATATTTGTTTCTGGACTCGATGTCGGC